GGAAGCGTTCTCAGAAAGGCTTTCGTGTGTAAGGGCGGCTCGAAAAACAAGACTTTCGTGGGAAGTCTGCCTGCAAGTCTTGTTTGGTTTTTTGAAATTTCGGCTCTGACATGTTGAACTGCCCGTAGAAGGGAAATAGCGTGAGAAAGTCTACCAATGGCACGGGGGCCTGCTCGCAAAAAAGGCAGCGCAGTGAAGCAGCTTTGCTCCTACAAGAAGCGCAGAGCCAAGAAGGACGTGAAGAACAAGTGCCACACAGCTCGCCGTGAGGAAGTGGATCTTGAGCAGTGTCGGCCCTTAAGAAGCCACTGTCAGACTGTAAAGTTCTGTGGTCAAACGCATTTAGACGCCTGCCTATCAAAAAAGAAAAAAGCTCCACCCGTTGGAAGGGAAGCTCTGGACACGCAGCAACTGGCCAGTCTTTTTCAAACCTTGGTGGAGCTAGGCCGTGGCCACAAACAAAAAAAGGGTCCCGCGGGCTGCGTGGGGCTTGTCTTTGTTTACAAACTTCAGGTTCGGAAAGACTTGCAGCGTGCCCGTGTCCATGTCTGCCAAATCGCACTATAGCTGAGCAAAAGCTTCGTGCTCCGACGACAAGAGCTGTCCCGCCAGCTGCTCGTCGGCTGCTGCGTCGGCGTTGAACACCTCAACGCGCCCAAGCCACTGCTGAAACGCAACTGCGTCCAGCTGGGGACAAGCCACCTGAGCTGGCACAGTTGGCTTCAGGCAGTCCTTGAATTCTTCTGCACCAGCAAAAGGGGTGGCCAAATCATGAAGCAAATGCACAACAGCCGTGGCAACTCCGACCGCAGAGAAGTCATGAAGCTTCCGTGCGCCCAGAAGCATGTGCTGAGGACGCAAATCCTCTGCGCACGTTTGCCCTCGCAAGACAAGGATCGTCTTTGAGCAGTCCGAGTGCACAGTGACGCAGGAGGCAGCGTTGAGCGTTTGTCGCGTGCGAGCCCGCAGCGACTCGGCCAAGCAAAACTTGAGCTTCTGGGCTCGGCGGCGAAGGATCTTGCCGCCGGACCAGGCAATCCCATCATCACCGCCATCTTTTCCCTTGCGTGTAGCTCGCAGAACTGCGATGAACTCTTCGAGAGATGGGGCCATCAGACGCAGTCGGATGTCTTCATTTGATGCTGCGGCCTGGTGCCTTTTGGTTTTCTCATGGTCTCGGAAGTGGTTGACCTGCAATGAAGCAATGGTTCGAAACTCCGCTGACACATGCCCAGCAGCTTTGCAGGCAGCACAGCTGACGGAGAAGTCGCCTGTGTCCCACTGCACAGCCTCCAGCCACGGGAACTGCTCGGTCCACCGCCTGCCAAAGCGGGCCCATGCGCTCTGCGCGGACATTCCGGGCAGCTTGGGCCAGAGCTCTGTCCAGAGGGCGCTTGCGGAAAAAAACTTAAGTTTACGCACGAAGTTCCTGTCCAGAGGGCCTCTGGAATCCGAAGGTCGACTCAACAAGCCGCAGCGCTGTGGACTGTCCAAAGAACTAGAAACGTTCGAACACCGGGAATTTTGCGTTCCCCGAAATCCAAGAATTGTAGTCCACTCGACGGTCCGCAGCGCTGTGGTTTGTGGAGACAACTTATGGAAACCGGAGACCCTCTGGACAAATGGGGTCTGTGGAAAAAAACTTAAGTTTTTTTCCGCGGACCAAGCTGATCGGGCGAGCGTACGTGTCATGTGGGAAACTGGATGGACGTGACCGGACTGTCTCTCGGCAACCCTTGATCCTCAGCACTTCATGACGCCGGACGTCCTGATTCAATGTCCTTGGCTGGCCGCATGTTTTAAGCACCGTTCGATCTGCGTTTGACATCTCTCTGCAGCAGCAGCGGGGGCACGCCGCCGACACAAATCCAATGTGCTGGGGCAAGCCACCAACGCGGGCCGGGGCACGCCGCCTGAGCCACATCATGGTTACCAAACTCACAAACTTACGCGGCAGAGCGCGCAAAAGCCCAGCGTTGCGGCTCAGTTGGGCTCCCTGTCCGTGGGGTCGTCCTCCTCTTCCTCGGCTGGGTCTTCAGTGGCCGGCGGCGCGGCAGCCTTAGCCTTGACTCGTCTGCCCTGCTTGGGGGCTGGTCCGGCGCCTGGAGCAGGCGGCGCAGCTTTCAGCATGTTCTCCACCAGGTCGACCAGCGCCGAGCCACTGTTCGGCGGCCCTGCCCCCCCGTTCTTGGCAGGAGGAGGCACTGGGCCAAGCTGCCCAGCCTGGCTTTGCTCACCGGCGGCGCTTTTCCTCCGGCCTTGCCCCTCGTCAAGTTGCTGTCACCGCTGTCCGCCTGCGTCGTGGTTGGCAGGCACGGCGAGACCACTTGGTTTCAGACTGGTTTGAAATATTAAAGCAGCAGAATAAACACTGCGTCTGTGCATAAAACAAAGCACTGGCCTGCAGAGCGTCGCGCAGCTCTGCAGCGTAATACTGACTGCTTGGGCTCTGCATGTGTGCCCACAAGCGGCCGAAGAGGTACTGCCGCACGACATTCATGTGAAGACTATTTTCCAGGCTGAGGTAAGCCGCCAACGCCGTCGCTGCTGCGGCTGCCTTGCTCGTCAGTCTGACCCTTGCCCGCCGCGCTGCCGCCTTTGAGGCCCTTCCCGCCAATTGGCACAACCACGCCCATGAAGAAACCTACGATGACGCCAGCAACGAGCGCAATCGACATGGCTGCAGCTTTCACGCCAGTGATGGGGCAAGCCACCAAAACACGGCCGCGCCTGCTAACTTGTCTAAGAGCCGCCAAGCGAACACAGCGCGTCTTGACTTGCCAAGCACGGATGGTTTTGCAAGCGGGCCGCAGTGACCAAACCTTGGAAGCAATAGAAAACAACTGCCTTCTGAGCTGTCGCCATTGAGTCTGTGTAACCGCACAATCAGGAAAACTTTAAGGTCACTAGTCCAGATTTGGCGTGGGGCCAGGCCCCACTAAAAGTCTGGTAGTAACAATGCGCGCGCCCGCAGCTTGCAGGCAGACTTCCCACGAAAGTCTTGTTTTTCGAGCCGCCCTTACACACGAAAGCCTTTCTGAGAACGCTTCCGGAAAAGGGCGGTTTCAGAAGCGCCCCTTCTGAATCCTTACTGCTGGATGGGGCATGCCACCGAAACCAGCGTAAGTCATTGTGGGCGCCGGGCGGGGCAAGCCACCGAACCCGCAAGCGCACACCGCAACAAGCATATCTGCTCTGCAAAAACACATCTATCCGCTTGAAAAATATGATCCGCAAGAAACATACGACTTGGGCGGCTCTTGCGTCGCATCACGCATGTCCGTTCGTCAGCTCACAGCTTTCCTGTGAGACTCTTTTGCCCTGAGACGCCTTCCCTCTTGCTTGCAGAAGGCGTAGGGGCCGGGCGGGGCAAGCCACCGAACCCGCAAGCACAAGCACATGCAACAACTTCAATCGTTGGCGGGCTTCACTTTGGAGGAAGGGGGAGCTGGGCACCCTATTGCTGGATGGGGCATGCCGCCAAAACCAGCGAAAGGATTTGTTTAAGGGGGCCGGGCGGGGCAAGCCACCGAACCCGCGCAAGCAAACGCAACAACGTCAATCATTGATGGGCTTGGGAGGAGGGGGGGTGGGGCGGGGCAAGCCACCGAGCCCTCAAACAACAAACGAGATGAAAAAAGATAATTCCGTTCCGACTCTCCGAAGGCGAGCAGCCAGCGAAAAACGATGCTGCAGGAATCAAGCCTTTCGCAACAATGGGCACACAGGCGCATTATTATTGTCCCGTCCTGCTCCCCCCCCTTCCCACCGAAAAACAACTTGAAACCCAAACAATTAACTTCTCTAAAGTCAACCTCAGCGACATAAATCGAGCAACAAATGCCCGCGAAAAACTGGAAAAATGCAAAATGCAAAAAAAAACTTTAAAAACATGAACAATTGCCAGTTCAGTAATGGTAAGGGCCACGGCGCCAAACGGCGCCGCTCCACGAAAGTTCGGACGATGATGATCGCGGGAAGTGTTCTGATTATCGCGAGAAGGCATCATTCCCAGGACGGCGTTGCCAAGGACATGCGTCTGATGGGAGGCCTTGCGGCGGTGTCCAGGACTTCGGTTGGACGTGGGCTTCTGGACAAATTTCCACCGAGATGGGGATCCGGCTGCGGTCTTGCAGAGCAGAACGGATGGCTTGGCTCCATTCCTGAAGATCAGGTTGAGGTTCGTCACGGGTCATGGGTTTGCGTGGCAATCGCGCAGTCGAAGTGGTCGAGTTTCGAGGCTAGGTCGCGCCAGTGATCTTCTCCTGGCTGATCTGGAACGGTGAGGTGAACGACGATGACGGTCCGGACATCTTGACCGTGTCCGTGACGACCAGAGCGGGGATGTGTATCTGCGTCACGGTCAGAGGAGGTGTGTCATCTTTGCGTGGACCAGGATGCTTTAGAAAGCGGTAAGGCCTGGCCCCGTTCCGAAGGCTTTGTGCTGTGATGCCGGCTGGCGTTCTGGCTCGACGAAGAATCAGCGCCACGCTGAGGCCGTTGATGTTTTGGTGGCTGCTGGGACGATGAGCTCGGTTGGCACGCAAATGAATGCGGCGTCGTCGAACGCGAGCATGATGTTCCGGGGGGGGGGGGGTTCGGCGTTTCAGGCGGCGATTGTCGAAGACAAAGAGGAGCTGAAGGAGGTGTAGGAGCCGCCGCGTTGGCGAAAATACCAGAAAAAGGTACGCTCTGGTCGATGGTCGTGGCCGCAGTTGGAGGGCTCAAAATAACGTGAAACGTGAAGGGGCCTGTTTTGGGAGGGGGTCTCAGGAATCCAGCACCGAAAAGGTGCCCTGAACGAGAACGTTCTCATTGAGCGCAGCCCCTCCCTCAGTCACGCCGCGCTCCCCTGCGAAATAAATAATCAAAAGCTGGCGGTGACGCCATGCCTCTGTGCACGAGGAGGTTTCACACACGCACACACACCAACTTGAGAAAGAAACAGGGAAGGCGTGCTAGCTAGCACACGTCAACCCACATCAAAAGAACACGCTGTCCTCGGCAGCTGCATGTCTGCCTCGTAGCAGTCGCCCAAGCGCCGAAGAAGGTCCCAAAAGGTCTCCTTAGACACCTTCCGCTCCCACAACTCCTTCTCCCAGGGCACATTCTCCCTAAGAGGTGACAGCTGCATGCCAATCACCCTAAAAGTTAAATCTAAGACATCCCAAAACTTGAGCCAAGATGGTTGCCACGAAGAAGATATGCTGTCAAGCGGCGACGTCTTAATGGCTATTGGGCTGCGACTGACTCCTGGCTTGCAGCCAGGTGCACTGCTTGCAACAGATTGGCTGACACTCCCACCCCGGCTCTTTCTGGCCATGTCTGTGAACCCACGCCTGCAAACAAGCTGTTTACCGCCGCACGGTTGGCGGGTGAGCTGAACCCAAGCATGCTTGTGCGTTCCGACCCATCAACAGCTGCCAACAGAAACACGAGCATCAACTTGCAACAGTAGAGTCACAAGTCTTGAGCACAATATGCCGATCTTTAGCGAATTGGGACCTGACACACTGTGCCACTGAGAAGTGGTCGCATATGCAGCTGAAACAAAAGCGCAGCTCTCACTGGCCGCACTGACTCCACCTGGCAAGGAAGCCACTGGTATCTGAAACGTATTTTTGTTGCCTGTCCCTACAATGCTGCCCCAGGCCACTGTCTTCCCAGTACCTGAAGACTCAAAATGTCAATGAAGTTGTAGGTGAAACATACGTTTGTTTCCATAGTCCTTGGAGTTTGCATTGTCCTTGGAAAACGGCCTCTGCGCCAGGGTAGTTCCGCCGGTTTGCAGCATTTCGCGCGTTGCCCGCAGGCTCGTGGGGCGCATGGCATGAGGCTAAGCCACAAACCTCTTTGCTGCGTGGCATGAGGCTAGCCTCATGCCAATAACCTCCTTGAGCCAACCTCCGGCAAGTTTGCCTGTTTGAGCTGGAGCTTACCTGCCCTTGCCCAATGTGGAAACTGTGGCCATCGTCAAAGGCAGCTTGGCACAAAATGTTTAAAAAGCGGCTGAGTGGCCACCGCATTAGCTCCGTGACTCCATCATGAGAGTGAGGCTTCGGCTGAGCATAAGCCCACAGAAGTTGATTTGTGCTAAGGTGCTTTACTAAATATGTGTACATATATAACTGGCTTCCTCGCAAATCAGGGGGGTGCTGATCACTCAGGCGTGCCTGCAACTTGCACCAAAGTGATTTCCCTTGCTGCATGGCATGAGGCTAAGCCAAGAACCTCTTTGAGACAACTTCCGCTTGTGCCTGGCAAGGCTGCCTGTTTGAGCTTGAGCTTCCCTGCCCTACTTGCCCAAGGCAGAAATCGTGGCCAGAATCAAAGGCAGTTTGGCAGAAAATGTGGGGAACACGGGATCTTCTGCCGAAATGGAGCAAATCAAGTGTGTGATTGTCTGACTCTGCGGCTGTGTGACCGTGGAACTGTGTGACCAAGCAAGAAATCAAGCACTCAAGCAAACACGCAAGCAAGCAAGAAACCAAGCACGCAAGCAAGCAAGCAAGCAGCAATCATGCTTGTGCAAGCAAGCAAGCAAGCAAGCAAGCAAGCAAACAAGCAAGCAAGCAAGCAAGCAAGCAAGCAAGCAAGCAAACAAGCAAGCAAACAAGCAAGCAAGCAAGACAGCACGCAAGATAGCAAGAAATCAAGCAAGCAACCGCATGCATGCTTGCGGCAAACAACCGGGTTACCACTCGCAAAGCCGTCAGCGTTTGTCCAAGCCGCTTCAGGATTCTTGCCCCAGGTGCCTTGTGCACATGACCGGGGGATTTCTAATCCCTCACTTGACATCAATGGAAAAACATTTTATCCTTGTCCACTTGTTCTCTCAGGTGAGGCTGCCAAAATCCCCCCGGCAGGTAACATCGATTCGGCAGCTCAAGGCTATCCTCCGCGAAAGGTTCGGTTCGGCGTTCTGGCTTGTGAAAGCAAATGCTCTCGAAATGCGCTGGGCCAAAAGAAATCTCCCTGCAGATTGATACACAAATGTTTGCTCGAGCTTCCGTGGCAAATAAGTGATGGTACATACAAACACACGGACTGCGGGGCAGATCTTTGGCTTTGCACGCTTTTTGGAATTGCGCCCGAGTTGTGGAAAATTGCGCCCGAGCGGGAAATTGCGCTCGAGTTGCGGGTTTGTTTTCTCCCGGGCACTTCACCAAAGCAGCTATGCAACCCCAAAACAGCGTTTGAATTGGATTTGAGCAGAAAAAAGCGCTCGAATGCCCAAAAATTGTCCACATCACTTTTTTGTGTATCAAAAGGCCCTGCAGATCCTTGGAACAAACCCGTCGTTTTGGGGTCTGCAAAAAGGTGATTCTCCTCGGAGCTCTCCATGTGGGGTCAGGCTTTAGCCAGTCGTGGCAAATGTTCCGCTTGGAACGCTGGTCGGTGCGCAAGACACGATACACAAAGCAAATGCCAGTGACTAGGCACCAGACGAGACAATACCGGGCAAAGAATCACTTGTGTTCCCCGTCCAAGCCTGAAAACAAACATGAATTGGATGAATTGGATGAATTGGATGAATTGGATGAATTGGATGAATTGGATGAATTGGATGAATTGGATGAATTGGATGTGAATGCAAAAGCCGGCAACTGCTGGGCAGGTTGCGATATGTTGCGGTTGCGATGTTTCGGTACGCCCCTTGTCACCGGCCAGCAATTCCAAGACTCTGCGCTCCGCAGGCGACTTTGCGGGACCGCCAAGCTGGATGCAGCGGCTCGATTGCCAACGCGCTTGGAGCACAACTTCAGCAAAGTGCATGTGAAACAGTAAGACTTTCGACGGGCCCCTGCGGGGCGAAGTGGTGAAACCTTTCTGGATCTATCCCAAATTTCCCTCCCTCGCGCTGGCAAGGCAAAATCAAAGCAAATGCAAATGTGTTAGGTATGAAACGCTTGCATGTCACCCATCACAACCCCAATGCATGTGTCCATGTAATGTAGCCTGCCACGCTGCATGCAGAGCGTGCCTTATTAGAAACATTGCTTTCATCATTTAGAACATCCCGGGTGACCATCCACACTTCACAACGAGGGGTCCAAATTAAATGCAAGTCAGGCTCCCAGCAACAAGTGAGTCATCACAACTTCCGTCTGCAACAAACAACCATTGACTTGAGCACATGGGTCGTCGAGGAGCTCACAAAATAGTGGCCATTTACCTCCCAGGCTAGCTGTGTGAGCGGGCCTGTTGCCTTCGCTCCAGCAACACCTCAAGCTGGCGGTCTGTATTGTGCACATGGCAGTGAGCCCGGGTGGCACCTGCTTCACAACACAAATGCTAGGATGCGGGGATCAATAGGGCACTAGTGAGTCCAAGTGTCAATCTAAGTAGTTGCAAGAGCGCCCTGGGAAATATGGCTTGCTGAGCTAATCGGAATTGCCAATGAGGTTTGCACAAAGCTGTTCTTCACACCATGCAATATTTGGAAAACAAAGTGCCCAGCACCTTTAGCGCGTGGGACATTGAGGCCCAGCCTCAGAATTCTGTTGGAGCGCGTGAAGATTCTCAAATCGGTAGCACCTTCCGGTGCCAAATGCCGAGAGGCTGCGATGTAATGTCGATGTCGTGGACTTTTCTGAGTTCTTTCGGCAGCTGCCAGAGGTCGCACACGTTGAACTCCTGATTCAGAGCGTGCACGAAGTCTAGCGCGTAGTTGTGGGCCTGATGCTGAATGCTTTGGGTGTCACTGATGAGCTTGCAAAACTCCTGCAGGCGGATGATGGCGATCCTGGCAAAGTCAGCGGAGATCAAATCACCAACGTGCCACCACTCGGTCCACAAGCACATCTCAGCAGCCCAAAAGCCATAGTTCACAGTCCGCTGGTGCTCTGCATGGTTGTAGCGCAGTGATGCGTGCAGGGCGAAGTATGTTGCTTCTGCCCTGGTGTTACAACAGAAGATCACTTCATTCTCACCAGAGTCAATGATTTCAACTGCCTTGCTTGCCAGCGATCGCATCACATTCTCCTCCTGCACGTTCAGACTACTGCTCAGCAAATCCTCTAGAAACGGTAGCTTTGAAAAGCAAAGGCTGTACCGTGCAAACTGCAACTCAGCCTGAAGCGATCCTGACAAGAGCGCCAAAATGAAAGGATCACGGGAATCTGACTCTCTCTGGTGATACGTGTGCTGGAGAAACCGGGTGATGCGCTGGCCTAAGGAAGCGGGGATCTTGTTCACGCGCAGAAACCGTCTGAGAAGTCCGAACTGCTGGATCTCTTCCATCCTGCCACTGTGCAAAGCAGTCACCATTGAAGTCATTGAGCTTACGACTGTTGAGAAGGTCACTAGGGAGATCAATCCAACCACGATGGAGTACATACCCTCAGTTTCATTTGTTGCCTCGATGTTTGTGCCCCCAATGCCAAGTTGACTGAAAGCCCACCGCAGGCTTGTGGTGTATTGCTTGGCAAAGGAAGCATCCTTGACGCTGGTGTGGTTGAGCCATGTTCCTGCCCCTGAGTTGAAGATGGCAATGCCAAACCACCCGCAGGCAATGACATGCTCCGTCAGCACCATGCCCATCATCACAAGGACCAGGCTAAACTGGATAGAAGCCACCTGTGATTCAAACTTGTCTCGCAAGAATGCAGCAATGTGCGTCAGCTTTCCCAGCCGGACAACCCGGCAAAGGCGCAAAAGGCGCAAAGCCTTGGTGGTGGCACGGTCCGCATCGCCCACTGCAACCGAGAACTCCAAAATCAGATCGATCGTGGTGACCACAAGATCGGGGACAAACCAAGTTCTCAAGTAGTGGCAAGCTATGCGCCGCCTATCTTGCACCAAAGTCCCCCCCTCAGGAAATGCGGTGAAGAAGGAGAGTACGATGTCGATGCTCCAGTAAACGAGCGCAAAAATGGAGCCTGAGCTGTACATAGAGAAAAAGGGGTTGACCACATAGGGCGTCTGTAACAACCACATATCTCTGCCTGGCGGCTTGCATTAAAGACAACTGCAACCAACAAATATCTGGCAACTGTTTGCCGGGATGCTGGCAGACAACCAGAAAAAGGTCGAAGTGAGGTCCTCATTCACGATTTGCAAGGGAAGTATGACGGTGTCAAGGAGCAAGAGGATGATGCCAAAGCAGTCCCAGAAGTTCCGGAAGTGGCCCGATGGACTGAGACTGCAGGCCTCTGGCTTCCTCAGGCTCACCGAGGTCACGGTGGCCACTGCCCGAGACTTCGAATTCCTTGGCTGGTCAAAAACAGGAACCCACACGTGGAACCCAGGAAAACATGGAAACAAGAAGTATAACCTGCAGTCTGGTGGCTAAATTTTGACCCATACCTGCTCTCAGCGTTGGAGCCTGAAACACGAGTGCCCAGCCAGGCAGAATCCGAAACATGAGCACCCAAAATCACCAGCTCCAAACGAAACAAGACAGCGCAAATCAGCGCAACATGTGATTGGCCCCCCCGAATGACCACATTTTCCATGTTTAGTGGGACAAAACATGTTTTGAGTGTTTTTAGTGGTTTTTCCCAATGATCGCCCCATGTAAAGCACCTTTTGATTAACCCTCATGTGTGTGCGTGTGAGGCAGCGCAATCGTAAATTCAAAGCCTAGTGCAAAAAACGATGTGACTTCTCCAGAACGTTGCGAATCAACCCTAGATCTCGGTGGGGGCGTTCTTGGGTCTGCAATCGGTGACTTCCTCCAGAATCCTTGTCAAAGCAAACTTTCGAAACTCGCATTTTGGGCTCAAAATATCTGCAGCTATTTGACTCATGTTTTCTGGCTTTGGCTGCGAGGAACAAACTACGCCTCAAGGCAGGTGTTACACCGCCATTGGGGCGCCGAAACAAATAGATCAAAAGGCTGGCTTTCGGTCGCCGAGCTTCTTTTCCTTCTCCTTCTTTCTCGCCCAGACTGCGTAGGGTGCGAAAACCCGCTCTGAAGGCATGTTCATGCTTGGTAGCTCATTGGCGTCTGGGGCCTCAGGCAATGAACAACGAGCAAATGCAAGCAAACGATCTGGCAGCGCAAGAAACAAAAACTGCGAGCGATCAAGTTCCCTGCTTTAAGCTGGTTTGAAAACGTCAGTGGCTATGGGGATGCTTGACAGGGACAACGTGATGTTGGCAACTTCGGCCTCGGGCCAATCCTCCTCTGGCAACTGGACCTTTTCGCGCGGATTCTCCAGCTCCTGGCTGAGCCTGCGCTCCAGGTGGCTGGTCTGGCGATCCAGTTGGTAGCTGAGCTGTCGGCTCAGCCGGCGCTCTGAAGGGCAAATTGCCAGCAGGCCCGCGGCTGGCGATTGGGAACCCTCCATGAAGCTGTCTTGGTTGGTGTGGCTCCTGGGGGTGCCATCTGAGCTGCAAAATGCACAGCCAAGAACCTTGCCAACTTCTTGAAAACCTGTCTCTCGGCTCTTGAAGCAGCCACATTTGGCCAAATTGGAGCTGATGAAAAAAAGGTCTGTGTTGGAAACGGCTGGCGGCCAAAGACAACATCAACCGATTTGAAACATGGGCTACAATCTTCAGGGCTCAAGCTTGGCCAAAGCCCGTCCTGATGAGCCTTGAGGTCTCTCGTGCCGCTTTTCGCTTCAAATCGGCCATATCAGCCTCGTAGCGCTCGCCCAAGCGCCGAAGCAGAGCCCAAAAATCTCCTTGCCCGGATGCCATGATCAAAGGCAGCACTGAAGATCCCGCAATGAAGCCGATGGCTGCACGCGCACTTGCCATGCAACACAAGCAAACGGACATGAACGCAAGTAATCAAGTAAGCAATCAAGCAATCAAGCAAGCAAGCAGGCAAGCAAGCAAGCTCGCAATGCCAATTGCCCTAACGTTATTTTGCGTCCAAAGCTGGCGAGCTAAACCAGCCAAGAAATGACTGGAAAAGGAGCGGTTTGGCGTTGAAAGCCCCAAACATCCCAAACCATCGTTTGTGGACGAAATGGTCTCGAGCGCTGGCGGCCAACTAGGTGATGAAGGATACATGTAAGATGATAATCCAGGACAAAGAACCAACTTGTTCGTCCTTGACTTGGCCAGCTCTTTATGGCATTGGTAGTACGGGGTATGCTAGATTCCCTCCCAATGACTAGTTCCACAAAGTGAAAGCAACAGCTGGCTGCAAGTTAGCTACCAACAGGGCAGCATGAGCGGAATTTGCAAGCTGCGAAACCAAAAACACAAGCTGTGTTTCTCAACATCATACTTTATGGATGGTTTGCTTTGGGCTTGCCTTAGCCCATAGCTGCACACAGTTTCAATATATTGAGCCAACCCCCCGAGAACATAAATGACACGCCTGGGACCCCATAGCACGGACGGCTCGCTTGCTCGTCAAACCCCTTCGCCGTTGGTACCCCCAAACCGTAAACCTTTCTTTGGGTTCACTGGTCGCGGGACCCCCACTCAAGAAAGCACAAAGCCGAGTGGCTGACAAAGGCCTTTTAGGGAAAACAAGAAGCAATCAGAAAGCAAATGGAAGTTGCAGCCTGAGTTGCGCGGGTGCGTACAAACAAGTGGTGATCACATACGGTGCCGGTAACCAGAACGCATATCCAAGCGGCAGCTTGGTCGGACAACTAACGTTTCTTTGGTTCCGGGCGGCAACGCGAGGGTCTTCAGAAAACATGTCCTGCCAGCTTCCTGTGGAACTCAGACAGCAATGTATGGTTGCTTTCAATACCTGCCCAAGAGCTGGTATAAGCATGTGAACATCGACTCGGAGTTCCCCTGCACGATGCGCAAGGGAGGCACCACGGTGTCAAGGACCAAGCTGACGATGCCCAAGAAGTCCCAGAAGCTTCGGAAGTGGGTTGAGGGGCGGAGGAAGCTTCCGATCATTGGCTCATTGGGCTCATGGAGGTCCAAGCGGTGGCCACCGCAGTTGTCCTCACTTGCCTGAACCTATGGCTGGAAGCTATGAAAGTAGAGCTGAGGTTCCGCTTGGACGCGAGCTTCTTCTCCAGACTCTGTTGGGGGTAGGGGGAATTCCGATTTGTGAGCGGGGCCTCGGGCAGCGACCAAAAGGAGGCACATAAGCGGCCACGAAAATGAAGCAGGCAATATCAGCCTACCAGCAGGCACATTGGCCAAAACCGAGTCAAAACAAGGGACCGCATAAAGCATCCCGAGTGACAAACACAACTCGACAATGTTAACCGGCGTGTCATATTTGGAGGGCAGCATGAGACGACGCTGAAACCGCGGCAAAAAACGACATTTCAACTACAATGGTCAGTGACAAACGCATCGAGGCACAAGAGTCTTTATCAAAGGCTTGAGGCACAAAATGGCACAAAATGAGGACGCCGTTGACTCTTGAATCCATGCTGCTTGCACAAAAGAATGGTGCCAAAACGCTTGGGGAGGGGGGTTGAAGGCGGGATTTCTTGACATTTGTTGCAGCATGACCTCTTGTCAGCCAGGGGTTCTGTTAGCAAACCTCTGAGGCTTAGACCGAAACAAAGAAAAGTCGCTTGGCTGAAAAACCCGATTTGTTGCACACAACTCTCCATCATCCTCTGTTTGGTGGCACCACCCCGAGCACAAAACAAGATCCCAAAAAGTCTTTGTCTGCTACATGCCACACATTCAGCAATGTACATGCCTGTGCTGGAACCTCACGGCGGCCAAAGAAAGGAGCTATCTCCTTAGCCCTGATGCCAGGGCCTAAGGGCAGGAATGATGTTGACACGAAAGAGCCCATGCCAGTCCACAACCTTCAGGACCAAACTATCCAGAACGGATCCACCAAACTATCCAGAACGGACCCACCGCTTGACTCTAAGCCCAGCCTTCGTGGAGCCATTGACCCACATGAAAAAGAACATGCGCAAGCATCAACTTCCTTTCCGCTGTCCTGTTTTTTTGGGCACTCCTGGCATCTTTCGCTTCAACCTCATGGCACTTGCTCAGGTGTCGGAGCAGGTCCCAAAAGTCGCCTTGCCCGGGCATCCGGTAGAAGCCAGGCGAAAACTCGACGGCCACCCCAGGGAGAGGCCTCGAACCTTTCCAAGGGCCAAACATCTAGAGATAATCCCCAGCTTCAAGCCAATGGCTGCACACAGCTAAGCGGAAATGTGGTCTGCGACTACGAAATGGCTATCCAAGGAAATGGCCTGGCGCATTCTTGCACAAGCATGGCAACACAGCAATCAACTGTGGCAAGCTGATCAACCACATCCAGCCAAACAAATCCTGATAAACTTCCGATTGCAAGTTGGCCCAGTTTGTTCCCCCCGCCCCCTCCCACGTGCCACATGTGTATATTCCAATTACTTGTGCATTTTCCACGCAAACACTTCAATCGTCCTGCCCATCATCCGGAGGCCGCGTGCCAATGTCCCGATGCGATGCCGCGATGCGGCTGCTGCAAGTAAAGCCGCAAACAATGCGCGGCCGCTCCCTGCTAAATATTTCGATGCCGCTTTGGAGTTTGCGGTGCACCGTTTGGTTCAGAATTCAAAACAAAACGAGTCCCATAGTTTTGGTTGGGTTGCTGGACTTCATGTTTCGGGGTTGGTGAATCCAGGCAAATCCCCCCCCTCATTTTGAACTCTGATGGAATCTAGCAAAAAGACCTCTGCACACGTTCCTCGTTGCTCCCGTTTCAAGGTGCTTCAAGCACCCGGCCGTGCTTGCGCGAAAACAACTCCGGGGAAACAAGGTTTCCACTGAGTTTGCATAACGTTAATAGTTTAATGATGCGTTGAAATAGGAGCCGGCCCCAAAATGCTGAAGCTGGAGCCGATGACAAGGGCCATCAAGGGCCCAAACCCGATGAGCCATGACACACTCTCCATCAACAAGGAAAACATCGGCTTGAGCAACCGTGCGGTGAATTGGGGCCACTGGGTGGTTCAAAACGGGGGATGCCGTTCGATGGCCATCCGAACGCGCAGTGGAATGCCAATACGACAAGGTCAAGCTACCATCTGGCATCAGGATTCAGGATAGCTTTTGAACAACCCAGTTCACTGCCAACGGTCAATGCCCGACTCCATCAGACACCCCAAGCTGGCAGCTTTCTAAACACACTTTCGGACAATCAATTACTGACAGCCGCGGGCATGCCGCGAATGCTGCGCAAAAAACCCCTATGGCAAACATGCCTGGCTCACAAGGGCTCTGCTCTTTCGAGCCGCCCGTGCAAGCTAGTCGTTAATTTTGACCCACGCTTTCCGCGCTTGATCAGTCAGTGAACGGCTTGGCACCCAAGCCTGAGGATAAGAGGATTAACGCGTTATCTCTAAACCAAGCCAACAATCTCCACCATTTCAACGGCATACCCGGCTGCTCAGGCAATCACTGGCTAGCTTGCATTAAAACGCCCAACTCCTGTACAATATATTTATGCGTTGGGAAGGACAAGGTAGCAGGAATTACGTAGGTATTGCCAGGTGTTTTCGGCTCACAGTCAGTTGCAACGGGGCACAGCCCCAGTCAAGACTGCTTCGCAGATTTGACGGCAACGGAACTACAACCTCAAACTGGCAAGACCTTCCGACGCCAACTGACGAGCTGTTGGGACCCGAGGGGCTGTTCGACACTGTGGTCTTCCCCATGTTTTGGCGGCTGCCAGAGGTCGCACGCATCTGCATGGTTCAGAGCTCGCACAAAGTCTAGAGCGTACTTGTGGGCCTGCAGGCTGGAAGTTTCTTGCAAGGGGTTATAACCAACTAAAGGGCACTGCGGCACTTGTTTTGTCTGTCCCAGATTATCAGATCCTTGCGAAAAGTTGAAATTTAAATGGAAAGGCCACAACCACTAAATTCTAAACACCTAAGAACTTGAGGGGATGGGAACCCCTTCAAGTCTCCAGGGCCGTTACATCTATGGCCCGGCCTGCTGCTGCATGCTTGGGGTGCCACTGATGAGCCCGCAAAACTCCGGCACGCGGATCGTGGCAATCCGACCGAAGCCGACTGAGAGCAAATCCCCAACATGCCACCACTCAGTCCACAAGCACATCTCAGCAACCCAGCTGCCATACTCGACAAGCCCTGGACTGTTGACATGCAGGTATTGCATTGATGCGGTCAGGGCAAAGTACGTCGCTTCTGCCTCCGTGTTGCAGCAAAAAATTATGTCATTCTCAGCTGAACTGATGATTTCAACTGCCTTGCTTGCCAATGACTGCATCACCTTCTCCTCTTGCGCGTTCAGACTGCTGCCAAGCACACCTTCTAGAAATTGTATTTTTGCAAGACAATGGCTGTACCGCGCAAACTGCAGCTCAGACTGTAGCGACCCGGACAAGAAATCCAAAATGAAAGGGTCACGGGAATCTGACTCTCTCTGGTGATACGTGTGCTGGAGAAACCGGGTGATGCGCTGGCCTAAGGAAGCTTGGATTTTGTTCACGCGCAGAAACCGTCTGAGAAGTCCGAACTGCTGGATCTCTTCCATCCTGCCACTGTGCAATGCAGTCACCATTGAAGTCATGGAGCTTACGACTGTTGAGAAGGTCACTAGGGAGATCAATCCAACCACGATGGAGTATATACCCTCAGTTTCATTTGTTGCCTCGATGTTTGTGCCCCCAATGCCAAGTTGACTGAAAGCCCACCGCAGGCTTGCAGTGTATTGCTCGACGAAAGAAGCATCCTTGACCTGGGAATGATTCAGCCATGTCTCTGACGAGCTGGACATGGCGATGCCGCACCAACCGCAGGCAATGACATGCTCCAGAAGCATCATGCCCATCATCACAAGGACCAGGCTGAACTGAATGGATGCCACCTGTGATTCAAACTTGTCTCGCAAGTACGCAGCAAAGCGTGTCAGCTTCCCAAGCCGGACAACTCGGCAAAGGCGCAAGAGGCGCAAAGCCTTTGTGGTTGCACGGTCTGTGTTGCCGTCTGCAACCGAAAACTCCAAAATCAGATCAATCGTTGTGACCACAAGGTCGGGGACGAACCAAGTCCTCAAGTAGTGGTAAGCGATGCGTCTCCTTTCAAGCACCAACGACCCCCTGTCAGGGAATGCTGTGAAAAACGACAGCACCATGTCGACGATCCAATAGGCCAGCGCGACTGTGGAGCTTAATGCGAGCAAGGGGAAAACGTAGTCGAAGTCCTCTTTCACGATCTGCAACGGAAGGATGATGCAATCCAGGACAAGCAGGACAATGCCTGGGTGTTAAACAGCGGGGTCGGGAAAAACTATGAGTTTCCTGTGTCCTTTTGAAGGACAGCTAAAACAACACCATGTTATTTAGCACCTAGACGCCAAAGAAGTCCCAAACGTTCCGAAAGTGCCCTGTCGGGCTCAAAGCGTATTGCCCCGGCATCTCTGCGCTGGTGGTCGTCAAGGAAGCGCGGACACTGACGCTGCCTCGCCGGATTTTAGGCTTCCGCATCCAGCAGACGTGGGCGATAAAGTTCCGATCCGTGGGCGCTCGCAAGCTGAACAGCTGGCCGGAGTCCGGGGCCTCACGACTCGTCAGCGAGTGGGGTGAGTACGCGCGGGTGTGAAGCAGCTTACTTCTTGGGGTAGCAAGTCGCCCGAAGAAGTCCGAGGTCAAGGGCCCACAGGACGCGAACAAGTGGCAATCGTGTCGATTGACGTTTTCCCGGCGTGGATTCAAGAACACTTGGTTGCTGTTGACCCCTCTGCAAAAAGTCTATCTTTTCGTGGGTTTCGTGGAAAACCAAATTTAAATTCCCAAAAGGTTAAAGTCTGAAGAGATCCAACGTAACCCATTTGCAGTCAGGAACAAGGCCACTTGGGTTTCCTTTCGCCTTCTGCCGGGCCGCATCGGGCGCCTCTGGCAGGACGGGGGCCGAAGGCCTCCGGAAGGTGCCGTGGCTGCTCAGCCTCGGCTCCGGCCAAGGAGAAGGGCGTGTCTTTCGAGGAATTTCGAGTTCCATTTTTTCGGGGAAAGTTTCGGAAACTTTCCTGGCGGGAAACCCTTTCCCTTGCTGGTCCCCCATGTCGCCCCCCCCCCCCCCCGTGACCACCAAAAAGTGTCCCCCAACAGCGGATGTTCTTCCCCGTGCTCAGGGGAAAACGGGCAGGTGATGTGTTGCACCCTCAAGCCTGTGGAACCCCTGTCCCAATCTGAAATCGATGCCTATTCTTTGGCAGCAAGGCCTTGAAGGACAAAGGCCATCTACCAACAATTCTTCCCTCCGCGACGTCAACTCTTCCGGGCCGGGCACTTGAACACCCCGAAAAACCTTCAGAGAAAAAAAAAAAAACGTTGAAGGGTTGATTTGGCTCGGCTTCGGCTGGCCTCACGCCACAATTCGCAAAAAAAAAAAAACGGAACTGCCAGCTGCCGAATAAAATCCTTGAGCAACAAGCACCCTTTCACAAAGCAAACATGTTAACATAGACTGGGTATCTTGATCTGTTCAACGCGAGTTCACGAAAGCAATAGACTTTGAAGCATCCAAGAGGGCTTCAGACTCGTGGCTAGTGCTAGCGGAAACCATCCCCTCGCATCTGAAGGCCAGGCCGCGGACTACACGGGGACGACGTCTTCTTGGGGCTTGGGCAAGCGGGCAGGATGTCGAGGTTGGGCTGAGTCTCCTCTCTCGAGGGGTGAATCTCCGGGCTGGTGAGGCTCCTGGCCACCAAGTGGAGCTTTTTGAGGTCCCAACCTCTTGTGAGCAAAACCAATGGGTCCAACGACACTTCCGGCGGAGGTTGGCCGTGTGTTTATACCTGCACACGCAAAAGGCAAAGGTCATGTGAGCCAGAAACTGAATTGTTGGCTTCCGCGAGCCCTTGCTTTTGTTGGAAGCACCCTTTCGCTCCCACACGAGCAACTGCGGCTATGAGTGTGTTTGTCAGCTAATATGTTTCCCTTGGGTCGTGTTGGGTGGGCCTGTTTGGGCTGAGGCCTAACTTGGAAACCACCAGCTAAGTCGTATTTCGCCAAGAAAAAGCCAATCGCAAACGTGCCCCTTGGCCCCAAACCTAAAAATCTTTGGGGTGAAGAAACAGGTCCGGACATTCTATCCTGGGGCTTGTGTGGTGACCTTGTGCTACTTAGCTCGCTGGTGGGAGGGATCGTCATTACGAGCCACGCAAGGCCCTCTCTCTGTAAAGGCGTGGCCGTCAAACCTGTGGTTTGGTGACGTCTTCGTGAAGGTCTGTGCAGTTCAATGTTTCTTGAAAACTCCAGTTATTAATAAAATTGTTTTGATGCACACAACTCATTTGCACAAAATACCACGTTTGTTGGTGGGTGTCAGTGAGATGAATGAGGCCTTGCAAGGTTCTGAAAAAAGGGTGTCCACCCTGTTGACCCCTGAACTTGATCATTCCACACCGAAACAAAGTGATGCATGCCCCGAAAGGAAACAGGTTGCATCCTCCAAACGGGTTCCACACTTGTGAACGCTCATTTTGGGGGGCCACGCCGCCACGCCTTTCAGTCAGCCACTCTCCAGGAACTGGTCCAACACGTGACGATAACCCAGCGCCTATGGGTGTTTGCGCATGCACCTTGCGGCATATCTTTTGGGTACATGCTTCCAAAAGGCTTGCTGTTCAACCCCCTACCCACAGCCCAAGCTCTTCCAGTCCTCGCTTGGACAGGCGCCCTTCGCTTGAGGTCTGCCTCATAGCATTTGCCCAGACGCCGCAGGAGGTCCCAAAACTCATCCTGCGGCATGACCTATGGAAAATAAAAAAGGGAACTTCTCCAAGTCTCCAAGAGCCTCGGTCCCTCGGCAACTTGGGGGGAACACCTATGGTTTTCAGATTCCTTGTTCCAGGCTCTTGGAGTTTTGGATGGAAATGTACTGGGCTGATAGCCGAAATCGCTCTGATCAAAGCTGCGGCATTGGAACCATCTCCTGACCTGCCACAAAAAGGGGGGGTTTGCTGCCTTGACTTGGCGTATATCTTGGGGACATAGAGATAATATTGTCAGATTCTGCTTTGTGATTGGCCAACCCTAAAACAAATTAGTTTGGAGGGGACCCAGTGGACATGTAAGAAAACATGCGCAAAGGATTGCAAAGGCTTTTGCAAGCTGCTGCAGTCGTCCAGTCTCTAAGAAAGGACCTAGCCTACGGTTCGCGAACTCAATCGCAGGCCTGTGCATTCTGCACTGCCAAGTGATGCCTATACATGACCCCTCGACTCCTGAGAGTGTGAACTGCCCAGAAAAACAAACTTCTGCCAGCCTGGGCACCAAATCTGCCTGGCCCACACTGCACCGGAGTGAAGGAGCTCGAATTTTCAAAGGGCTGTTGGGGTACATGCTTTGCCCCAAATTGGCTAATTACTTGAATCGCCCGGCCCTCTGAGCTAGTTTTGGCAAAGGGCCGAGGGCCAAAGTGTAGCCCGCATTTCTGGGCCCAAAAGAGGATGCGGGCGGAACGATATCGCTCAGTGCATGTGGGCCTGTGGCGGCTTCCTGGGCTCGGAAAACTTGTTGATTTGCTTTAAAGATGTCTTGCTTCCTCTCCACAAGGCGGTCAAAATGATATGTCCCGAGGTGAAGTTGACGCGGTTGCCAACTCCCCCCTTCGGCGATTTCGGGGAGCCAACTCAAACCTTGTGGTCGGGGTAATTTTTAGGGGTAGCTGTATTGCCATACCTGAGGGGAGGTCATCTTCCAAAAGGGGCGCGGCAAACTACCAGCTGAATTTAAACCTCCGAATGAACCGAGAATCATACACTCCATAGACTGCTCATTTTGACCAAGACGAATTACCTCACTGCAAATAGATTAAGACATTTGCAAGTCGGCTGCTTTACCTGCAACGCGCAAGCCAACAAAAGTAGCAAAGGCTGAGTGGCCTCGTTTATGCCAAGCGGCGGATGGGGCATCGCTCCATCAAAGGGACCCCTGTCATCCTGAGCTGTGAGATGAATGGAAATGGGGACAACCCAAGAGATTTCCACAAGAGTGTGGACTTCCTAAGCCAACGGCCATCTAGAAATTGTCCAGTCCCATGTTCAAATCCAAATTGCGCACCCACGGTTGGCACTCCAACCACTTGGCACAACCTCGGCCCTCGGCCTATGACAAAAGACGCCATGAACGAGAATTGCTTTAGCTAAAGACATGCCAAGTGTTCAGGGAATTAGCCCCCTGGTCCCCGCACAAACCAAGCACACGGAAAACAACAGGAATCCATGTGGGAGAACACCGCGAAAACAAGCGCCTCAAACCAATCCCCGTCGCCGATATCCACCACGACCTCAGAAGATGCAGCCGAAACAAAGAGGAGGCCCATTTTGGCTAGCCAATATATGCCATGTCCAAATCTGGCAAGCGGTTGAAGGCTTAGCTCCTGAGCAACGCTTGTGAGCGTTAAAAGCATTGGCGAACTGGAAACAAGGCAGGTAAAGAAAGGTCTTGACAGGGTCAGGCATGGTCTGACACGGAAGCGGCTAGCGCCGGCACCCACCCCAAGTGCATTTGCGCATGCATATGTCGTTCAGCATGGCCTGCAAGAAGGGCCAAAGCAACATAGCAGCATCACACCGACAAAAGCAAGTTGAGAAAACAAACAGTGTAGGACATGACGCCACACACTATTCATTCAAAGGCGTCCCATGAATGAATCAAAGAAGTGGGAACCATCCAGCTGCTCCAAATGGCAGTTCATGCTAAGGTCAACCCAGGACGCATCAACCCCTAATTGTTAATATGGGGGTGTTCTCGGTTTTAGTGGGAGTCCGAGGACTTGTGAGGGGAACACCCCCAGCAGGCATTCATTAATCCGGGTTCAACAATACGCCTCACATGTTTCGATGCAACACTGCTTGAGCAAGGGAGAACCCCCTGAGACAGTAGCAACTGGGCAGATCAAAAGTCATGCGCTACGCGTTGTTCCCGCTACACACATGAGCGGGACCAGGCAACCACTGAAAGTGACGGATGAACGTCTAAGCTGCACGCATGGTATCAACTTCTGCCATACCCTACCTAAAGGGACGGCTTCCCTGTCGTGTTCATGAGTCACTTTTCAGGGAACTCACGCCACAGCTGCCCCATTGGGAAGCAACAGGGCCAACGTTCGGTCAAAGCACATCTCCGGAATATTTGAGAAACCCACTGTAAGAGTTAAACCTGAAACAGCATCCTTCAGAAATGTTCGGCGCATACGTGTCCACAATTTGCCTAGAAGGATCTGTCTTTTTTGAGGGAACCCTTTGTTGGGGGCGGTCAAGTGGAAATCAACAGGAGCACCACCCCGTGACTTGCCAAAAAGGAGACCCAGGCCCCGGCTGCTTCTGCACGAGCCAGGTGCCCTGGATCTCGGTAGATGAGGAGCTGATGAGCACTGCAGCCAGGGCAAAGGTAGTCCTGCGCGCCAGGATGCTGCTGAACAATGAAGCCGCCCCCTTTGGCGGGAGTACTCGCACGGAGACACCTGCACTTCTCGGTAGTGGGCGTCCACAAACGCGCGATGCGCAATGCAAGCCATCAATACCATCATGTTTCTTCCCGAAAGGAGGCTTGAACATCAAGAAATGGGCATGTCTTTCTTGCCTGCTTGGCGTAGGTTCCTTCCCTCAGAAACGCAATCTCTCTCTCTCTCTCTCTTTCTCTCCCTCTCTCTCGCTCTCAAGCCCGTCATTGATGCTGTTCAGCAGGACCTTGGCATGGAGATAAGCTGTGAAACCACGCCAATCATGATCATAGGAACTCAGCACAGAAACCATGGAGCATCGCCTAATATATTTACTCTTGGTTCTCACCAACTTGGTTATGAAGGTTCATGCAGGAACCCATGAAAGCAGGTAGTGGAGCCACCTAATTAAAATCGTTGCTCAATTGCCAATTGGAAATGAGACATTCCGAAGTGTGTGAGTTCATTCCACCGGCACAACTCCTTCTGGCGTGTGGCAGGGCGCCAGGTAGCCCCGACACAAATGATTCTCTCATAGGCGTGCGTTTATCAGAGCTTCGCGATGAGACGTGAAACAAAAAGCGACACACTGGGGGTTTCTGGGCAACAGTGTCGCTTTTTGGCGACTTTGCTGCTGGAGGCGGTTGCTTTTCCGACTTTGGGTTTTCACGGCGGTTTGTTGCTTGAGGCGGTTTGGCAACTTTTGGGTTGCCCTGAAGTAATGACTTTTTGGTGGGACAAAACCATGTGCCCATTGATCCCACATGCATCCGACAAGAGGCCGCTGTGAAAGGGGAACGTGCCCCTGAAAAGAAAGCGAACTTGCGTTTCTGGCACATCCGCCCAGAGTCCTTTCGGGATCCACCTTGAGACCCATGGTCTCCCTGGGTCAATGCGACATCGTGGGTCCAAGGCTGCGGCAAAAGGCACCATCACTGAGAAGATAAGAGAGGACCTGAGTGTGCGCTGTCAGGTCAAACGGCCAGGCTCAGGGCCAAACTGAAGCATCACAACCATTGCAGTCAATCGCTCGTCATATCGCTCGTCATTCGTATTCGTCTTGTTCCTTGCTCCCCTGCTCCCGTCTGATGTGATGTTCCCTCGCCCCCTCATCCTCTCATCCTGGGGCCGGGACACCATGATGTCGCGTGACATGCGGTGCGCACGCACCCACAGCCTCATGCTAGCAGCGCACGTCTTATCACACATCCCACTCTCACCCTCACCGGGCAGAACGTCGGGCCCCCATCCACCCACAAAAGGAACATTGGGTGGGAGGGATGATCAATTGCCTGGGGTGCGCGTACATCATGCATTGCGCACCCCCCCCCCAATCTGCAGGTGAAACCGATCTGCCCTAAGGCCAGCGATACTCCCAAAGGCCAGACACAGACCAAAGTTAGCATGGTCAAAAGGGGAAATGGGTATATGTCTTAAAATAGGGGGAAGCCCAGTCAATCGGGGCATTTGCACCAAAAAGGGAGAAAAAAAAAAAACAACAACACCACATCATAAAACCAACGAAACAACAAGACGGGTGGAGCTCTGGTGCCCAGAAGGTTTCGGGGAAACTGAGGAGCTGCAAAGGCAGCCCGCAGCAGCCCAGGACGTTGCAGCACCTGGACCTGGCCCCACTGGCTTTGGGGGTGCAAACAATCTGGGTGAATTATGTCATACTTCACCAACCTGAAATACGGCGGTTGGGGGGGCTATTCCCCACATAAACCACCATTTGGGGTGAATTCGGTCGTGTGAGGTCGTTATAATTCACCCAGAACAATGCGGATGGGAACCATGGACACCTCTCGCCCTTTCTGAAGCTTGCGCTTGGGTCGCCTCGCGGCCCAAAGCCAGAGGAAGATTCGACACGCAAAGGGCCCTTTGCGGGTGTGAGGAAGGGCCTACGCACGCAGTCTCCAGTATTGTTCCTTGTCGCAAGTTCGACATCATGCTGGCAGGTTGGGCCCGCTTGATTTGTAGATTGCAGGTTCATGCTGATTCATGTGACATGTGCCTATGTGTTGGCAGTTGCGTTTGCAAGCCTTCCGGCGCCAGCTGTGTTCGGCGATGTTGAGGACACCTGCAGTTTTGACTTGTCACGGAATATCCGAAAACGCTCCTGGGTCACTTGAACGTTCAAACCAGGGGACATGTCCACAGAGCAGCAGCCTTGGTTTGGCCCTAAGATATTATTAGTTCAGTGGCGCCGTCTAAATCCCTTCTAAAGGCGTTGCCATCAGATGTCATAACACCCCACAAAAGGGGTCCAATTCTTTTTCTGCCGGGGCTGAAGGATTGCGGATTCCAAATTGCGTTGTGTTGGTGACAGTCATTTGCTGAGTCGGTTGATGCCCGGTTGCCCCATGCCCCCCAACGGAACAACATACCCAATCTCCAAACCTGTGCAGACCAAGGGGCAGAGACAAACCAGAAGCCCTGCTGTCGCAGTTGGTTGAATGTAGGGGGCACAACCTCCCCATTTCGACTTTATGATTCTCTGCACTTGTGCAAAGGGAATTGCGCCATCTGATCTGGTTTGTCTTGATTTCCCGTGGAACCGCAACCCAAAAAAGGCATGCTGAAAAACCGACGCTCTACATCTTAGCCAGGACCTGTGGGAAAAACGGATAGGTTTGGACAGGCACCCCCCCTTCGCACCTACAAGCTGGCCCCTTGAAGCGAACATTGCCTTTCCAACCCCCCCCCCCAGCAGTGTTGGAGACGGAGTAGGTTTGGGGTCCACAGAAAAAAATGCCGTCAAACTGCGCTGCTTCCGGCCATGCCTGAGCATCCCTTCACCTTAGTCGTTTGCGCGTTCACATGCTCCAAGCCGAGGCATTTCGGATCAAGACCCTGGGAAGGAAGAAAGCCCGGAGCGTGGACCAAAAAGCCACGCCCTCCATTTGCTTGTCCATGGTTGCTTTTCAGGTGTGCGGCGCTGGGAAAACGAACCAGTCCCCGCCCCCCTCCCCCACATGTGCCAATTTATGAACAGGTTGGAGTTGGAAAGACTTGGAAAGAAGCCCCCCGCCCTGCTGTTTGGCAGGGTTTCTTCTATATCTCCTCTGCACATCTGCCAGTGGTAAGTCACGTTCAAGCGGTGATGTGCAAGTCATCCAAGCGGGAACTGGATGCGCCGAGGCGCCGAAAAAGATGCACATCATCAGAAGGCCCCACTTCAGGATGAAGCCGGCTACGGAGGCGTTCCTGACATTGATTGACGTTGCGCATTTCACCGAAAGCTGCCCTTGGACAAGGATTCTCTCAGGTGGAAAACTTTCCGCGATGACAAACAGAAGGAGATTGGTTGAACAAGATGCGAAGGCTTCCGAAACCCGTGCCGAAAACCAAAGCATAACAACTCTGTTGTTTGCAGCCGCCGCACGAAACACAAACACAACAAAAGAAACACATGAGTAGACACACAGGCCAAAATCAGTGAAGGGGTGAACCTTCCTGAAGCCCCGAAGGTGTTGCTGCGAGAAGAACAGGCACCCACTGACTGCTTGTTCTAAAAAACACAAAGCCTTGGACACGGGGGTTGGCACATGGGGCCAACCAAATCGAAGGGAAACACCGGTGCTACGTCTCATCTCTGCAGTTTTATGGGCACGAAGGATGCCCATCCATGTTTTCCTTGTGAACCAACCGCACTCAACCACACGAAAAAAAAAGAGAAAGGAAACTTGGTATTGGAACATCAATGGTTTTGTGGCTCCCTTACTTGTGATATGGAAAAACCATCCACCATACCTTTCTGGGTTGCGACCCCCATTGCTACAGGGATTTTCTTTGCTACAACGGCCGAGGACCCACGTCCATTTGCTTAAGCTGCTGGAAAAAATAAACACCAACAGGGGAAAATACAAAACATTATTCCCACCAAAACCCCAGGATTTCCGGCACTTCCGGCTGGATCCTTTCGAATTTAGTGGCCTCCAGCCGATGGCCACGAAGACGTAAATTGCATAGACCTCGGCCAAGGCGGAAAACGGCGCTGACACCCTGATCCCAGTGGTTCAACCCTCACTAGGTCCTCCAGTAGAGAGGTTAGAATAAGGGTACCCTTTCTTCTGTGGTTTATTTTAGTAGGGGAACCCTCCCCCAAAAACACATGTGGGTTATTGAACCTAGATCCTTTGCAGTAGGTTTTATCGTCCCCAGGAAAGTTGAGAAGGTTAGTCTTGAAGCGGGGCTTGAATGTCAAGACCTTGCCCCGACAAGTGTGCTTTGTAGTCAACCGTCATTCCCGCCGTCATGTCACCAGGGACGCCAAGTACAACTAGCAACCGTGTAGAACGCCCAACACGCCCAAAACTACCAGGAAACCAAAAAGCCTACGAAAAGGCCGGAGAAGGAATCTTCAGGAGGGTTTCAAATTGCGGAACGCCATATACTGGGTATGCCTGTTTTTGGAAACAATGTAGGATGTTTCTCCAGACGATTGGCTTCTTGCAATGTTCTGCCTTGCGGATGAGGGCAGGTCGTTTTGTACTGCACAAATCATTCTGTTCCAGATCTGATAGCCACTGGCCAACGGCCTGATGAAACTGACGCATGTGCCACAGGAATTGTAGCACCTTTGTTTTCCAGCAATCAAGAAAGAACAGTGGCTCCTGGTGCTTCTCCTTTCAAACGCCATTCACAAGAGGCTCCCTAAACTTCAGGTCATACCAAGGGTGCCTGAACGGCAACGTCTGCTTCACAAGATCCTCTAAATCCAGCCAGAACTGGTGATTTGCCCAAGTGTATGCTTCAAGAGCCCCTGGCCCAATTCTGTCTAAACGACATTGTTCGCAAAAGGAATCTCCTTTAGAAAGGACGATACCTGTACTCTTCATGGACGAAATCCACTTCGCGACAGCAGATCGGTGAGCTGTCCCGTTCATATGGCTTCATCTGTGCAGGAGTTCGTCCATCCACAGCGCAGGACTACCGAGTGATACTTAAACCACCAAGAGGGGAAATTTGGGTGTGAGTTTTTAGGGGTACCCTCATTTTGGGTGGTCGCCCCAGTTTGACATAGACCCATGGGTGTGTCTTTTCTTGGACCCCCCGCCCCATTTTGGGTGGTTTTGTGTTTGGTTTTCCTTTGGAACCACGAGAAGGGGGTATCTGCCGTCAACGAAAACCAGTCGCATCTTGCTTTCCGGGGCGCAGCTTCTGCCAGGTCCAGCACCGTCACCGTCCAGGCCGAGAAGGAGAGCCTAACCCACCATTTGACCCACCACGTGGGTTTTCCTCGTTCCTAAGGGCAATGTATTGTGCCTCTCTGGAAGATGATTCCTGTACCATTCTTGTCACTCCGACGTGGTATTTGTAAAAAGGATCCCTGAAAATAATTGGGGAAGAAGCCCAAACAAGGCAATAGTGCTTGAACAACATTGAACAACCATCTTCCTCACACAACGTGCTGCTGACCTGGGTGACGATGCGTTTGAAACAAAAACGGGCCACCTCGCTCCCCCCAAGGCTGCCTGGAAGCCTAAGCTGGGGCGTCCAATCGCATCTCAGCAAATCCTGCTGTCAGAAGCAGCTAGGTCCCATTCAACAACAAGCAATCCTGCAAACTTAGAAGGAAACACCTGCCCACCTAAAATCTGCAACCCAGCATATCTATAGCTGGCAGTTGGCAATGAATAAGCTTGCCGAAATCAACCCGCGTTGCTTCAACCACTGCAGTGCAGCTGAGGAGCGGAATTCCCAGTTCACCTTGGGTCCCATTGGGCACAATTCGGCCCTTTCCTTTTGCATCATTGCACTCTCCATTGGAGGGGTCGGAATCTTTTTTGGAAGCTTTTGGACCTCACAAAACCAGATCTCCTTTGTGGAGGTCCCAAAATGCTCAGGCCAAACAGCATTTTTTCGGGGCTCCCAATGCGTCACTTCCATCAGAAGTTAGCCGTTCCAGCTTGGCGCTTGGTTACAGAAGCCGCAGCCAGAGATGCGGTTGTACCATCCGCTTGCCGCGGGTCGCGGCCATGTCGAGGATGTGATTTGCTGGTTTTGATCCAGGCAACTTGTACCAACATATTCCTTCCAAGAAAAACATAACAGTGATTACCTACTTGGGCCTGCTTGTTTGCACGTTGATGTGTTAAATACGGGGGACGTTTTTGATGATGTAAAAGAAGATCCAAAAGAAAGCCACCTCAAGGGTTCCTAGAACACATTGCTCCTGCGCAAAACGCATAGTCGGTCGGACTTTCATCATGGGTGAGCGTGCTCCACCCGAAATGGGTCAGCTCGTCCCAGATGCCTGGTTTCGCTTGCGTGCAGCTCACGCCCCCTCCGTGCTGCCAGGACACACCAACGTGGCCCTGCCTGGGTGGCAAAGCCAAGTGGCAGCCTTCGAAAATCGGTTTATTGCTTTCATTGTTGCTTTTGGAATGCTCAACTCAGCAATTGGTCAGTTTTCTTTTGACAGGTTTATCCTATTACCTTTTCAAGCTTTATTTTGTGGAACTGCGTCGTTTCCCAAAAGATAGGCTTTGAAGCTAGGTGAAACGCCGATGCTATCAGAATGAAAATCCGGTTTCGTGTTTAGAACTTTGCGCATCGGAAGGACTCAAGCAAACAGCAAAGCACGTGGAGAGCAATCATGGTTCTCTTGGAAAAGCCCCTCTGCCCAAAGCATTTGCTAATCCCCCTTAGGGAAGATCCACTAACAATCGCCGAAGGTAAACGAGAGAGCCCGGCGGTGTGGCTTCAAAATCTGGGCATTGTGGCTTCAAAGTCTGGGCATTGCCACACCCGTTTTTTTGGACTGTTTCCATGGGTGTCGGAAACAACATTACTCTCAACAACATGACATTTTCAATGGATCAGAGTTGCACCTGTGCTAAAGTGATGCTAAAGTGATGCTAAAGTGATGCTAAAGTGATGCTAAAGTGATGCTAAAGTGATGCTAAAGTGATGCTAAAGTGATGCTAAAGTGATGCTAAAGTGAAGTCACATCGGTGGGTGCCGTCATGCTCCGTGCCATTGACTCGTCGCGACTCGTTCCAGCATGGAGAATTAGAGGCGTCCGACAAACAGATCAAAGGTGATGAGTAAACCACCTGTGGATTTCCACTGTCTGTTGTGTCCCTAGGTGGTAACCGGAGCGTTTCGGCGGCTTTCAACTTTCTTGATCTGCCCCTTTCTTGGGGAGGACTTTGTTCTGTGAAGACCGAGTCTGACCACAATTCATGGACTCAAGGCCCGCGCCAAGTATGCAAGCACATGATCTATTTGCACCACCAGGGTTGGATAAACCTTGATTGAACCACCGACCTCTGGCCCTCCAAGCGGACACCGGAAGGAAGCTGCACAACATATGGGCAAAAACAACATGCTTGACGCGAAACGGCAAAAACTGCCCGTCTCATTCCGGAACAAATCGCATCAAATATGCGATGAACAAGCAAGCAAAACAGCCAACAAGTATCCGCACGCAAGCATTCACGGCATGCAACAAAAGGGGAAGAAACAAAAGAACAAAAAAGAACAGCCTGTAGGCTAGAAAGCCGCGCCGTTTCAACACCATGCAATGAAAAAAACAACAGAACAACATATCCAGCATGCAAATATATATTATTGAAACAAAAAGAAAAGAAGAAGAAAAACAAGAAAGGAAAAAAACAAACCAAACAAAAACATGCAAAAACAAACACGACCAAGCCATGTAGACCGCACCCTTCCGGCCGCTCGATTTTTTCTCCCGGCCTCCGGCATGGTGGCCCCCCGCGGCATGGCCGCTGCCGCTGGCGCCGGCGCCACCTCGCGGTCCTCGCGAGGGACTGAACACACCGGTTAGTAAATGGCAGATGCAGACACCGAAGTAAATGATCCTGAATCGGCAGTGGTTGTCAAAAGTAGGGCAACCCCAAAGGGACTCAAGTACATTGCAGATGCTCAAAATTAAACAGGAGGGGCAAACCGCAGGTTTTGGTCCATGTTATCACTTACCAGGGTTCCAGTCAGGCATCGGTCTTTTGAGCCACAGCCATTTGGCAGTGGTGGTCAATAGGGCAACCCCAAAATGGCTTGCATGACAGGGTAAATGGAAACTTCAACTACAAGCTGCGGTTTGTTGGTGGTTTAACTTTGACCCACACCCAAGTCAGGAGGGGTACACTCCTGTCCACTATGGAACCTGACTGAAGGGTCTGGAACACAACTGTCCTTCGAAAGGGACCCTCTGGAAGGTTGCATGTTTGTGGACAGGAGGGTAGGTGAGGTGGATGAACCTAAACTGGGGGAACTAAAATGGGGGAAATGCGGCTGCACACCATCTACTTTCACTCAACTGTACGGTGGATTCCATGTCGAGCTCACAGATCAGGCCGCACAGCGGAAGCACCCCTGCCCCCAAAGCTTTTTGCAGCCCAAACCAATGTTCCCTGACCCTCCCTATAAGCACAGATGTGCAAAAGCCCCGTTTCAGAAAGACTAATTACTCTTGACAAAGGCCTTGTGCACCAAACAAATGGAAAAGATTCAAGTGTGAATCGGATGAGTGAGCCAAGGTCCCTTAAACAGACATTGTGGTTCTGAAAGCCATGTTTGGGTTCTTGGACCACTATTTTAGAGGGTTATTTGGAGGATGTCATGTGAACTTACTCTTGTCTCTTTCCTGGAAGGGGGGAGGAGAGCTCCAAACTCAATGTGGTTCTTGATGAACATGTCATGCTGCATTTATACCTATATATATGTATACACATATACATATACATATATATATATATGTATATATATAACTTAAAATGTTTGTAAATTGATTTATGTATATATTTGTGTGTTCATTGTCACTGACAAGCTCGCCAGAACTCCGTGCCCAGATGGGTCGGAGTTACCCCCCGTCCTGCGCTGTGGCATGGGGCACCTCCTCCTGACTCCGAGGCGGTTAGCAATGGCAACCCTGCCGTTGGGCTGTTCAAAGTGGGTGTGTGTTTCTCAGAAGGCGCCTAAGATTGCTTGGTGTCCTTTTGGTTTGTTTGAAAAACAAGGCACACCCAAATGGAGCGCTGGCCAATCCCAATCCAAAGCCCCTGCTGAACAACCACCTTCCAGTGAGACCAATTTCCTTCGTAACCCACCGCGAGTCAGAAAATTGCAGTTCTCACTCTCATGCCAGGGAGTCCCACTGGGGCCTGAACATAAGGAGCAACACAACTGACGGGGAACGTCATTCTCATTTGGGCGGTTGATCCCCGGCTTTGAGATTTGCAGGGAAGCCCCATCGGAAAACATCCTACTGTAAACTACCTCACCGTTTCCCCCGGAAATTCCTTGTTGATTCTTTCAACAGAGATCCGGATGCCCGTGCCATTCTGGCAACATTTATCTTGGGAACAGGGGAACGATGGAACTGCACCCGATTCACACCCACCCACAAAACCATCGTTGAAATTACGGTGAGTTAGGGTGTTCCTTTGTTCCCCCCCTTGCCATATTTGGTTGGCATCCGTCCCCGACAAACCAACAAACTGGTGTTAAGCAGCTCGTCCCTTTGGTTTCCGTTGGAGTCCTCACAAAGCTACGATCGAAAAAGGGCATCGCGACATGGCACCGGCAAGATCGACAAAGGGGGTAAGGCCGAAAGCGAAGCCACCAATGCTTTTGGGCAGTTGGTTTTAGAAGGAAGCCCCCTCAAACCCTAGGTGACCATTCCAAAATAGATGGTCCTGGAAAACTCAGTCGAACCCATCTATTCCACCAAATCTACCTAAGGCCACCTATGAACCCAAACCCAAACCAAGGGCAGCAAAACGGCCAACTTCTGGGTCCGTCTGAAAGACTTGCTGGCCTCCTCCTCTTCCTCCTCCGTGCCTGTCAGCTCCCGCACTCCTTCCTCCACGTCTGCCTAGCGTAAGGCGCCGAGTCGCCGAGGCCGGGTGTTGCCGGGGTGTGAGAGATGCAGGGAATGAGACATGGGATGACCCCAAGAAGAATCATCCCACCCTCCAAAAATGCCTTGCCCCAGCCCACTGGTGGTTTTCTTGAAGGGGACCCTGAAACGGTTCATTCGCACATTCCCTACCTTGAGCACCAGCAAGAAAAACACCCAAGGCAGCAAATCAAACGGGAAGCCACCCAGACTCATCAGACCTTTCGATGGCTTGATTCATGTGCAGCTGCTGTATTTTCAATCAGGATGCCCTTGTCCATCGGGTTGGGGGAAATAGAATCATTCACTATGTCAGGGAGCCCTACAATAACTTTCGTCATGTGTGAGGTCAAACCCCTCAGCCTGCAAAATGGCTGTAATTGAAAAGTGCCACTTGTAAAAACTTTGAGCGGGTTCCACGGTGCAGCTGTTTTTGGTAGAGCCCTGGGTAAGTTTGACTCTGACTTTGGAGGTTACGTTTTTGTCGCCTTTCGAAGTTGTGCTTGAAGTCTGTGAAGCTTTGGGCCAAATGGCCCAAATGCATTTTTAAGTTTTTGTCACTTTTTGAGGGTCCCCCTTGATTGTAGTTTTCACGGGAAATCAAACGGAACACCACTATGTTAGGGGTCGCCCCCCCCCAAAAAAACAAAACATCTTTAAGGGCCCCCTGATGAGCCGGGCGCGTATGACCATGCGACCCCTTAGCTTTGCCTCGCCCGTAGGCGTTGGCTCCGCGTCCTGTGGCAAACTTCCGCAACGGGATGCGTGGTCAACTCCCATTAAGGCAACTTAGAAGTGGGTGATTACCTAGGCTAGCAACAACTTTCTAACTTGGCCAAACACCTATGTACCTTTTTGACATCCTGCGTGGGTAAATTAAACACTACCGGCTAGTTAGCGCCCAGGAAAATGGCTGCCTCCGTCTCAGCTGCCCTCGAATTTGTGGCTTGGCTACCACCCTGCAGATCATCGATCAAGGAACCATTAAAACAAGTTTATTAGAGAAGTTTCTTCTGGCCCAACAAAGTGGGCACGTATTGTAATTGGAAATTGACCCGTGGGATTTATGTCCACCGCATAGTATAGGGTGCTCCCCAATAGAAATCATTCTCAAGTGGGATTTCATGACTTTATCACTTGAAAGGGGGATTCCTTGGCCACTTACAGGTAATGGTCCAAAACCAATTTGTCCAAAGGCATGGGGATGCCTGTTGCAGCTTGGCTTCATGGAAAAACGACACCAAGAAACCCAAGGTGAGAACCTCTCGCTTTCCCAATGGACCAAACCTTCTTCGCACCGGTTGGGATGGAGAAAGCCCTATGAATGGGCCAGCGAAGCCTGGCAGCCAAAGACCTGTCCGCCAGAACCCCTCTTGGGCGTGTCTCAAAATAGCTGTGAGATGGACACTAACGAAAAACCAAGCACGAGAGGGGTCCCTGGTATTCAGACCATGTCTTGGCCCCACGAACCCACCAAGTACTGTTGGCTGCTATTCAAATGCCAAAGGGGGGAAGTCATAATCAACACCTGATTTGAGAAGAGCGTCTTGCTGCAACCAATTTCTCCCCTTGATGTTTGCCCCGCTAGACTTCACATACATGGCTTGCTACTGTGGCTCCCATGACGCAAATCTTCAAAGTACTTGGTGTCCTTGTGGTCTTCCCTAAAAACACAACAAGAAAGGGTATGAACCCAACAACAAACGGGTAGGGTGGCTCGCCTTCTTTTCGGTTGTCCTTGCGGCTTCCCGTATGGCAAACCTACCCCCCCCCCCCACCCCAACCCCACCCCTAGGCAGCCGGTCCTTGGGCGCAGGCATGGCACTGCTGAGAGCCGTCGTCAGGGCCTTCCTCGGGGCTTTTTTTTTTCTTTTTCCCTCCTCCCGGGGCGAAGAAGCAGCGGCCTTGTGCCGTTTGTTGGGAGGCGGTACCCCACACGTCTTTGGGCAAAGGAGAAGAACCAAAAGGGACACCGAAGGCTGCTTTCGGTTTGCTCCCTAAAGCGAGACACACCCATAAGGCACGGATTCCGTTCATTTCCGGTTTCTGCATTTTGGCTGAGAAAACTGCAAACTTGCATAAAGCTAAAGGAATCTGTCACACGTTGCCCCACAAAAGCGGGATTAAGTATGACGAGCCATACAAATTTCAAACTGTGTTTAAGTGCATGCAGGAACACCACAAACGATCACAGCCTGCTAATATTTCCGTCAAATTTCCTAAAAAGTGTTCATTCTCGATTTGTTTGGACATGTACAAAAAATTTCAATACTTTCGGAGGGTCCAGGTATGCCATGTGTGTTGTGGAAGGCCGTTCCCCATATCTACAAAACTGTTATGTTGATTGTACATGAATTGACTTCACATGTTGTTGAATAAACACTACTTCCAGCATGTTTATTCAACAAGCGGCGACTCAACCCTGCGCGCTCCCGTATCGGTTCCTCCGACTCTACCATGCATGTGGCCGGCATGGCTAGCATCCCGGATCTGACATAATTTTTATCCCCCAGTTGGTGGCTTGGGTTGGTGGTCTGGAGGTTTGGGGTGGCTTCCCATTGACACTCTACAACCAGAGGTTCGAATCCCCAAACGACAGATCCAAATCACCAAGCAGCGGAAGCCTGATACAAGCACTTCTCAGCTTGGGCTGACTGGAAACCCCCATGCGTTCACGATGGCAAGCTAGAGCAGCTGCTATAACAACTAACAAGCGCGAGTTCAAACTAAGTGGCGAACTCAAACTTCCAGAACTTCCACAACCAAGGTTATTTGTGTTCACCTTTTGCCCCGTATCCGGTGAACCGCTGAGCTACTCCACGTCTTGCCGAGCCACGAGCGCTTGGGCTTGATGCGCCGGCGCAGGATGCTGGAGCAGCCCACCAGCGTCTCGAAAAGCACTGCGAGCACACAGTACCTCAGACGCCCGCAACCAACCCCGAACCTTCCTTTGCTTCTTGCAAAACAAGGACGAATAGAAGGGGTCTGGCGAAGATGGAACCTTTGGGCCTCCTACGAAAGAAGAGTGGGGCTATTTGGCAATCATACGAAAACAAGACCAACGTACGGCCCTCGAACTCAACCAAACATCTCACCAGAAATAAGGAGCCGGAAACTTCGGGAACCCTCTGCACGCGAGCATGGTGGAAAGGTTGCAACAGGCCCTTCATGCTTCAAACTGGTGGCTCATCAAATGGCTATGCGATGTGCACCCAGGGTTCGAACCAAGCTTCTTGCTCGCAGCTCAAAAGACCTCACCCAGTACCAGCAACACTTGACATTTAAAGCTCCAAGATCTCCTTGGACCGGTGAGTCGTGGGCACGGGGGAAGGCCCTTAGACTGTATTCGATGCGGACAGGCCTGCAACTACTGCAGAACTGGCGGGGGCCGCCAAAACAAGTAGACTCCTGCTACTGCTTGGTTTCATGACATTGGCAAGCTCATGTAGCTGATCTTTCGGGCAAACCTTTGCAAAGGGCGTGGTTTCAGATCCGACCGGATTGCTTTCTGGAGCCCTAAAAAGCCTTGCGATACGGCTCAAGTCCAATTGGCCTGATGGTTCACAACTCTCAAAAAGATAAACAGTTGACCAGATTTGTATGTTGGACGCAGCCGCAGTACACAAAAACACATGTTGACATATGCACTTGTAACAGGGCGGGTGGGCCTGGGTGGATTGAACGTTTGACCCGAGTTTTATCGCCGCTGTGTCAGCCCCAGGCCAGATCCACCCCCTCCCTCACGACAAGGTGCAGGAAGGATGCGCCAATTGGAGGCAACAGGACAGCCTTCAGTGGCCGGCAGAACTCAAAACGGCCTGTCACCTAGACCCTATGCTTCCTCGACTATTTTTACATAGGGGTTGTTCAACCCCTATTTTTTGCATTGACAACCCCTATTTTTTGACATTGGCCTTTGGGGTCCATTTTGGGTTGTTACTCAAGAAGCCTTGGGAGCCAGTAGATTACTATTTATTGATAGGGTCCTCGGCGCCCTTTCGTGTTTGCGCAATGCACCTGCTGAACGTCTTGCGTAGACGGAGCCTTCATTCTAGCAAATTGTAGAATTGTGCTCTGCAATTTGCGCAGGTGGCACAAACAACAAGCAATTGTGTGTTTATTTTTTCCGCTCCAATTTTCACACAGCTCCAAAAACGACGTGAGCGTAGACAAACCGTAGACAAAGCGTAGAAAAACCGTAGAAACACATTTTTTTGGCGTAGAACCACTATTTTTTGGCGTAGAACGGGCAAATTTTGCAGGGGACCCAGAAGATCAACATTCTCAAACTGGAATGGTTGCTGTGATGGGCAAATATGTTTGCTGTCCCGTTTTGTTTGGTTTGGCTAAGAAGGTGGGCCAAAGAAGGACAGAAACGGTCAGAAGAGGATTCACCCTCACGCGCTACATGGCCATGTTAAGAAACCAAGCAACATTTAAATAGAAGCAACTAGCCTTGAAGATTGTAACACATATTGCTGCATATGAACATACATATTCGGCTTTGGGATCCTATGAGGCGGCCTTAGAGTCAAGTCTTTCCTAGTCCCTGTCCCAGTCCAAAACGGAGGCTGCCGCTCGTCATCCAAAAAATAGTTTTTATCAAAAAACCGGGGTTGTCACAACGACTATTTTAAAATAGGCTTTGGAAGCATAGGGTAGAGGTGCGTTACTGATTTAAGTTGACATCATGGATAAACTCGCACGTCATTGCCTCATGTCGAAGTGGCCTCTCTGGCCCTTTGTGGACCACCCACCGCAACCAGCACCAGCACCAGCACCGCAAACCGCCCCACTGCCACCGCCAGCGCAACAACGACAACGACGACAAATATGACAACGAGTCCTACGACAACGATAGCAACGACGACAACAATGGCGACCGCAGCGACCACAGCAACAGCAACAGCCGCAATCAAAAACGGCAGCAGCACCCGCTGCAACAGCGGACCAGGCACAACTCAAAAATGCACCCCGTCGACACGCCCCCTGCATAGAAACGGTTTGCTTCTTGCGGCGGGGGAGCGATGTGCAGCATGTTGCCGGACACGGCTCCTGCAAAGTGCGACGACTTGGATCATCATCAGCGCAAAGCCATGCAAAATCAACTTCTGCGGGGAGTCGACATTTGGGCAAACACATTGGCCAAAGCAATGAACGGAACTATTTTGGTCGACGCAGGCAGGTTCTTGACACGTTTCTATGCTTCTTGCTACCATACCCCCACAAGCTGCGCAAAAATGTCATGATGAAGCTGCGTTCCATGTGTTGGCCCCTTGTACGCTTGCGTGAATCCTTGACTCATCAAACATATGCTCGTGCATGGGCTCTGGAGCGATGGAGGTATTGAATGTACGCTACAAGTTTGCACTGGTAAATCAAAAAAGCCAGCTTGTTTTCTGTAGGCAACTTCATCATTGTTGCAAAAACAAGAGTAATACTGAAAAGTGCCCTTGGTTGCAAGCATCTTCTGCGCTCGCTGATCCACGCCTGAGTAGGCCAACATCAGGGCGTCGATCTTCATGTTGATCATGGCGTACCAGGCAGCCAAAAAGAACACTGCAACTACGAACCTCAGCTGGTGCGACATCAGCTTCCTGGGCTATCAAGACTCAGCTGCGCTAATCCACATCTATCTAGGGATTAATTGCAACGGGCATGATTTTTGCTACTCAATGGGAGGATTTGTTGGATTGACATGTCACCTGCCAATCTTCCTTCTCCCCAGGGATTTGGTCGAGGCGCCAGATAATTTATACACCTGCTCCCGACGAATCGATCAACAAAAATCGCGGGGTCTCAAAGGGTGCTTTCCAGCGCCCAAAGAGGCATCATCCCAATCCTATATGGATCCACCACCAGTTGGACCCCAACAATTGCACAAGGCACATCACATCCACTCCCCCGAAAGTCTAGATGGACGGTCCTGCGCAGCGGTTTACGCCCAGGAGGTTCCACGTTTGGGGAACCTTTCCCATGGCCAGGGCCCCTGAAGAGGGGCCAAAGCCACCCAAAAGGGGCCGAAAGGGAACCCAATAATCCTTAAGGGATGGTTGCTTTTTGCATCTTTTTGCATCTCCAAAAGCGGACCTCTGGCATTGAGGGTTCCACCCCGTTTTTCCAAAGAAACAAAAACAACTCCAAACTGAAACCATGGGTCATCCATGTTCCAAACATGTCCAAACCGACCTCAGGACACCTCTGGTTCCAACCAAGGAGTTGAAAAAATCGGATCCATGCGAGGCGCGTGATGTCCACCATGGACTTGTGGAGCCCGCCCCCGCGGGGCTTCAGCTGGGTGCGGTCGTACCACTCCACCCAATGCCGGCCGCTGCCCTGGAAGGAGCTAAGGCGGGTTTTCGGGGCTTGAGACGTTCGACTGAAGATGAACCCTATGGTTTTCGAGTTTGAAGCTGAATCCCGGATTTTTGAGGATATGAAACTCATATTGTTTTGGAAGGGGTCTGGGAATTGAACGTGGCCAGTGGCACACATGTGTATTGAGTTCCCGATTTGAGTAGCTTACCTGTGTTTCTTTACCGTGACTCAGACTTGGTTGCAGCTATAAATGGGCAAGCACGTCCTTTTCCAATTACATGCTCGCTTTTCCCCTATAGTCCCAGTGAGTGATGCTGGCAGCTTCTAGGTTTCCGAACCCAGCCCACCCCACCCCACCCCACCCCACCCCACCCCACCCCACCCCACCCCACCCTCCCCACCCGACCCACCCACCCCACCCCACCCACCCACCCCACCCCACCCCGCCCCACCCCACCCACCCACCCCACCCACCCCACCCGCCCGCCCTCCCACCCACCCACCCACCCACCCACCCACCAACCCACCAACCCACCAACCCACCAACCCACCAACCCACCAACCCACCAGCCAACAAATCAACCGACAAAGCAACCAACCGTCAACCAGCCAGCCAGCCAGCCAGCCAGCCAGCCAGCCAGCCAGCCAGCCAGCCAGCCAGCCAGCCAGCCAGCCAGCCAGCCAGCCAGCCAGCCAGCCAGCGATGCACCCAGCCAACCACCCAGCCACCCTGCCAACCAGCGAACCAGCCGGCCAGCCAGCCAACCAACCGACAAATCAAACGACAGATCAAGCAACCAACCAACCAACCAACCGACCGACCGACCGACCGACCGACCGACCGACCGACAAATCAACCGACAAATCAACCGACAAATCAACCGACATATTAACCGACAAATCAACCGACAAATCAACCGACAAAGCAATCGACAAACCGACCGACCGACCGACCGACCGACCGACCGACAAACCAACCAACCAACCAACCAACCAACCAACCAGCCAGCCAGCCAGCCAACCAACCAACCATGCAACAAAACAAAGCAACCGACAAACTAACCGACCGACCGACCGAATAAACGAACTGCCGTCCAAAGGGTGCTGGCACACGCAGTTTGCTCATGCATGCACTCTGCACGCCCCCCTCCTCCAAGAAAAAGGCAACGAGGCACCGAAAGTCCTGCAAGGCGTTGGTCCTTTTGGCTGATGACATCCCCAACGCCTACCTACAGGGGGAGGGTGGTGGGTCCCCCTAATTTGACAGGAAAACTGAAGATATGCAAATGGAAGACCATGCTTCATGGGGGGATGTATGGGCCAATATGGCCGTAAGCACCTGGATGACTGGTTTTGGAACTTGAGGTAAGGCTTGAAGCATAACCAGTGGGCAATTCCCAAAGGAATCAAACCATGAAACTGCAAGTGGTAAAACTGCAAGTGGCGTGTTTGCTGAAATCGTAAAACCTAAAAGATGTGGATTTCCTGGTTCCCTGATGGTTCCAGTCACAAGGGGGTCCAAACCTCCTGTTCGGAGGAGGCTTCACCAAGTCTTCGACACGATGCTCCTCGACAAAGTGCTTCCAAACAAACCTCGGCGCGGGAATTAGGGCCGCGTCGGAAGGGCGTGCAAGGGCGGCTGAGTGGCTAGTCTTGGGTGAGCCTTGAGCCAAACATGTGAAACTTCTGCAGGCTTAATACACCTCAACGAGTGGGCGTGTCTTTTTTAGGAACCTTCTCCCGCCCCGCCCCGCAAAAAACAAAGAGGAAGTTTCCTTTGGCTTCCCAAGGGTACGGGGCGAAGGTTCATCAGAAGCCAGTTCATGGTAGGAGGTCGTCGGTCGTAGCTTGCGCCTGGAGGAAACAAGTAGTAGGGCCCCGCCGTGCAGCCTTTTGCCGCCCAAGGGGCTGGTAGGGGTTGAACAGGAACGGCGCCTTGACAAAAGCAAGATGAGAAAGCCCAAGTTGCCTAAGCCCCGACCAGTCTAGGCCAACATAGGGAACTAATGCGCACGCCGACCAGGACAAAGCCTTTCGAGTCCGAACTTGCCGATTGCCTGCCAGGAATTGCAAAGCACCTTTGAAGCACAGACTGCCTGTGTACCCTCCAACACAATCGCTGTCTGCTTCAGCCTTTCAAGGGAACCAGGATCTGCTGTTTAACGCACAAATTTGCCCAACCCTCATGGAAGTGTCAGCGACCTTCTTCTTGGCCAAGCCGCCCAAAGCCAGGAGGCCACCGTGAGGCCCAAGCAAATGAAGACCCACCACACGTCTCTGGCATAGAGCCCTGCGCCTGGCCGGCAGCTCTCAAAGAGTCAGGGGATCCCGCAAAAATGAGCCACTTGCCGTCTGGTGGCGCGTTAAACTGCGTTCAATGAGCGGGGGCCGGGTCCCCAAAGTGATGTTGACCCCATCTGGTGTTTCCTTTTGGCGGCTTGCGTTTGGGCAGGACTTGCCATACGGGTGGCCGCTTACGCCCCTACAAGCAAAGGTGCGGGGGACGCCTGCTGCAATCGGGCGTGTAGTTTTTTTGCCTTTGTGGCCGAGGGCAACTTGGCCGCCTGCAAAATATCAAGCAGGAACTCTGAAAGAGTACGTGATGTACGTGCTAGTTACAAGAAAAGCACTGGAGAAGCCCAAGCAGGAAACCACAAAAAAACACCCAAATCGATTTCTAGATTCTGGCAATTGCTGACATGTGTATTCATGTTGCGCCGTCAAAAGTCAAGCATATTCCACCTCCGCTTTTGCAACCAAGTCCATAGTTAGCGAGTCTAAAAGGTATAACATGTTGTCAAAAACGGTCGCAGATTTGAAGGGCGGATGGACGCAAACACCCCTTGGCAACAATCACATTGTGTTCTTCGCGCTTTTTGGCTGGCACCGCGATGCAAGCGGAACCTGCCTGACACGCCCCCGGCCATCAAGATAAGCAGCACGCCAAAAAGCAAGGTGACGCCGTCCTCAAAGGCTTTGCCGCTGTTGGGCTTTGGGTTGCTCATTGCTGCAGTGGATGTCCTAAATATTGCAAGTAAGCAAACCAAAAACAAAAACAAAACTTAATGTAGCAATTTACGATGGCTTTGTGGACGGGTGTGGTTGGTTCGCTTGAATACCCCCTCGATTGACCTGAAAGGAACCTGGAAAGGCTAGAACTAGCAGCCCGTGGTTGTGACAGCCGATTTGTCGCTAACATGGGCTTAGCATTGCACACTGCGTGGACGACTGGGCTCTTGCGGAGATGTACGGCTCTTCGGCCCCAATTTCTTGCACTTGGCTTGCTCCCGCACAAGAAAGTGCCATACGTCAATTGGTGGCTGACAAACTACTGAAGCACTATTCAACATGCATGACATTTCTCGTGGAATATTCAACAAAAACTGTGTTCGTCATCAGTCGCGGCGGAACATCATGCAACAACAGCATGCCGCGCAAAGGCACGTAGTAGGCGATGGAGGCATAGTCCAAATACAAGCCGCCCATCTTCTTGAGCTGAAACCTGGGCCAAGGGGCTGCGACAGCCACTCTTGACAAGTGCCTATGGACCTCAAAGGAAGGGGCGAAACCCTGGATTCGAATCCAGGACCCCAAGTCAGGCTCAATGTCGATGGGAGGCGATAACCACCGACCTGTCTGCCCCTTTGACCGGGAAACACCACTTGGAATGTTCCAAGCGGCTTCTCCCAACCCGGGCTCCCACCTTTGGCTTTGGCCGCGGCGCTTGCCTGGCACGGCCTCTCCGATGAAGGGCCGGCGGTCCGTGGGCAAGCCACGGCCCGTGGAGACGTAGGTGGCGCCCCCGTAGCGGATCTCATTGATGACCTGAGATTTGCATGGGCGTTTCTGCGTTGCAATTTGTTGGTGTGTTCCATTGAAACTGCCAGTTTCGGAGGTGCAAAAAAGGCAAATTGAGGGACCCCTGCTCTGACGGAATGCAGAACCACCCATTCGCAGAGAATATGGAAGGGGATAGAATCCATTCAGGGTTTGATTGGGGTTCAAATTGGTTGGAATAGCATTCTGTGTGAACTATATCAGTCCAAGCCGGCCGCTTTTCCCCTTTTTTAGTTCGCTAGTTTGGGCTGGGGAACCACCCCCAACCCCCCACCCACAAAAAAACACAAGCTCTCACTTGACTGGGGCCTTCATGTTAAGAGAAAAGCCTGTCCTGGTTTTGAGACAAAGCCTTTCGGAGGCTGAACAAAAAGGGGTGGCAGAGGCAACGACAGCACAAAATAGCTAACGCACTGGTGGGAGAAAGAATGCGTGAGAAGCAATCACTTTCAAGGGGAAAAATGAATGCTTGATGGGGAAACCCTCCCAAGTGGTTTGGCGTTCATCGCCAACATGAATTTTAGCAAAGGGCTTCATTAAATTCATAGCCATTCGGTTCAGGAAACGTTTCTCTTGGTAAGGAACCATGGGTCGTGGTCCCAAGGAACCAAATTCGCTGCCAGACAGCACCATCACCATCTCACTTAGCCCTCCTCCCCCCCCCCCCAGAAAAATGCGCTTCGCTTGTCCCGGTTGTTGTTTTTTTCTCCACACGTCAGGGCACGTAATGCCCGATGATCTTCGCCTGGAAGATGAACATGAGCCTGTCAGCTCCAGAAATCCCAGTTCGGCGACCTTTCAATTCACGGGAAGCGTTCCTTTTCGGCCTGACCATTTGAGTGGCTTGTCCTTGTTTTTAACAAATCCAAGAAACACAAACAAATTGAGAGGCCTTTGAAAACAGGAATAAGTTCCCAAAGAAAGGTACCTTGTTGGTGTCCCTTTGGCTAGAGAAACCCCCGTGTCCCCAACTGACAATGGATTTTGGTGACCTGGCAAACATTGACTGCTCGAAAGGGAACACCACCATTTGGGGATTTTGGGGTCCCCCTTACAAATAAAACATGTTGAGCAGAATCCAACAAAAGGACTCATATGGACCCACCGTTGAGTTACTTTGCATGCATTTTGGCCTGAGCATCCAACCAAAAGAGAGCAGCCAAGAAGGCAACTTGTTGGCTGTCGAGGCACGGGGACATAGTGAGCATCTGCTTGAGGAATCGTTCCACTGCCACCTGCAAGCTGAACCGCGACGCTTCCCCTCATGATAAACTGTATGTCGGGTGGGTCAATTACAACTTGCCCAGGTTAGCCTCAACGACGATATCTTTCAACGGAATTATCCTTCGAACAGAATTGGAATATTTCCCCACACGGGGTCCTTTGGTCATTTTAAAGCGCATTCACAACGTAAGTTGTCAACAGATCGAAATCAGGGCTCGCTGTCGACAGTCAGGGTAAAAACCCATTACCTGGAGACCTAGAGACAGCCATAGCTTCAAAACCCGAAACAAGAATTCACTTCTTGGATCAGTCAAAGGCCCACCATGGCTCGTTTTACCCCAAGCTTTGCATCCCACTGGGCCATATCCCATGCCAGTTTTGGGCCCTGGGATCCTGGGAGTGCCCAGTGCCGACTGGAGCGACACGGGCCCAGCTCCGGGCCCCCGATCCGAGTCGCGGAACGACTGGAGCTTCAGGACTCAAAGCGCCCCTTGTCCCAGACCGTCAGTGGCCATGGCAAGGAAAGTGCACCTTTTTGTTGCAGCTTATATGTTTTGAGGGGTCTCCGCCCCTACCCCCCTTCCTGCCCCCCCCCCCCAAAAAAAAAAAAAAAAACTAACAAACAAAAACACCAACACAACATAAACAATCAAACAGGCAGCAGCCCTCTAGGTGTTTGGGTCGTGCTGGCTGCATTTTCCGGCAACAAGCATCATTTCGATTTCTTGGTTGCGCATGCCTTGAGGTTGCGCTCCATCCAGATCTCCGCCTCAGTTCTCTTTGCTCCGCCCAAAAGCTTTTTGGGAGGTCTGCGAGAGTTGCCCCGTGTCCACTAAAATGGCACCTGACGTTTCCGGGTCCTGGAAGACAACATTCGTTTTGAAGGGACCCTGTGGTGAGTTTTATGTGGACAGGAGGTAAGTAAGGAAGTGCAAGCGGAAAGTGGATGGACAACATCCTGCAGGTACGCAGCCCAGTATTGATCGTGCTTCTTCCATCCCAACTGGCTGCTGGATGTTGCCCATCCATAGCTAGGGTATGCGAAACCCAAAAATGCGCTAACTTTGCATCTTTCTGTGGACCGTCCTGTTCATTGGAACTATGGACTCGCCAAACGCAAGCCCTCATGTTGGTGACGCCGGCTATGCTGGCCTGGAGGCCGGTTACGACCCTCGATTGGAGAGGGCCTTTCGGCATCCCAAAAGTAGAAAGCTTATTTCGGCAAACATCGTTTTTTTGTTTGATTTTTTAAGGAGGATGATACTCCTACGAGCTCTCCCCCGAAATTCCCCCCTACCGGGAAGGGGGGCCCCCAGTTCCATATTCTTCTAGCATTTCCCACAAAATGACAGATGGAACAACTTCAGGGGTCACCCCCCAATTCCATGATTGAGGGAGCGATCCCCCGAAAGTTCGGGCCCAAGCTCGGACAAGCCACCAGGAGCGGTAGCGAGGTGGCGATCAAAAAGAGCAGCAGCAACCATGAGAACCACACCTCAGCCACAGTCCCACGAGCCCATGACCAATGGACAACACATTCAATTTGGTTAAAGTGGGTTGGTTGGTGTCTGGGTTGGCTGGTTGGTGGGTGAGTCGGTCGTTCGTTTGGTTTGGTCGCTCCATCTGATTTGGGGGCGAACCCATAGCTCAAATATGCTGAACAAACACATTGGTTCATGCAAACTCTTGTGGATCCCAATAGCCTGAGCAGGGAGCCAGTTTCCTTTATACAAATCTGACAGCACTTGATGGATGCGGCCATGAGTCTACGGGTTTTGTATTACACCCTGGGAATACCCACTGGGTATTGACCCCATTTAGGCACATTTCCAGATAACACCGTGCTATTTTGAACCATTCTGGATCATTTCCGAAGGTGTAATCCCAGAATACACAAACCATCAGAATGAGCCAATGGCTTGCAACGAGCTGAGGTCCCTACACCCACAGTCTTTGCCATCACCTCTGCGGATGTCATCTGCACCTGGAGCCAGTTGAGCGGCTTGTGGATTTCTACATCCCAGGGGGCTGTTACATTGTTGTCATTCCCAGGCCAGCTGAGAGCGAACCATTGCAAAGGGAGCAAAACGGACACAGCTGGGTAAAAGCAGATGGCACAGTTCCCTCCTTTTGGTTTAGCCACCCCCTTGACATACCGACGCAAATGGAGTTGTGCGTGCAGGTGTGCACATTTCAAGGATCCCGAAAGAAACAGGAGAAGCACATGGCCATTACAGGTGCTGTTGATTCACACCGGGGTGAGGTCATGATCCCTACCGACTGAATGTTTGGTTTGCTGGTTCGCTTGGCGGCTAACGGAAGGCCCCCCGAACCCTATGTACTTCATACCGGAAGGCTTCGGGGCTAAGTGAAAGAATTGCAAGCTAGTTGTTCAAGAGGAACCCGGGTTGGTTTCTAGGGCATTTTCAGGTTTGGAGGTTATATGCTACATGTACCCACTCTTGGCATGTAACACCTTAAGAAACTGCTAGGGGTGCAGAAGCCTCCATACCTCCAAAAGCCACACCTCAAAAGTCCTGAGACTTGCCAAAGTGTCGAGCCCAGCAGGTTTCTAGGGGGTCCTTCCTGCGGGGACGTGGCAAAGCGTCGGGCAAGCAACAACTTTGAAAACTACTAGTATCTCTAGTCTACCTGACACGGCACCACACAGTTTCCTGAGATGCACCCTGAACCTTGCAAAGGCAATGACCGCTGGATCGATATGCTTACCAAAACCCATCCAGCACCCCCGCCTCCCCAACAACTGTTTGTTTTGTCCCATGTCCGAAATCCCACGTACTGTCCAAAAAATCCAGTGGGGGGGGGATGCTAGTACCTACACCTTCTTCGCATTCAACCTAAAAGCACACCACCTGCCCCGATGTTCCCAGGCACTCACGGCCCCGATGACTCGCCATGGCGCCTGCTCCAAGTTCAGGAAGGCCTCGAAGATGCCGCCCCGGACCTGCAAACCGATGGAAATTTGGAGGGGAAACGAGTGGCGCGCAAAAACACATGGGCGTGTGCTCAAAAACAGGGTACCCAACATGGAACCCTGGCAAATGGAAACATGGACTAAAACCTGCGGTCCCCTGGTGGTTCAATTTTGACCCAGACCCATATAGGTGTGTGCTCAAAAACAGGGGAACAGGTTGCCCCTATGGCTCTTGAGGGTAGCTGGGAAACGACACAACCTCCAAACCACCAACCCAACCAACCATTAATCAGAGGGCAGCTGATACCTCCCCAAAAACATGCACGATGTTTATCATGTGGGTTAACTGTTACTGCGCGCTATTTTATGCTGAGTGTGAAGTGGATCATGCCTAAGGCTAACTCCAGTAGGATCATACGCAAAGGATATCCTTAAAGAGCTGGATGCCCAGAATGCCCCATGATTCCCAAAAAATGACCTGAAGGAATCTCATCTTGAATTGGCCCGGGAGATGTTTCAAGCTACTGGAACCCTGTCCGTCCGCATGTCCATGGACGCTTTAGGGGCGCCTCGTCAGCCAGCAGCACAAGAAGCCAAACGAAGACGAGCAAAGGCATACTCCACGAGACGAACAGCTGCCTCGGCTTGCACGAGACGGACCAAAATGCTCAGTGCAAAAAAGATTGTGTTATCAGAATTGCAAGGTGCTACAAATACTACAAAATTAGAGTGATAATAGATTCCGATCTTGATGACATTGTATTTGTCTTTTACATTTGACCCTCCAAACATCGAAGGCTCCATTTGAATATCTTTTGAAGACAAATATGAAAACCAACAAGTAAACAAGTGACTTGCAAGCTCTAATTCTAATGTTCTAATGAGGGAGGCATTAACTAGCGCCAGTGGAAGGCGTGTGCAAGCGAAATTGTACTGCATCATCACTTCCTTACTGAACATGTGGGTGTGTGTGCGTGTGCTAAGAAGCTCAGAACGGATCCAAATGCAGACGAGCGGCGTGAAGTAGTATCCAACATGGGCCTCGGTTTGCAAAAACCGGCGTCGCACCTGCACGTGCAGTCGGTAAAGGCTCGCAGCTTTGGTGGCCAAGTCACGTAGTAGAACGTCAGCGCCTGGCATATCCATGGCGATGGACAAATTGTAGGGCCACTTGTGACAAGGAAAGCCACTTCAAAACTCACGCATGGCGATACCGTCGCCAGATGGCTAAAGCAACGTTGGCATCACTGAATCTCAGGCAACCATGCCCAGCTGGATTTGAACAAGCAATCCAGCAGGAAACACTCATCCAATTTCGATTTTGGGTGGTTTCCTGTTGGCTTCTCTTTAAACCACCCCCAACTTTGGGGCACCCTTCAAGGACGAGCCAGCTGAGGCCAGTGGCAAACCGCTCGGTTTCTGCCTCCGGCAGGTGCAGCACTTGATGGAGCCGGAAGGCTTGCCGAGTCAGCACCTGCTCACCTGTCGGATGGGCGCCTCTTTCTGCGGTTGCCGCTTTTTGGCAGCTCGCAAAGGGAAACCAAAGGATAACCAGCATTTGCCGGGGTGTTCCCCCAAGAAAAGACACACCCACATAGAAAAAAAACCTCAGGGGAAGGGGCCTTCGTATCATCATGAGCCTGTCTTACCCCGAGGCTGGATCCACCAGAAGTCTTGACATACAACTTGTTTATAGGTGGGGCAGGCTGTTGCCGACCCTTGACAAGGTCACAGGAGGCTGGTAAGCTATTTAAGTTTCAGCTTGGAGCTTCCTCCAGACCACTGCCTTCTCGGGGACCTCCGTTGCACACAGTCTTTGTGGCAAAATGTCACAGGACAATTGTTATATATAATTACTCTGCAAATGCTCATGGGGCCCAGTGGTGGGAAACGCGGGATAACCTTCCGCAAGCCGGATGCATTGGACAATCAATGTGAATCGACCGCAAGCTGTTGGGAAGGGGAGCAGGCACGCATTCATAATACGTTCCCAAGCTCATAGCGCTTTCCCTCAGCCAAAGGTGTATGCCCTGCAAATTCATTTCATGCCATTGCTTACATTGGCTTTCCCCTTCCCAACAGTTACGTAAACTCCTAGCAACTAATTTCGCTACTAAATGAGATGGCCTTTCTGTTGAAAGACGGGGTTGCCTGGTTACCCACTTCTACAAACGGGAACACACACACATAAACAGACCCACACGCCTTGGAGGGTGAAACAAACGCAATGTCCTGCCAGACCATTTCTGTCAAGGGCGTGCCCTCGCAAGCATTTTCTAAATGTACCCAGGTATGCAACGCAATCCTCGCAAGTACCAATGCCATCCAGGAAGTATGTTTCGACTGAAACTTGCGCTGTTGCCCCTGTCCTCCCGAATCCAACGCTCGACAACTATGCCGATCATATTGTCAGCTTTTGGAGCGAGGGTGCCCTTTCCGGCAGGTTAAACGGGAAATCAAAAGGACGACCGAAGCCCTTTTTGTTTGGGGTCATCCTCATGTTGACCCATACCCAAGACAACAAAACAGGTTGGTTCATTGAGCTCCCATGCGCTCCTTGGGTTGGGTAACCGGTCACGTTCCATTCTTTGCTGGCGTGCGATCCGTCCCTTAACCCGGATCCAAGTCGCCCGTGCCGGAGGACAGCTTCGAGAAGAAGCCCAGCACAGTGTTGAAGCCCAGATCTCGGCCCTCAGTTCACATGCCCCTGGTTGCAGTGAAGGCCTTGGGTGCGAAATCCTTCCCTTCGTGAAAGTTGAACCATATGAGGCTATTCAGAACTCCAAAATGCATGTGAAAGTCTTGGTGGAGTAACGTGCTAGCAAGCTTGGCGGGTGAGTTGTTCCCAGTTCCCTTTGCTTCGTCTTCCCTTTGCTTAGTCTTCCAGACCCCTGTTGCAGCCATAACCCAAAGGATCGTTGCTGTTTTCTTTTTGGCTTCTGCAGTAACCAAAACCAAAGCTTGGTCAGTGGCCGGGGAACGCCAAAATGGGTGTCTTTTTTGGCGGGTACCCCTTTTTTGGTGGTTTTCAAGGGAAGCCAACACTAACACCCCCAATTTAATTTGGTGGGTCCACTGACAAACGACAACCCCGCATGCATCATGAAGACTCCTGACGTGATCAGTGTGCCTGAGGTGGATGCCCCGAAAGGAAGCGTCCCAGAACTCCTGGGGTCCATTCAAGCGACATCCTTAGCATACTCTCGGAATGGTGGTTTCAAGGGAAACCGCCCCCAAGACCGGTTTTGAGAATCACAATCAGAAGGGTTTCTGCTTTTTGGAGGCTAATTACCCTGTCCACTGTCCACCCTTGACTTTAAGGGAAACCCCCAAACGCCTTGGCCAGGTTGAAGTACTCCGCGTGCTTGATGTTCCGGCCATTCCCGCGCAGAGTGAAGTCCATACCTGGCCACCCAAGTCGAGTAGAAGTCAGGCAGTTGCAGTTCAGTGATCCTGCTAGAAGGGGGCATAGCTTTTGCTCCAGGTCCAGTCATTTTGTGAAGAGAAAAAACTCGATAAACAAAAGCAACAGGTGCTTCACTCAACTTGCCGTCTAACCTCCAACATCCCAATTTGCAGCCAGTGCGCAAGCCCAGGGACACTCCCAAGACAGTGGCACCGCTCGGATTATTTTGAAGGAAGCCCCAAGAAACGGGGACTGGGTTTCTCCGGTCTTTGGAGGGGGTGACCTGCTTTTCCATGTTCACTGGAAGGGAAAGAAAGAAACGGACGCACTGCCGCCCGAATCCGCGCGCCTGCAAAGATGTCCTCTGAAAGGTTCACCGTCTTTGTTGCTTTGGACACACCGCCCTGCTGCATCATGTAGAGCCTAGGAACCGCCACGCGAGGTGAAAGTGTTGGCCGCTTGCCTCGCCGTTCCCTCTTCTTCGAGAACGCCTAACCTCCCCTTCAGCCAGCATGAAAGCTAAGAAACGAGTCGTCGCAAACATGTTAAACTTACTTCAATTCAAGCCGCCCACTCAAGACAAAGGCAAGAACAAAACAAACAACGACAAATACTTGCAGCAGGCTGATGCTTCGAGATGCAACATGGTCTCCACAGGGCGGAGCCCTGGCAAACACAGTTGTTCAAAGAACCTGAATATGAATAGCTAGCCGTTTGGAAGCTTGGCTGCAAATAGCCCGAACCTGGAAAGCCAAGGATTAAAAGGACGGCCCCGACTAAATCCTGGCGGGTAAAGGCCTTCGTCCTTTGGGATACCCTCGATGGCCCACCTTTTGTGAGTACAGTCACAAAGGGTAGAATTGTAATTGCTGGACAGCGAAACAGCATGGATCGTTCGACCCTTCTGGCTTGGCCATTTTGAGCCTGTTTTGACACCTGCGCGCACTTTGTTTTTGTGATGGCTGGCACCCTTTGTTGGGGCCCAGTGGATTTCCCCATGCAAAACAAAAACTATGTTAGCTTCAGTTGCGGCGCTTGTTCATGATGTCCGGATGCCCGTAGTGCATCCTGGCACCCAGAACGGCCTCGGATATGCAGGTCCACTTGGCCTGTGAGGGAATTTGAGGGCTTCAAAACGGTCAACGTACCTGCTTGGACCCTAAAAAGCCTTGGGGTCTTTGGAACGATTCGGATTAGGATTCCAACATGCGCCCCTCCGCCGAGGAGTTGGCGTTAATTACGTGGTCTCATATTGGAAGGGTTCGGTCGCAAGAAAGGATAACTTGGGCACCTCCAAAAGCAAAGCAGAAAACTAGGGTCAAGACCAAGGCAGAGCTGTGAACTGGATTTTTGTTGGACTTATCTCTCACAGCAAAGCTTCCCACATCGATGCTCCCTACCCGGAAGATGCCGTTCTGCACAATTGTTGGGCCCGCAAAGGGATCTGAAGGAGGATCGAAAAGGACCAAATCCAACCAGCTCCAACTTGGGTGTTCAACCAACTTAGTAAGTGGTTGTCATAACTGGGGCACACCGAGTTAGCCCTTTCTAACCATGGCAACTCACTTACCAAGTTGCTTCGAACCAGTCAACCATAGGTGACCTTCCGGGAGAAAAACAAAAACAAATGGCCCTGGCAAACCGAGCTGAAGAAAGCCCATCTAGACCGTCGAGTTCTGCCCCAACCACCCCAGAACGGACGGAGGATCTCGGAATCCAAGGGATCCCAGGCGCGTAGGACCGCTGGAGGATGGTCCCAAAGGCCACCTCCGCCGAGGCCGCGAAGTCTCCGATGGAGCCGATGTCGCCTTCGGGGCGCGGATGGATCGGCTCAGCTTCCGTCCCCGTGCCCCACGGATCCCCACGGCTTGCAACATGGCCATGGGGCATAGCCTATGGCGATCCCATTTTGGGGTGGATGAACATCCGTTTGATTTCCACCTATTTTGATGTTCACCAGGGGTACAGGGATTTGACCCACAGCCACATCAAATACTGGACGGCCAAAGTGAAGGGCTGCAAGGATCCATCCCAACCGTTTTTGCTCGCAACAACAGGGAAGCCAGCGGCAGATTCGATGGGTCTTGAGTCATGAGAAACACCTTGTCAAATGAACCAAGCTCTTGCGCAAAATGCTTTGAGTTTGACCCTGTGGCCTTGCCAAGCAGGCCTGCCCATAAGGGACGGCGGTAACATGCTGACAGTCACTGCTTTCTTTGGCATGAGTTCGGCCCTCTGATAGCCAATGGGGTAGCAACCAGAACGTCAGACCCCGGGCGCTATAAGTATTAAAGTGGCGTGGCGCTTCAAATGCTTTAACAGCGCACCTCTTGTCAGGGGGTCGTTCTGGCGCGAGGCTAGGTCGCAGGACTTTGAATGGAAGCAAAACCGCCTGCATCTGTGCGTAGTTGTTTTCCTCTCTCTCTCTCTCTCTATCTGTCTCTCTCCCTCTCTGAAAAAAATACATGCAGATGTATATCTAAATATCTACAGTAGAACATATAAAGCTATCCCATTTTAGAGTCAATTCTCAGTTTTGACACCCCCTATTCATTGTTTAGTCGGGGTGGCCTCTGCTTAATTCACAAAGTTGTTCTTCCGCCTTACCTCATGTCTGTGCCTGCCGGCCGCGCGAGTGCGGTGCTGGAAGCACCACGCTACAACTCAGAAATTGGACAAATCCCAAATAAATGTTCCTCATGGATGAGCTCGTGTTCAGTCGCCCAGTTGCTGGTGATGTGCTCCGGAAAGCCCACGATACGCTTGGACAGGCCGTCGCCCCGCTTCTTGGAGCGGAACTCACCTCATAGAGGTTCCCAAATAAGGGTTCAAAAGCAAAAAAAAAAAAAAAAAAACATGGCGGACATATCCAAAAGCAACAAGCGCACCTTGCCAGTGGGCACAAATGACAAAAGACATTTCAAGTTCTTGAGGGAACCCAGGCCTTTGGGCGCAGCTGTCGAACTGCCATGGGTTTATACGTAACCTGCAAGGAAGAGTAACTATTCAAGTCTTCCAAAGCAACACTTTGGTAGTCAAAAACACGTCCATGCGCACTTGCAAGCGTGCTATTCACCTATGTCTTGTTTTGCACTGCGTGGATGCGCTTCTCAAGCGAGGACATTGGAATGTTGCTGCAATTCATCCAAGTCAGGCACTGGCTGTGATTGTTTCACTCGCTCTCTGTTGAGGGCCGCCATTGAATGCAAGTCGCCCAGCGCGCAAGGGAGCAGCATCATCTGCTCCTTAGACATGCGCCATGTGCAGACTCACGGAACCCCACCGTGGGGTGAAGCCTCACTCTCATGGGCAAGGTCCCTTACGGGGGGGGGCGAACATGTCGCCTAATCTGACTTCCTGCATGCAGTGGTGGTCAGAACAAGTCTGAAGTGTCTGTTTAGACATTTCCCGAGTTTGAAGTCCAGGGACTCGAGTCAAATTTTGCGACTATGCCCCCATAAAGCGTTGGGTTTGGGATCTGCTCCAAGCTCCAGAGTCTTCGCGCTTGAAGGGGCCAGCCGTTCCCAGCTGGCTCATTGTGACTCAATGGCGTGCTTTCTTGGCAGTAAATCTGGAAAGGCACCCGGTCGGCTGGAGATCTGAATACGGAGTCCCAGGTCCCAACGCACAAACCCGCCACCCCCAGTACGCCCTGGGGCGGCCCTTTGGTCTGGGGGCGTTCCGTTTCTGCCATGGGGCAAAGTAGGCGCCCTGGTTGGCATCGATACACTGGCTGAACACACCCCGCATGAAGGGGATGGCATGGTTCCTGAGTTGCTGGCCAAATGGGTAGAAGGGTTCTCAAGCTATCGCGAATACACAAATCAAAAGGTATGATGCAATAAGTCACTTCTTTTGTTCGTTGCATATGGAGAGCCAAACTTGGAAAGCACGCTGTGCTGCTTACTCTATGGGCAAGACTTTGAAAAGAAAACGGTACCACTGAACCACTGGGAGTCTGATTGTCACCCTTGCCATCCCCAAGGATCGGGTAACCCGGCTGCTCGACCCGGAACTTCGCCTAAGCTGCTTCGGCGAGTGATGACACATCGTGCCCCTCCCACGTCCGATAAAAGAACATAAGCCATGGTAAAAGCTCCTTTTCTGTGGCGCCCACTGCAGGGAACAACTAAGGGGGATCAGCCCCAGAGTTTTCTGCGGCGCAGCCAAGGCCCAAATGTTAAATGTTTTGCCTTAAGCCGGTCTCCCCAAACTTTTATCCCACCGCCCTGTGCCTTCTTGAGGCCCGTGGGTAGGTCCTCGCAGCTGCCGTCGATGAGGCTGGAGTAGTAGCGACGCTTCTGCTTGGGATGCACCAGGTCCAACTCGCCCGTAATGCCCTTGTCCTCCTGTTGGAAGGCATGGCTTGGGGATGCTGAAAGGGGGCAGCTTGCAATTCGCTCAAAGCAACCTTGCACTTAGCGTCCTTTGTTGCTGGGTGGAGCCCTTGTGCGTAAAGAGGCCAAATGGGTATGTGTCCAACAGGTTTCAACGCATTGTGGTTTTTCGGTTGAGTTCTGCTTGAACCACCCTGAAAAGGGTACCCTCAACAGAATGACTCTCAGCCTTCACTTGCAGTTGGTTGAAAGTAGATTGCGCAATTCCTCCCCATGTTGGCTTAGCTCACGGACGCGCGCCGGAAACTATCACCGGAATCTGGTGGGAGGCACCACCGTTTCACCCGCTGGCATATCAAAAGCCAGAGCGCAACACACAGAAACATAGGCCTTGCACGTTCAGCCTGCTGAAATTCTGCAGTTGGTCGAAGTGTTTCATCACCCATGGCCAGGTAACGACTCACAAGCCAACAAAACACTTTCTGCACTTTGCTATGTTCGCGGGCTGCACGAGAGCCAAGCGGCGCAATCGATGAAGGCCACTTTCAGGCAGTCCGGAAACTTGGCGAACATCCTGCGGCGTCCGTGCATGTCCGTGCGCTCCCCTTGCTTCCGGGCAAAAGGAGTGGCGGGGAAACAGAAACTCAACCACTTTGGCGGAAAACGAAGGCGGCCAAGAACAGGCGAAGTCCTGTTGGTGTGCTCCAGATTGGTCTTGTCAAAGAACTTGTACCTGGCACAAGTCCCTCTGAAGGCTTACCCTTCACTGATCCCGCCGGTAAGGCAGTAAGAGCCCACTCAAATCACTCCAAGCCGGTCCCAACTGCAAACCATCCCACTCCAACGCACTCCATACACTAACCAGGGCTGCTCTTGTGTCGCCCTGGGTACAAATTGGAATACCTCTCACAATAGCTTGTTCCAATATGGTAGTTTTGAAAGGGAAAGGCACAAAACACACCACACACCTGACCGGAAATCAAACACCCGAAACCTCTCCCAAACCATTCCAAGCCCCTTCCAACACCGAAACACAGAGGGAGTGGAGACAAGCACGCCCCAAAACTCTTGCTTTGCAACTAACATGGTCTTCAATGTCCACCCCAGGAAATGAGAGACGCTGCCTAAAATCAAAACAAAACCACCAGGGGAGCCGGGCCTAGTCCATGCTTCCATTTACCGATCGGGCAACCCATGTTTGGGGGTGACCCTATGTTCGACTTTTTCCACAGCCACACAAAAACCCGACCGGCCAAAAACCTGAGACTTGGCACATCTGCATGGAGACCAGGCAGGTGAAGCAGTCGCTGGGGTTCCAAATCCCCGGCTGCGCTAGGCTGCTCTTCTTGTCCGCCTGGACCTGCAGATTGTCGGATCGTTTTTGTGTGTTTCTTATCATTATGCTTATCATTATATCACTAGTATTATCAATATTACTTGTGTTATTATCATTATGTTGTTTCCTTTTCGTTTTATTCTTTCATTTTTTTGTTCTTCGGAACGGCCGTTTAGAGGGACACCAAAGAAAACCGAGGGGTCCCTGGTTGTTTAAATCCATTCATTGGCCAGGCCCCAAGAACCCAGCAAGGGGCTGGTGGCTGCTACAATGCCATAACGACCCCTCAAGAAGTTGTTCACTTTTCGCGGGTCGAATGAACAATTCGAGCTGTTTCTCCAAACTTGTGTTTCACTGTTTGTGGGAAAATGCGATCTGTTTCAACCTAAAGTTAAAGTTCAAAGATCCGTAGCCAAATAGCCATGAAGCGGTTGAGGGATTGGGAAAGCACCCCCCCCCCGTTCTCTTACGATCTCTTGCGGGCATCCTGTTCTGGGAACCCGTTGGCCGCAAGGGAAGAGCCATTTCGTGCTTTCCTCTGAGACCCGCAGGTTTGCAACGGCTTAAGCCACCCCATTATCAGACAGCCTCCTGGTTTCCCTTTGAAGCCACCGCCCAGTTGTTCAACAGATTTTGCCAAAACCTGCCCCTGAATAGGTGCCAGCATGTCCTCCACTTGCGGAGGTGCAGCTTGACAAAAAGGGAGTCTGTGTCTTTGTGCATTCCGTTTGCAGTGGCGCTTAAGGGCAACCAAAGGGAACCAGAAGAACCACCGCCGACGTCCATCCGCTTGGAGATTTGGAGAAAATACTAGCTTGCCACCAAGAAGCCCTGAAAGTGCACGTCCCCTGTCTCCACAAACGACCCTGTTGAAAAGGAAACCTGTCTTCCAGAAGAAAGCGCTGCACTTCCATGCCAAAATCATTCACGATATTCCAGTGCTGTTTGCCTGGGGGGTCTTTCGTATGTTCAACCCAGGACTGGCCCCCTTATTTCACACTATCGAAGTCGCCCCCAAGTGGCAGGTTAAAGGGAAACAACCACACTGCCTGACATTGGTACCACCGGACACCGTTAAAATAATGGCCGCCGAATGGTCCGCCCGTTGGCCCTCACACCACTTGGTAGCCATGTGGATGGACCAAATGCGCGCCAGGCCCCAATTGGGATGGATGGAACCCCGACCAATACTGTCATAAGCCATCGGCCAACTGGTGCCAAGTGGATTTCAATGTTAACCCCAGACTAATAAACGCCTGGTTGATTAACAGGGGGGTGTCCCCTTTTAGTGGGGATTCATCACTTTTGGAGGGAACACCCTTGTAATGGGACGGGTTGATTAATCCTGGGTCAACATTATCCACCAGGGCCCTAGTCCGGTGCTCGTGGCTCTCGCGACTCGCTTCAAGGCCGCCTCCCAATGGCATTGGATCGCTGGGTGGTAGAGGCACATGCCCGCAACCTTAAGGAAGAACGCGACTGAGTGCACATGGCCAGTCGGGACTGGAAAGACTTCAAGTGGAGCTCTGGCGTTCATTCGCGAAGCATGTTTCGGGCTGATTGTGAAGGTCAAACGCAAGGAGAGAGGATCAGAGGAAGCCAATTTTACAGGGTTCATTCCACACCATGATGCAGCATGCCTTTAAAAGCTGGGGCCCAGCAAATCGTGGCTGTCCTTTTGACTTTCTCTTGAAGCCGAATTGCCAAAGGCACCAACAAGCAAAAACCGACTCCATGGGCGTGTTTCCTCAGGGACAAGTTGCGGTACGCCAAAGGGTCTGCATCCGCATCGATGCCCAAGCGCTGATGGTGCTCCATTGTTGGTCCGTATACCTCAAGTCCATGGAACCCAACTGAGAAGCACAAGTGGATTACGCCAAATATTGGATGGTTGACCGTTAGAGGAACCCTGCGATGTGAAGAAATGTAATTTGCATTGCGGCTTTCTTTGGGAGGGGTCAACTAGCTAGTGTTGCCTGTACCAAAAACGACACCAAACTCGGTCAACGTGACCAGTCCTCAAATCTCAGCTCCAAAACAATGCGAAGATGCCATGTAACTTGCGGCCACTCATGGAACAACGTGAGCCTCACTAGCTCGCCGTTGATTGCTCTCCTTACTGTCCTTACTCAATAGACTTCGATCCGTACTCAATAGACTCCACTAGACCCCGATTTCGAAAACTTTCGAAGCATTGGATGATATGATGGCATGAAGGGTGCCTTCTGGAGCTCAGGAAGGAACGAATAGGGACTTGCAGGAAAGTCTGGCCAACTCAGCCCCTGCTCCGTTGTTCAGATCCGACTTTGCGAGCTCCCGTGGCGCCAAACACATCCAGCCCCCAGTTGCAGCTGCGGCACACGATTCAATGGAACGTCAAAAGAAAATGCAACACACAGATTCCCAACACACGGGTGAATCAGTGAACAACCAACACATCCGTTAAGGCGATTAGGCATGATTAGGCCCATTTCAAGGTGGACGTCAACACCACGAAAACAAACGTGCTGTCCAGCTGCTCTTCCCACTGGCTTCCTTGCACTGGCCATCCGCTGTCGCCCCACTTCACCTGGCGCCGAGTCAGAACCATGGGAAGGTCACTGGCCTCGATGGCCCATCACACTAGTCGCCGTCGGGTTGGCCCAACCATCTTTGTCAGATGTCTACTACCCATGCAGTTGCATTCCTCCATCCAGGCTTATGTGGTTAAGCCTCAAAAGTAAGTACCATTCGATTCGTGCCCTGCAAGTGCAAAAGGAGCTCTGGATACTCTCGGTGAAGCCGCTGAGCCAACCCAGGCCATAAAATCCTGGATCCAGGTCTTGCACCATCCAAAGGCGAGGTGAAGCGTTTCGGGCACTGGAGCCAAACTGTGCTGCCGTCCTCAGTGACCTCGCTTTCTAGACTGCAAGTCTCACCAAAGTCTAGGCACCTAAACAACTACCGCCTGGTACATGGAAGGACCGAATCCGCAATTGATGTATGCATGCAACCCTGCCAGGAGATGGACAACTGTCTGGAAATGCCAGAGAGCCAAGCCTTGCTCTCGAACACAGGCCAAATCATGCTTTGTGTTTCTTTTGAGGATTGCGCGGTTGTTCAAACGTGGCATGCGCAAAACTCCCCAGCAGTATAGTATAGTAAAAGTAAAATCTCCCGCAGGACCTTGAATCTAAACGTTTGCCTTTGGCCATGGTAGCAACACGCCTCCCTTGGCTTCGCGCCTGCATGCGGTTTGAGAAGGTTAGAAACTCCTCCTCATACTTCGCAGCCAGCCTTAGACTAAGAGAAGACGAAACTTGAATCAACTGCTTGCAAAAAATAACCTCAATTGGCACGAGTGCATGCACCAGACAAAATGCGGATGCCATTGTTGAAATGCAGGGTGACCAAAAGAATAATAGCATCAGCTCTGTGGCTATAAGCCCCTGACAAATCGCTTTGACCCCGCGTAGGCGGACACACACACACACCCATTGAAAGAAAAGCTTAATGACCCTCCCGTAAACATGGAAGCCACCCAAAGGGAGTCCTCTTCCCTGCGGGTCCTGGAAGCTTCCATGTCAGCCAAAAGCAGATAACCAAGCAAGCCGCAGAGAGGATCCAGCCACACATTACGATTCACGTGGCTCAAGAAGTCCAGCCAAAACACAGAAAAAGACAGAGAAACCTAACAGGGTGAGGAAAAAACACTGGTGGCTCTTGCAATGAATCCCAACCCCAAAGAAAACAAGGCTACCGAGGTTTGGTCCTCACTGCTTCGCTTCAATTCCGAGGCTTCGAGTGGCCAGTCCATCAACGGCACCGTCTCCTCGCGGCCTTGGAAGAGCTCCTGCGGGTGGAACTCTCTGGATGTGTCTTTGTGGGCGGATGCGGACCCCCAAAACGGCAAAACGGCTTTCTTTCTTTTTTGGGCTTACCTGTAAAAAGCAATCAGCAACGGGGGACCCAAAAAAGGACGCAGCCGTCTGCTTAAACAAGTTATGGCTGCCTTCTATGATTGTTGAAAAGCGTGCAGTTCCTATTTTGTAGCACCAAGCCCTGAAAAAAAAGGAAGGTGGTTGCAAAATAGCTCAAAAGTGCTAATCATGCAAGGGGGTAGGGGTAGGTTTCACTTTTCCGAAATGAGCGCTTGCACGCGACGTCTCACAGGAGGAACCCTGCACAAGAAAAACAGGTGAAACCCGGGTGCCCTCTGGACCCCGGCCACATAGCCAGAAGTGCAAAACACAATGCGCGGAAAGGTGCGAGGAGGAAGGGTGCTAAACGCAGGGCCTCCAACCTGTTGCCCGAACCCATGTTGCGATTTGCTCGCTTTTCCGACAAAAGTGGCCGGTTGTTTCCCACTGCAACCGTCACCCCGCAAAGTGTAGTTAGAATAAGTCTAGAACCTCAGGGAGTGGGTTGAGCCAGGGCTGTGGACCGTCATCCTTGTGACACCTAAGGGCCGAAGTCCCGTCTCCCCAAAGAAGTCACACCATGAAAGCCACCCCTTCTTGTGGGGTCAATGTCAACCTGCACGGGGCATGGTTGCAGCCAATCCCCAGACCTACAGCTTGGCGAGCCTTCTTTTGCATCAAGATGGACTCCCCATAGTGCGGGATGCACACCTCGGACGACCAGCAAAGGGACCGCAGGTTGCGCAGCCAGAAGGCTCCGCACACAGCGGAAGACTGAAACAAGAACGAAAAGGGCATGGCGAGTTAGACATTCAGAAGAGTACCAAAATGAAAGGGGGAGATTTGCGCACGCTGTAAAACAAAAGTAGGCTGGCTTGGTCAGAGTGACTAAACTGAAACTAAGCGTTCTGCCAAAAGATATCGTATAATAAGCCGGGGTAAACCATGTTTCGGGTGAAACCTGCTGCAAAAGTGAACGTTTCCCACTCACAAACCACAACCAGGGCAAATTGGGGGGTATCCCCTTTATATATATATATAGGGGCTACAAATATGCATGTGTACATATATATATATATATACACATTCATATGTACACACATTTGTCTGTACATATAGATGTATCCCCCTATGCATTCAGGCGGTGGGGTTGGAACAGCCATTTCATAGAGGTCAACGCCACCAATGTTCAGAGAATTGCACCCCGGGCTACGCCAAGTGTCTGCCGTTTCCCATGTCCCTTCCTGAGTGGAAAAACGACAAGTTGTTGTTTACCAAATGTTCATGGCCTAAGCCCCACAAAAGTGACTCCAGTCCAAAAAGGGCCCCAGAATTTGAGTTGGCCATGGGTCAGAATCCCATATGCCCAGTGAACATCCAAATCCCCACTAAAATCCCCACCAAGCTGGGTGGTGAATTCACCAACCAAAATGGGATCCCATGGGTTTTGACCCACACCCAGTTCAACCCCTGAACCCCGGCTTCCCAAAGCCGAGGCGCCGTCAGCCCGGGGAAGTAGGGCGCCCGGAAAGGCCGCGGCATGGGCAGACCCAGGCCACGGCTCAAGGCCAGAAGCCGCCACTGGACGTCCGCGTTGTTGGGCCAGTGCCCGTCGTTCATGCAGCAGTAGGTCTTAAAGCCCGCCTGAGGTGGGGAAAAACACGAAACACCCAACCTGGTGCAACGAAAATATGAAAATGGGCCCAACCAGGTCCTTCAACTATGAGCTATTACATGTGCTTTTTGTTGCTAGGTATGGCTAACTAGAACTATGAACTAGTAACTAGTAGTTGATTGGCTCTGCTGGGTATGTTCTTCAAGCACATGGTGTTCTGATATCTCTTGGGGTGGGTTCCCTTGACGCCAAGGCGAAAAGGGTACCCTCAAACAACACACACACACATACGCACTGGGGATTCCAATCACTTTGCCTAGGGAAAACAGGGGACACGTATGGAGAAGTAAGGGCCGCGCACGTTGTAAATATGCAATGGGGTTAAGGCCCTTGGGGTGTCAAAAGAAGCCCCTGGTGACATGTAGCTCTTGCCGCACAAAATGCGACCCTTGCGCATTTCATGCCGTCACTGTCGCCGGGCTGCATCCTTCCTGTTACCTGGAACGCCCGCAAAATATTGCGCAACATCAAGGTGACGGAAGCACCTGTGGTAAAGCCTGAAATCTCCCCAAATTTCTTTGACCACCCGATTAGGGCTCGAGGGGTTGACTTTTGGTCCCTTGACAATGATGGCGTGTTATATGCATATCGCCACAATTCCCACTTCTGAAATCATCAATCCCCTTGTCAAGGGGCCTTCATCATGGGGGAGCTGGTCTTACACAAATGTTTGCCCAGATATCTCGCGCTCTAAGATTTCCACACTATATCTGGAAAGCTTTGCCGGCCTCAAAGGCAGTCTTTTCCCGGAAGATGTCGGGGACTTTGATCTTCCGCCGCGGCTTGCCCATCCTGGGGCCAGGAAACTGGGAAGCCAAAGCTATAAAGCTGAAGAACCAAGAAACCAGTAGCAACATCCACAGAAAATTAGCCCAATACTTACAAAATACTAGGATCTTGCCTGCCTTTTTGTAGATTCTCTGGCTTTCTCGATTGGGATATCTCCTTGCTCGCGTGGCGTTGCTCTACGGGGACCGGTGGCCGAGTCGGATGAAAACTGGACCCAAACTTGAGGACCCTGGAGGCTGGCTCTGAGGACTCTCGGTGCTTGGAGATCGATCTCTGTTCTCACATCCAAACCGTGGACACTTCAAGGGTTCACATGAAACAGAACTCAAAAGAGAATGAAGTTTGGCCGAGTACGAACACCTGATCGTTTCAGGTGTGTGGTGCTGGGAAAAGGAACCAGCCCCCCAGTCCCGCTCCACAAGGGCTTTCCATATCTCCCCTGCACATCTGCAAGTGGTAAGTCAGGTTTCAGGCCCTCCCAACTCTTTCAGTTTCGAGCGTCTTCTCGAGGGTCGTGGTCGCCGCGTAGGTCCCTCCTGGCATCTCCCGCTCGCCGAGGGCGGCGCTGCCCATGCCGTCGGGGACCACGGGCTGGCGGCGCCGTCCCACGGGCTGCCGCAGCTGTTTCCAGTAGACCTGGGGGAACAGCACCCGCTGATAGCGGATTCCGTGTGCAAGCAGGTTCATTCTGTGTTTTAGATGAGGCAAAAGCGGCAAAAGCAGCCGCAAAGACCAAGTGGACGAGTGCTGGAACGCGGTGGGAGATAGTTTTGGGTTGAAATCTGGAACTTGTACTTGCTCAATAGCTATAGCTCTTAGGTGACCAAAGGCTTACATGACAGGAGCACCGCGCCACCAAAGAGTGCTCTGTTCATAATGGCAGGTAGATGATGGAACATGCAGCGCCTTTGGGTGGTGTCGCCCAGCAAAGGCCCTCCCAAAAAGAAATGGAACAAGGAACATTGTCTTCCAGGCATCGGTCCTCTGTCAGGTTCCATGGTTTCATCTCACTTGCTGAGTGGAATAGCAACCAAAAGTCCAAACTTTCTATTTACCACTAAAATGATCTTCCCAAAAAGTTCAACATCCAGGAACTCAGGAAGCGAGTCATGTTTTTGTGCGCGTGTGTGTGTGTTTTTTCTTGGCGGGGGGGGGGGAGCCTAGCTTTAGTTGCCAAAGCAGTCGGCCGCTTCTGGCCTGATGCCCGGATTCCCCCGACTTGAAGGAGAGGTCACCCATGAGGTGGTTGTCGATCTTGTCCTGGCGCGGACCCTCTTTTGTACGTTTTGAGGGGTAAACAGGAAACCAACCACCTGGGGAAGTCTTCCATTTGCTTAAGCCCCCTGCAAAAAAAAATAAAATTCTTCCAGTAGTGATAGATTCCCTTTAACACCAACAGGGGAAATATAAAATATTAAGAAAATGGAAGAATTGCATAACATTAAGAACCAGGCTGTTCAGACCGGACCCTCCTCATAGCGCATGTACTCCAGGATGCGGTCCCAAATGGCTGGGAAGTAGGGCGAGAACTGGGCCACCTGCGGCACGCCTTTGGTTTCACCAGGTGAGGGAAAGCAAAAGAAACACTGTCTTTTTGGGGGTCCAAATTCCAAATCCTGATTCTGGGCGAATTTCAGTTCTGGTAATTACGTGAGTTATTTGGCTGGCCCAAATCCAGCCTGTAAGGGAGCATGTCCTTGGTTGGATGTTGAAGGGCATGCACGCGGCCAAGGCAATCCCCGCCTGTTCCCCGACACGGCTCTCAGATCCCGCGAAGGAATAGGGCAACACCTGCGACACGCGCCAGGCAAGGAGGACACAGGGTGGGAGATGCGCTTGGCGTCTTGAATAAGGGAACCAGGGCCTCCCTGCAATTGATCATGGCTTGTTGCTGGACCATTGAAGCGTTTGCCATGGCACATGCTTGTGCATATGATGCGGCCTTAACAGATGCCTCAAGAGCGGCAAAGCTTCACTATCGGCAAGCTCGCGGGCAAACAATTGGACCCCCTCGGGGCCCTTTCAGGCTTCAAGCATATCGCATATTTGAAGTACCCTGTTGATTGACAGGGAGACCAGCAGCAATCCGCCATTGGGGGGGAGGCCTCTCTATGACGCAACTCCCATTATGCTGAACATCACCTCTCAAATCCCAGCAGCTCCGTCGAACCAAAGCCACAGCTACACCCGGCACACAAATTCCGGCGAATGCAGGAGGCTTCCCTCAGGCTCCAAGGGCACGGGTGCGGCTGTAACGAGCTGCACCAGGGGCGCATCTCTATCAAGTGAACATGCATTGCAACAGAACCCGTCTGCTATTCCTCTGTTCCCTTCGGATACTATGCGACAAGCCTGGTCTATGCCAGGTATGTGAGTCCGGCAATCTTGGTGGCAACCTAGCCAGTGGAGTAAACTGAAAAACAAAGAAACAACAACACACCATGCTGGTTCTTTCAGAAATGTCGAGTTCGCAACAACTGGTCGCCGACCTGCTGAAACATCATCCCATGGCCCGACCGGGCAAGTACTGACACCAAGGGAAAGAGCGATCCCACGGCCCTGTTGGTGTAGGATCGTGGCCCCTTTGGCGCGTAACTTCGCAGCAGGGACAAACACGTAAGGAGCAAAATTCAACGCAACCAGCCAAAGAACAAAGACCATCAAACAACCCGCGCCCTTTCCAACAAAAGCAAGCTAACAGCCCGATAACAAACAAACTAACCAACAAACCAAAGAGATCAAAAACCCAAACCAACTCACCCTAAGCATCGGGGCCATGTTAGGGTTCAAAACCACCCCCTGACCCCTATGGGTCCAACGTCTAGGTTGCTACCAAAGCCGACTCACCTTGCAATTCCTCCACCACCCCACTTCCCACCCCCCAACCCCACCCCTCTCCACTCCACCCCTTGGACCCCACCCCGCCCCGCAACCTCCAGCCCCAACCCCCCACCCCCACCCCCCCCCAGCCCCCCACCTTCCGCGAGAAGCGCTCGGGCAACTTGGCCACGGAGTCCTCCAGAGCCCAGGCGAAGACACGGCAGCCCCGCTGCACCAACACCGTGGAGACGCCCAAAATGGAGCAGAGCACCGTGAACCAAAGCCTCGGGGGCTCGGAGCTCTCTGGTGTTTGAAGTGGAAATTGGTGGGTTTAGGTGGGTGAAACATGTGGGCGAAAGAAATGAGAGGGGTATGGGCATATGGGTGGGTGGAAGATGCTAGGTTTAGGGGGTTAGGTGGGCGTTTTCGGTGGGTTTGGATGGGTTTAGGTGAGCCAAGTGGGAGTAGCGTCAGAGAGTCTGACACAAAAGGGCTAAACACGGAAAAAGGGATTTAAAACTGCGGGTGATAAGGCTGATAGGTGGGGGAAATATGGGGGGGTAACAAGTAAGAGCGTTCTGGGTATGTGGATGATGGTTTGTGGGATTTGGTGGGTAAAAAATATGTGTTTCTGTGGTTTAGGTGTTTAGGTGGCTTCAGGTGGATTTAGATGGGTATGTCCAAATGGTTTAGGCCGGCTTGCCCATAAACCAAAGGGGGAGTTGGGGAGTTAAAGTTGTTCAACGCCTCGGTTTGGGAACTGGCGGTGAGCTATGCGTCCGGATGTCCGGTATATTGCGCTATTTGTTGGTTGGTGAGGGTTTGACAAGGCAAACAAATGTTTGCCTTGTTCCTCAAAGTGGGATCGGGTGTGGGGTCGAAACTGTTCGATTCCGCTATCACGGGGTGGGGCACCAGCTGTTCATGCAGAGGCATGTCCGCTTTGTTGTTGGTGTTATCAAGGCCAAATGAGGCGGGCGGCGGGGGGGGGAAATACGAGGTTCGGGGGTTGAAGGTCATATTCAACCATCACTTGAATGGGACAACGTGTGAAAGCTTGGGAAGCTTAAGCCAGTGGTCATCACAATGAACACCTTGCCGAGATGTTCCCTTTGGGAGGGGCAAAGCTAGCACATCCTGAGTGAACATCCAAACTGTTGGCTTCCACGAGAACTGATCCTTACCAAGTCACAAGCTGGAAAGGTGAGCGCACCTGCACCGATTTCTGGGCAGGATCCGTCCTAAAAATCGGCCGAGGCGCTGGGTGTCTGAGATAAAGAGCACCAGCGTGGTGAACCACAGCCTTGGTATCCCAGTTTTGGCAGCTGGTTTTTTCCGAAAGAATCGCTGGATGCCGGTTCGCTTTGCTGTAAAATGGGCACTTGGCCACCCTCCGCTTCATATTCTCGTATATGCCCCTACGCCGGAGAAATCGACTCAAGTCAGACCATGGTGCTAGTTGGCTAAAACCGATCTGGTTCTCAAGCCCTGTCGTATGGTTGACGACAGGTCTCGTCAATGTCACCTTCCCTTCGCCAAGTGGCACGAACCACAGGAGGAAGTCGGAGCCCCACTCAGTGCCTGAGCGCGTGTCTTCGCTTGAGAAGCTGGGCAAGGCCAAGCGATTCCTTGAGCCCGGAGGCAAACCGAAGGGCTAAACCAAAATCCGAGTGGCAAGTGACCCGAAAAACCGAACCATCCAAGAGACCCGAAAATCCACACCAAGTGCACGGAGCTTGCCCAAACAACTCTTGATGGATCACACTTGCCCCCACAAGCACAGCGTCACGTGGGCAACTCGCAACCTGTGGATAAACAAAATCCCAATTAAAAAACTGGTTGATAAACCATTGCACCGATCCGAACTGCAGAATGTTTGTCCATCCGCTGTAGGGCCTGTGTCAACCTGATTGAGTTCATCTGCCTGCTTTGCTATTAACCTTTGCTTGAGTTTCCTTTCCTTTACCCACCCCCAACACCAAAAAAAAAAAGGAGAAACAAAAAAGCCGGCACAAACATTAGTCCCCAGCTAGGCAGCTGTAGTAGATCTCTGAAATCTCCGATACGCTCTCCCGGCCCGGCAGGGCAATCTGCAGGGACTGTGTCGCCTCGAACCTTACCCGAGCACTCCTCGACCCCTCGACCCGCCCAGGGTCCCAAGCAAATACTTCAGGCCAATCGTAGGTAACCAACCCCCAGAGTGCTTGCTCCTTAGGGTTTACCTGTTTTCTACGCCTTTTGGATGCGTGTTAATTTTACCCCTCCTGAGTTCATTATTTGTTTGGGCCCAGGGGTCTAGTGGCAACATGTCTGGTCTCAGCCGCGGTCGCCGGCGAATGTCAGCACTTACCAGAGGCCATTCCAAAAACGAGCCATGGGGTTGCTGGAAGTCATGGAGGACTTGGAGCTGACTTCCATCCTTTATTGGAGCTGACTCCATCGATGATGGGTGCGGGATTTTGAGCAAGGCGAGGAGTACGTTCGACACACGGGCTTCAAACGTGCATAGCTCGAAAACTGTACGAATGCGTCGGCCATGGTGAAGCAGCTGGATCAAAAAACATGGCACTTGATCCAGCTGAGGGGTGATACCCCTATAGCCATGGCTAGGGAAAAGAGCGCTTGCCAAGGCCGAAAGTTGGAAGACGGGAGGGAGAGGCTTGGGAGACTAAGGAAAATGCAGGCCAAGGCACATGGTACCGAAGATGATGAGGCCTAGCATGAATTTCACCGCAATCAGCACAAACCAAAAGCCGTAGCGAACCAGTCGGTTCATGAGTGGCACTTGGCTCATCTCCCACATCCTTAGAAGCCAAGTCTATGGGGCAAAGCACATATCCAAGGATAAAAAAACACGACAAAGTGAAAGGAACAACAATCATCCCCCCCCAAAAAAAAGAGATGTTCAAGCATGTTTAAAGGCAACCACTTCCCAAAGGACACATCAAATTTAAGTTGCTACTGGGCATCTTGTCGGAGTTGCTTCCGCAGCTTCGAATGCACGAGCCAGAGGGCACGAAAAGCAAGTAAAAGAGCCCGGTCCCAGATAGCGCGAAGTGGAACCTTGCACAAGGCACCTTGAAATAAAGAAAAGCTGACCATTCCGACAAATGGAAATCAAAGCTAGCGCTGTTAAAACAAACAACAGTGCCAGCAAAAGGGAAACCTTTTGCGAAACATGGGCCAACAACAGGGATAACCAAAGGTACAAAGGTCGGCTTGCAACTGAGGAACACCAGAAGGGGAGTCAAAGGCAAACCGAATTGGCTGTCCTCTAAGCAAGCATCCCGAATTCCGGCATAGGTCAGCACGGGGAGCATCCTTGGCTGAACAGGGTTTCAGCCCATGCGGCCGCCATGTCTCCAGGTGTGTTGGCCTTCCTGTCGGCGTCCCGTTCAACACATACCCAACCGGGTGTTGAAGAGCGGTCTGAAAAACTGAGGAACATCACCGCAAGTTGTGGCTTTCTTTTTGGAATTCAACAATATGGGCAATTCAGCACCCGGGCAACGTTGCTCATGCGCAATGCGCCATGTGACGTGCGACAACTTAGGCCGGGGCCACCACAGTGTCTTCCAAATGCCTCAGCTTGCGCCGAGACAGGCGGAACAACTTTGGGGCAGGCATCTTACCCAGTGGCCAGAAGGAACGAGGTCGGCTGTTTGCCGTTTGATTGACTTTCTGCGGCAGTTGGCCGAAAGAAATTGGAACTGAACATTTCCAACATCATCCCCTTTACTCAACAACATACAGGGAATTGCATCACCTACTTTCCCCGTTTTGTGCTCTTACCCCGGCAAGAAGGAAAAAGCTGCCTCTGCAGACATGCTTGTTGAGCACTTCTCACGGCTGGGGTGCTGGCGGGCCGTTTCAACATGTGTAGCGGCAAGCTGGACAACCCTTGCAACCTTATACCCTGACATGAGCAGCGAACGAAGTACGTTTGGGCAGCTCCGGCTCGAAAGTCACAACTTTTCAGTGTAGCTCCAGCTCGAAAATCGCACCTTTTTCAGCACAAGTGTAGTCGAAAAGTGAGTAGACATGTAGTACACAAAGTGCTTTGGCAGCTCCAGGGCAACTGGCTGGATTGGGCATGACTCATGACGGCTAATGAGTTGTCTATTGCTTGGGCATCGGCTTGGGTATCGGTTTGGGCGCTGCAAATTTCTCACACCGCCAATCTTGGTTTGTGACAAAAACTTGGGCCTGATCTGTCTTCACGGTTTCTACAAGGGTTGTCGGTTGTTCTTCCTCAGCATCGGGTTGCATGAAAGTTCAGTGACGGGCCCTTGCGTAATGAAAAGGCGCGGGGCTCTTTTTTCGAACCAAATGGGTTCGACACACACACACACACTTACACTTGTCCTTCGGCACAAGCGGTCGGAATCGGAACCCATTTCTTAGAACTTCCTCAGCAGTCCACTGTGAGCCGGGCTATGGCTTCAGTTGTGCCCACCAAAGGGGGCAGTCGCCACTTGGATGTTGGGCCGAGGTAGAAGGTGGTTACCCACCCGAATCATAACATGTCATAACACACACACACACACACACACGCGAATAACAGACACCTAAGGGACTCACGAGTAGGCCTAGGTTGCCAACAACTTACTAACTGGCCGAACACCCAAGTGCTGCAGAAGTGCAATGATGAGACAGGGTTTCCTCTGCCAAAGCGAGTGCGGACAGGGAGATCAATTCCAAATGAACAAACACTGTTCGTATCTGAACATCCTCACACGAGTTCCCCTTCCCCCTCTTTCACACCAAGGTCCAGCAGTATCAACAAATGTTGCTCAAACCCAGTGCAACTCAAAGCCGCCGAAGATGAAATATGGGGAACCCTGTACCGCCACCCAACCTGTTCAAAGGTTCTACCGTGGAAGCTTCGGGGCCCTCCAACCCATCCTTCCCATCGCGTCGTTTTCGCCGGGCCGCTGCGTGTGACGCAGGTCAGTGGCTGTTGGAGCCGCAGCACGCGGCCGGTGACCTGCCACCGCGCCATGGCCCACAGCAGCGCGTGCCTCGCACGCGCGGACACCCGGCTGCGGAGGTGGAGGATGCCACTCGACTGGGGGATGCCCCCCTCTGGCAAAAGAGGGGTGCAAACATGGGGGGGGGGAGGGGACAAATTGAAAGCACTCAAATCAAATTGCCTGGAATTTGGGGCTGGTGCGCGCAGGTAAGAGAAAGGCACAGCTCCGCAGTTTGGAAAGACTTTGGTGCAGCAGGCGAGCATGTGGCAACCACTGCGGGTTTTGCTAAATTTAGTTTGTCAAGCTTGTCTTCTGCTAGCGCGAGTTGGGCCTGGTGGTGCGCAGGTTAGTTGATGACCCTCTGACTCACTTTCCAAAGTGGATTGGAACAAACAAACTGTGTGTCATTTTTGAGGGTGCCCCTTTCTTGGTAGTTGTTAAAGGGAAACTATATATATATATATATGGAAAACTATGTTATTCTATTGGGCACTTCTTTACTGCTACAAGGGACTTCCCGGACAAGTCTTCACTTTTCCGTCTCGCTCACTGAGCAGGGAAGCAGCCAGCATAAAAAACAGTGGGAGACAGGGGGCAGCCCCTCTGAAGGCTTGGGTTGCCTTGGGAGCATGATACTTTGCTGGGTGCTGAATAGGCATGTAATACCCGTTTTAAGCGGGGCAGGGGGGATTCACAAGTACATGCTGCCATCCGCACCCAAATGCCTTTTCATGGCCTGAACCCTCGCACGTTTCAACTACCCTCAAAAGGAAGCGGGATTCATGACCTTCACGCAGTGGCTGCCGCAGCTTTGCCATATAATTACCCCTTATTTTCCCACTTTGGGGGTACTTTGAGGGGTGAAACAACTCTCAAACAGGGGTCGCCGGTTTTTCTCTCTTGGCATTTGCTGTTTCATGTTGGAATTTGCTGGATTTTCCCTGTTGGATTTGTTCGCCAGGTCCAGCGGTGAAACAAATCTCAGCCATTGAGCCCCCCCTACACCTCCCAGGTAGGCCGCGGGCTTCCGCGAGCTCTCCAAGTACTAAGTAGTACTAAGTCGATTTGAGTGGCAACCGCTAACCAATCAGAAGTGCGAAGCAAACAACTATCCGAAGTGCGAACCCCCCCCCTCCCAGCAGCTACCCGTCCACTGCGCTGGACGCGAGCCGAGAAGCACGGGCACCACCAGCGCCACCGCGCTAAAGCGCACCGCAGTGGACTGGCCCATGATGGGGACTCCGTAGTTTGGGTCCGGGTCCCCGGTCACCGTGCCTCGAGTGGATTTGGCTGGGGGCGGAACAGGAATAGGAGCGTGGTGGATCCAATGCGCCAAAGGGAGCCATGGGAATGGCCCTTAGCTGTACAGCCGGCACCTCAGCAACATACCTGTACCTGGAGATTCATTCTCCGGCGTTTTAGTTTCCTGATAGTTTGGGCGTGTTGGGCGTTCTAAGTGGTTTCTAGGAGTTTTGCGCGACCCCCGAGCCCAAAAAGCGTCTTTTTCTGATTTGCGGGCGGTTGCGGGCGTTTGTGGGGTTTTGCGGGCGTTTGCGGGCTTTTTGCGGGCGTTTTGCGGGTATTTCTGGGCGGGGAAAACGTGAAACCGTACCAATTCTGAATTCTCACAACAATATAGGATCTTTTTAGTAGTTTTAGGCGACTTCACGGAAAACACATCAAGATTTACCAAAAGCAAGTCAAAGCCGAGAACTACCAGGAAATTCATGGAGAATGAATCTCCAGGTAGGACACACGTTCGCCAAGCATTGCCAATCGCGCAAGAGGGCTGCAGAACAGGAATCCAGTTCCCGTCAGGCGAACGTTTTGGGACCAAACTGCGGCGAGTCTGGCATGCGTCAACTCGAGGACAGCGAATGCAAGGGCTGTATGATCATAAGCACAGCCTATCACGTCTTCCGAAGGTTTGGGCAAAGTGGACCCCCTGCCAGACACACCTCAGTGGATCTGTTGCACACAAATCAGAATCCTCTTTTTGAATTAGCTGGAAAACACGAGGAAAATAGCGCAAGGCTGGGACCCGCTCATGTTGACCCAAAAAAGAGCGAATTCGGATTGTATTTTTGAGGGTGAGTCGGATTCCCTCGAAATCAACTGGCGGTTATTAATCAGCTGGGTCACAGTGCTGGCACACAGCGACACAACAACATCCAGGGCGAGCATTGAGAACCCAAAACCAAACACACAGGCCTCTGTCGACTGTAAGTGACACTGCTCTCTGGATCAGCAAAACCGTCCCTGCACAGAACTCTGACCTTGACACAAAATGAAGCCATCGGTTAAAAAGGAGCCTTTGGCAACTGAGTCTTGCGACCCATTTCCGCAACCGAGAGGCCCCCCCCATCCCATTCTTATCCTCGGATGAGCTCCCCTCAGTTTGAGTGGCCTTACTTTTTGAAAATCAACAACATCCTAACCAAAACTTCTCCGTGTTCCTCCTTCCTCATTTTACCTCCGCGAAAATGAGTTCGCGAGCCCCTGCCCCCAGCCTCTGTGGTTTTCCTTCAGGTTTCCGTTTCAAACCAACCAAACACGGGGTACCCAGCCAAAAAAAGGACGCACTTTCAGATGTCTCCTGGGTCCTCCAGTAGAGAGGTTAGAATAAGGGTACTCTTTCTTCTGTAGTCTATTTTAGTAGGGAAACCCCCTAAAAAGAAATGATAAAGGGGCACTACTGGGGGCCCTAGTTTCCGAACGGGCTCGAACTCGAAGGCGCAGACCCCGGCGAAGAAGAGCACCAAGTGCAGCAGCACGATGCGGTGGGTGCTGGCGAAGACGCCCCACAGGGAGTGGATCTCTCGGTGGGTCTTCGTCTCGGCCGCCTCCAGCGTCACCTGCGACGTCGACTCAAAGAAACGAAAGGGAGCAGTCTACCGGAAATGGTCGCCAAGACGAAGCAAAAACAGGGATTGCCCATGCAGCAAAGAACAGGATTATCCACCAAAAACCAGGATTGCCCACCAAACAAAAGAATGCCCGCCAAACACCAGGCTCAAAGAAACCGGCGATCGTGTTGACAAGGAGCACCACGCTAATGTAGGGATGGTTTCCCTTTTAGTGTGGAATTTAAAGCAGAAAGGGATTCCTCAGAATAGTATGGCCTTCCAGAAAGACCCGAACCAATGAGCCACATACCCACCAAAAAACCGGATTTCCTGGATGTCTTGCAGCTGGCTTCTTAGATCAGGGGGAGGTTTTGGCCAAACGCGACCCTGGCGGCGTTTTTGCGCCGCCTTCTTTAGGGAGGTCCGAAAAGGGGGTCCATCGCTTGGGTTGTTCAATATGTCCGGATCCCTAATCTGCAATTCGTAGTGAGACACCATGCGGGAAACCACTACGTACCATGTGGCAAAGGATAAAGGATTTATCTTGAACAACCTTACAGACCCCTCCAAGGCCCCCCACCCCTGCCCAGAAAAATAGGCCTTTTTGAGTCCTCCAAAAATATCGGAAGCCTCTGGGTAACTTATCCAGTTGCCTAGTGACCCTGGCAAACAACATCACAAACTCCTTGCTGAACAAACAACTATGGCAACTGAAAATCATTCGGAACCCGAAAGAGTTCTTGCGAAAGGAGACTCCTGCAAGGGTGGTTTTGGGGTTCCAGGTTTCCGTGCTCACGAATCTGCAGTGGAGTAACTCCCCCCCCCCCCCCAGCGCCTGCCAGTCCACCCGTGGCAGCGCCAGAAAGCGCCGATCGTGGGGCAAATCAAAGAGCCGAGTGCCGTCCTGCAGCAAAATGCCCTCCATCATCCGAGCCGGGTCGCAGAAGAACTCGTTCCAATCCTAGGGCATCCATGGTGTGTACTTTCCCCTTTGCTTGGTGCGTCCCACGGGGGGGTGCCTTTATCGACCCATGTTTGGAGGCAAGGCCTTATGTTGTGCCTTTCTGGCTTGCGTTTGAGAAATTCTGTGTTTAGACAGGATAAACTACGGGCAACGTGGCGTGACGCACAGTGCAAGACAGCCAAAAGGCTGCAAAACAACACGCAGAACGATGGTCAACCATATGTTTAAACGGGGTCCAACACATTCTTCCACACACGCAAGCACCCATGCAACCATTGTCATTTAATGCAAGCTGCGACCAGCTGTTAGGGCCTAAGGGGCGCCACTTCTTCTCACTGGGTCGTCAACCCTTAGGTCTCAGATTCGGCACGGACTTTGGGAAACCATTCGGGTGTGTGGTTGCTTCAAAGGGAAGCGAGGGTGGTACCTTACCATGTTGCTTAGCGAATGGAGAAAGATACTTTGATAAATCGTCATTTAAGCAAGTGGTGAGAGGTGGTGGCATGGCTTGGACACACAGATAGTTGTACCACGTTTTTTTGCCTGGCACCACGGCAATGCTTCCCACAAGGTGGCTGATCAGGCAAACAACCGGAATTTTGTTTTCTTTAGGTCATCAACATGATGACAAATCGCAATGACAAAGCCAGCCTCTCGCTCTCTCTCTCTCTCTCTGTTGGTGATGCGTCATGGAAATAGCCCTCCACAAACTGTGGTGCATCAAGCCTCATGGAGCCAACTGATGTCCATCCAACACTCGGCGACTCAGCAAGCGGAGTCTTCCACATTGGCCTCTGTTCCCCTTTGTTTCTGAGACTGTCACCTGATGCCTTGCTTGCTTGCTTGCTTGCTTGCTTGCTTGCTTGCTTGCTTGCTTGCTTGCTTGCTTGCTTGCTTGCTTGCTTGCTTGCTTGCTTGCTTGCTTGCGTTTTGTGTTTACAAAAAGGGTCGCGACATTCGATCAGGGCGTGCCCCCAACTACATTGAGGAACCTTTCCAGGAAAGAGCCAATTCCATTTGGACAGTTTTCCCCACAAAAGAGAAATGGAATTCTGAATGAAATCCAGACCGCCCCTGCCTCCCCATATCTGCAATTTGACAAGTGGAAATGCTCATCACATCGCAGTGTTTGCAGTCGAGAATCGTCGTAGTTGGCCACCTTAGGCCATGGGACGACTCTTCACTAAACTGGACAAAAGGACTCGGAAACTCAGCGCCCAACCTCACCAAGGGTCAAAGCAAACCCCCAGGAACACTTGACCTGCCTGAGGTGGATTTAATCCATCAGGGACCCGCCCCCCTTCCATACCTTAAGCGTCTTTCTTACCGTTTAGTCCGGCTATGATTCAATTGGGGTCCCGGACCGCCAAGTTCGGTTCGGAGTTTCCGAATGTAAAAATCCGAGGTTGGCCTGGGAGATCTTGCCCAGGGGCATCTGGGGGCAAGAAGTTCTCAAGGCCAGGCTTCAGCTTCTTCTTGTCTTTCTGGTTATTGGCGTCGATGTCTACGTACTGATACCTTCACCGTGATCCGATCGGTGCGAAACCGGAACCCAGCAGGATTTAGATTGCAGTCGGCAGTTTGTTTGTTCAAACCTCTGCGGCGGTGTCAAGAGGAAGCCCTTCAAATGGGTGTGGACTGAGGGGCTCGTTGCAAAGTTCGCCACCCTCCCAAACGCAGGAAGACCAGCCAGCCTGACCAGGAGCCCAAGATTTGGTGGCACGATGTGGCACGGAAACCCGGCCCTTTTCTCTTGCCGGGACTTCAGGACGTGACTGGGGATTTCTCAAGGCAGCCGCCTGGTTCGCCCAAAACCACCTGTCCCGTAGCAAAGCGGCCACTCATCGAAGACCACGTTGTAGATTGGCCGGATGACCTTGCTGAGGAAGAGGTTGCTGCGGAAGGGGGCCCCAGGCAAACTGGGCTCTGGGATGGCTGAGCCATAAACCTCCTCGAAATCCGCAGGATTCGCCGCGAGCGCCAGCTCCGTAATGAAGTACACCGCCTTGCGCCAGGGATCAGAGTAGGCGAAAGCCCCAGGACTAGCTCGAGATTCTTTTGGTATCATCTATGCGACAGGCTGGGTGAGCTGGGTTGCCCAACCCACATGCCACGCCAAATGACACCTGGGCCCCTCAAGTTGTTTTGGAGTTTACGACTGGTGGCTCAATTTCCCCTTCCTGCCTCCGGCATGAATCGCACGTTGCCCGCCTGTCGGCATGCCCCAGTAGGGGCGTTCCCACAAATGACCCTTCAAAAAGGCAGGCCTCTCAACTATGAGCTCCGAGTGGGAGGATGAGTGCAGCGCGAAATGGCCTTCAGAAGTTGAATGTGTTCTGTTGAATGATGTTCGAAAAGTTGAAGGCAGAGTGACGAAAGCTTGCGCAACACAGCATGCCCCACCATACCGAGAATGCCAGCAGGCACACTCTTTCAGACAACCTGGTTCCAACAAGTCAGCTTACTTCCCTTAGAGCCTTATGCTGAAACAGGATATCATGCTTTTGTACACCGTAAGATTCAACGACTTCCTGTTTAAAGCAGAGGGATCATTGGGAAATCGAAGGATCCAAAGCCTTGGGCGGGGAATCGCAGCTGGTGCTGGTTCTGCCGGGGAGGGGGGGGGGGGGGGTCAGCTCGAAAGGTTTGCTATGAGCAGGCAGCCTGCATTTTGACAGCCAGGTGAAGAACAAGCTTGATGCTAGCTACAGTTGATTCGTCCTTCACACAAAATTTCCCTTCGGGCATCAACCCAAATTTGCTTTCCCAGACGCTCCTGGGGCTTCCAATGGAAGACCCCAGAAGGGTTTTGGGGTCTCAAAACCTGGCCGTTTGAAGGCCCAAAATCAATGGGGAGCGTCTGGGAAAGGGCAGAGCGCCTCCCCCCAGACCAGCAGATAGGTGGCCATCTCCGTGAGCTGCCGAGACAAGATGGCGGCCGAGGCGGGGTCCACCCCCTCTCGTTTCAGAGGCTCGAACTTGGCGCCGCCTACCGGACGCTGCCTCGGGGAGGAGCAAACTGGCGGATATGGGTGGTCCGTCTTTTTGTTGATACCCACAAAGTGGATTTCGGTCTTTTGGTTGCGCTATAATCCACGAACACGAAGAAGGGTTCCCCCCCCCAAGAAAACGAGGAGAGAGCTTGTATTGGAGAAAGGCAAAGACTCAATGGCGTCTGATTCCAGGTCAAGGGCAAGGTGTGTCGTGAGTTTGTCTTGATCACGATTCGGGTCAGGACCTGATCGAATAGATGCACATATACATGCTCGAGTACATACTTGTTCGATCACGTCCTGCTTTTCTGTCCACTTGGGAAAATGCAAGAGGAATCCGAAATCCACCCGAGTCATTGTTCAGCGCCCATAAGCCGTGGACAGCAGGCAAGCATATCGAAAAGCTCCGGCATGTTGGGTTTTGGCCCAAAGTTTCTTGTGGCTCCTCTGCTGGGCCCCGCCGGCTTGTTCGTCAACACAACCCTTCAACATCCATTTGTTAAATGACTCTTTTTAAGGCATGCGATTGTTTATCATTATTATTATCATTATTATTTTAAACACCTCCTCTCCAACCAAAAGCGGACCAAGTATGAACACGGGTGTTTATGCTTCCTAGGTCACCCTCCCACCAACAAATATGGAAGCGCACCTTTTGAAACACCACCTTGTTGGGAGGGGGGTCGGTGCGCTGGGCTGGTTGGCTCCAAGGTGCTCGTCCTCCTTGAGCTCAGGCACCGAGTTGGCCTCCACCGCAGAGAGCTCATTGCGCCACCGGAGGAACCCGTCCATCATCTCGAAGTACAGGTCCCCCGCAGCCTTGCGAGCCGGGCTGCCCTACCCGGAACAAAAAACGACTTGACTCGACGCCTTTAGCCTGCTAGCATGGTTCCCCTCCAAGCAAACCTGGTGAGAGGGCTCAACGTGGGGTGACTCCAAAGGCGATTTCTAGATCTGGCAATCTACACCTACATAGGCACGCAGACATGGAACACATATCTCTGCAGCGTGGCCAAAGCGCAGGGCAATCCCAGCTTCTCAGCCCGGAATTTTGGGAAACCGCTGCCGTCCATTGCTCAACAAGCATGGTTCACAAAGCCCTTCTCACTTCCTGAGTTCTTAGTTCCTGAGTGGACTGGCCACTAAAAGTCTAAACTTTTGGTTTACCGAAACGGTCCTAAAACACCCAGAAACCTAGGGAGTGAGACCTGCCGTGGATGTTTCGTCTTTGGCCCATTTGGCGCACGGGCACCTCCCCGGGTCACCGCGCCGCGCGCGCCTCGTAGAGCAGTTCCCGCTCGTTGACGCTGGCGCCCTGGCCCACGGAGCGGTCCGCCACCATGGCCACCTGGGACCGCCAGAGGGACAGGAAGTGCTCGTACCTCCGCGCGCGGTCTGATGCGATTGGTCCGATCCATCCGATCCATCTCCTCTCGGAGGTCCAAAGCCGGTGGGTCTTGGCGCAATCCGAATTTGTAGGCTCGGAGGTCCAAAGCGGGGGGGGGGGTTTGGGGCCCGGAGCTGGAGGTTTCTGCGAAGAACCGGGATCCCTGCTAGGAAAAGCCTTGGAAAGTCAGCTTCCCCCTGCCCAATGCTCTGGATGACCCTCCGGTATTCCTGGCAAACGTTGCTCGCTGACGCTGGTTTGTCTGCGGTCCCTTTGGGGAGGCACAGGCGGGACTCACTCAATAGCACAAAAACCCTGGTCAGTGACTAGTGAAAAAGGAGGGACCCTGGAAACAAAACAAACCTAGACATGCGTTGGCCGTACTTAGGCACTCCAAAAAGCCCCTTTTAGGGTTGGTGCAAGAGACGCCCAAAATGAGAAAAGGGTGGCACGGAACAACTGGGCCAATCAACGAACAACTGCACAGTGTAGGGGAAGCCAAAGGTGACCAGCCACCGTGAGTTTGCTTTTTTGAATCATGGATGTTAGTTTCAGGAGCGCGAAATCATGTAAAACTTCTTTTGGGGGGGCTAGCTTTCCAGCCCCGAACCGTGGAGAACATGAGGTTCAACTTGGGGAAGGTCCCTAATCCGAAGCGGCACACCGCTGCAACAAGGGCAATCAATGGCAACTGGTGTAAGGATTCTGGATTCATTCCGAACACAGAGGAAAGTGAGGCCTGCGTGACAACCTCCACTGGATCTCCATGAGGGTTGGCCTTAAAGCGGTTCCCATTCAGTGAACACTCTCAGGGCTTTGAGTGTACATTTTCTTTGGGGGCAAAATTCCTTTAAACCACCCTTTAAGAAGATAGCAAACAAATGATACGTACTTTACAGGAGGCAAAGACCAAGGCCCTGCCTGAAGGTTTCATGGAAAGCCTTCCCAGTTCCACTGAGCTAGTTTCCAAGGGGAAAAATGAAAGGGCCGCAGCGAAAAAGAAACTTACAGGGCACCCGGAAAGCAAAGCTGCGAGAAACCAAAGAAATCAGGGCGGAAACCAAAAGAGGATCCTCACTGAAACTGATTGGATTGAGCAAAAGTCCAGGAACTTCTTCTTCTCCAGTCCAAGCCCAAACATCCAGAGCTCAGGGAATGAGAGGGATCCCTTCCGACAGTGGATGAAAATACTGCAAGTAGGGGCACAAGAGAACTCCCGTAGAAAACAGTAATTTCCCATGGCTTGGTGGGTGTGGTTGATGTACTTGCAACGCTTAGGGTATCCACCTTACCATCCTGGCACTGCCCCAACCCTGGCCCTCAACAAGCTGAGCCACTGGTTTCTCACACTGTCCGCCTGGAAATCAAAAGACTCCTGGCGAGCACGTGACCCGAAACGACTTGTTCGGCATGAGCAACTGAATGCCCCCGCGCCGGTTTTTGTGGGGTCTCTGGGTTGCCCGCATGCCCCGTGAGCAACAAATCAGTATGTCAGTTGCTGGAACTTGTTGTGCTGGGTCTGGTGTGCTAGATTTATATGGGGGGGGAAGAGTCGCCCGCTTTCGTTAAAAGGCCCGTTTGCTTTTGACAAATTGACCCTACATATGACTATGATGTACGCATTGTTTCTTCAAATCCTGACCTAGAAATTGTAATGTTGATTGTTGCTGTGCTTGGGCAAGTGTACGGATCAAGTTTATTGGGGATGCATGGATGGGCAAAGAAACGTTCTCTTGAACCGAGAGGCCAGAAAAGGGAAGAAAGCTCAGAGATGGAAATGGAGACCCTGGGCCTTGACCCCAAGCTCACTTTTGAAGACCCTCGCACCTCATTGTCCCCTCTAACAGCCAGGCACGCTTCCAACTTTGCCAAAGGGGGGCTCTCTTGAAGGCAGTTGTGCTGAAGGGAAAGCGACCATTTTAGACGTTAGCCCAGCATCCGCGTGTCATTGACCCTTCCCCAACTCCTCCCTTTCCAGTCTCCTTCAACGCACCGAAAATGCTGGAGGTTGTGTTGGCAAAGTCGGAGGCGCCCGGGAGCACACGAAGGCAATTCTTCTGCAGCCATTCCATCTCCAGCTCTTTCCTTAACTCCAGAATCAGGCTCTGTGTTGCGACCTTCATTGGGCAACACAGGGGCCCGAAAATCACATCTTTTTGGCCCCGACTCAAATCCGCCAGCTCCCCAGATTTGACCCACAACTACATACCCCCCAACATGCCCCAGGTATAAGCCATTCGCGTGCCTCTATTGTGCCCCCCGCCTTTCCACACATGAACGTGAACCATGATCTATATACGTGTGCGCATATATATCTGTGTGCCCTGCATGCGCCCGAAAGGTGCAATTGGCCGGGGGCGCAGGCGACAGTACAGGCTGCGTACTAGGGCACTTGCTCTGGTTGAAACCCCTTCATCCCTCTCCTGTGGTGCCCTAAGTGGGTTATCCTGTTTTGCACTAAAGTCAGCCCCCCCTCCTCAAAGTGGTAGGCTACAGGGAGACAACCCCAATTCCTGACCTCTAACCTCACTTCCGATCCAGCGGCCTGGTCACTAAAAACTAACCAACAACTCGTTCTTTGCCGCTGAAATGGTCCAAGCCCGAACAGTGTACTGCCGACGAAGGGTGGAACTAACGGCCCGGCTAAAACCAGGGCCCGCGGGCCTCTCACCGCCGAGCTGCTTCAGGGCACTGCGGCAGGAGACCCTTGGCGTGCGGCTGCCCGGCCGGCTCAGCGTCTCATCGCCTCTAAGCCCGGAACCAAAAACCACATGGGTGTAGGCCAGGCCCTGACAAATGGTCTGTTTTGTGGGGTTTGTGACCATGTACTTGCAGCTTTGCCGCCATTTGCCAGCCATTGGGGGTGCCGGGGAATGCCGGGGAACGCCGGCTTTTTCCAGGTGTGCACATGTAATTACGTGTCGATCGGTATTTACAGGTTTTTCCCTGGTTGTGTGAAATGATGCCGTTCTGTGGTACTGCAGTAGGGTTCCCAATCTCTGTGAAGACTGGCATGCTCATGCTCGCTTCATATGAAAAAGTGGCTACACCCAAGAACCACATGTCTTACAAGACTCGCGGAAGCGGGGACCTCCAATTGCAGTTTGGTAGGAACAAGGGCATCTGCACTTGCACCGAGACTTGGCAACATGTCCCCTGGAGACATCGGATGAGTCGCAATCGCCAATCAATCCCGCGACGAGGGCCACAGACATACAATGCAAGATTCACCAGGCACCGGCTACTGCCCAGCCACGCCCAAAGGTCGGGCCATATGTGGAACAAGCTTGGCATACCTCGAGGAAGCCCACACTTTCAGCGGGGAAATCCATGTTTGCGACTTTAAAAGGCGTTTGCCAGAAAGAAAAGCACATGGCGCCCAGCGGCGTTCTGTCATCTGCTCTGGCTCTTTGCTGGGCTGCGGCAGGATCCAGGACGAGATCACGGAGACGGTGAACCTAGCGGTGACAGCCCCACCCCCTACCTGGATGCCGGCTGGACGGCTGGGAACAGCATGCTGCCGCTGAATGGCTTGATAACATGTGCCATACCAAGTAATGAACGTAAACATGCAAAAAAAACTCGGACATGAATGCATAATAACGCACACTTGTCCAACAGCCGTCTTTTTGCCATATTATCCATGGCTGACGTCCAAATCGCTCCGCAGGAAGAAGAAAGCTTCATAAGGGATCTTAGACAAGGTCCCTCAAAGGATACATCCAAAACCACCGGCTTCCAGATGCATCCTACAGACGTTTTCGGGACCCGGGAAGGAAAGTTCTCTCATCTCAGGTGGTACGACCAACACCGGGCTCAACTTGTCAACGGTTCCAGGGGCCTTGAAAAGCGCATTTGTTTTACACATATTATGTCAAGAAAACTGGGGTTCGGTTGGGCCCTCAAAAAGCCCCTTTTGAAATTGCACTTGGGACCCTCCGGTGGACAGCAGTCTTGGTTGCCGACCCTCTGCAAACAGCCTAACTTGTCGCGGGTTCAATGGAAAACCCTTGGCTTCCCGCAAAAATCAAGTCTAAAGCTTCAACCCAATAGCAATCGAGTTGTATCTCCTCAAGGTCCAAGGTCCAAGGAACCCATAGGCTCGTAGACATGGAAAGGGGATCACACACACACACACTCCAGTTTCATCTGCAAACAGCTTAACTTGTCGCGGGTTTAATGGACAACCCGTGATTTTACCCAAAAAGTTGAAGCCTAAAGATCCAACCCAATAGCAAGTAGTTACAAGTGACTTGCGTTTTTAACCAAACAAAACCGGACACATGGCGGCCCAAAGTTTTTTTTTGGCCGGGGTCCCCGGCAGGATGGCGAGCCCAGCCACCGGCACCAACAAGGCCACCTGGCAAGGGTCCTTCTGTGCATCTGCGATGCTCCCCCTATGGTTTGTGGTGTGAACAGAATGTCAAGTCTAAGGAACTGTTGGATGGTGGTTGTTTCTGTTGTATCTTGCATTTGCGTCGCAACTGGAGTGCTAAAAGAGTGTGACAAGCGGTGGAACCCACAGGTGCATCCCAAAAGGACGTAGATTCTCATGCAGCTTGCGGTCGATTCACATTTATTGTCCAATGAAACCATCCGGCTTGCGGAAGGTTCTCCCGCGTTTCCCACAACTGGGCCCCACCAGCGTTTGCAGAGTAATTATACGTAACAATTGTGCTGTGACATTTTGCCATAAAGATTGTGTGCAACCGAGGTCCCCGTGAAGGCAGAGGTCTGGAGGAAGCTCCAAGCTGAAACTTAAATAGTTCACCAGCCCCCTGTGACCCTGACGACCAAAATCCTGCTGAAGGTACGGCTGTATGTTCGTCTTACGTCACTGGCTGAGAATGGATGGGCCGAACCATCCTTTGAACACATTACGACAAACACGCAAAAAATGCATCCAGTATATCAACTGCCTCGGCCAAAATTTCGTGCCGCGAGTTCGTCGCGGGACCCGGGATGCGCTTGCGTCAGGGGCAAACACAAACCCAGGATTTGATGGATTAGCCATCCAAGCACAACCTTGAAGGTATTTATGGTTAAGGGTTTGAGAGTGCTAGATGGCCTTCAGTTGTCCATGGCATGGGGGGTCACTCCTGCGTTCTCATGTGTGGTTGCCCTTTGTCGGAGGCTAGAGGCCAACACAAAAACAAACAGCAAACAAAAGCATGAGCCATGGACTTTGCAAAAATAGACTAAGCGTCAACCTTTGCCGCATGTCTCCAAAGGAAGATGGTTGACGAGACCACCCCCTCCCAATTTCGGTGGGTGGATTTCCATAAAAATGAGTACCGTGTTTGTTCTCATCATAGATTTGAAAAGGGGAGACCCTCCAAAAAAAATGTATGGACGCCACTACTGAGGCCTGGGAAAGTAACACCTCTGCAGCTGGGAGAATGAACCCACGGAGTGATACCTTCATTGCTGGGACTCAAAAGGAGGAAATACTCTAAAGGCCTGGGCAACCCAAATGAGCTTGGCTTTTCTGCGACATGAAGCGAGTCCTCCTGGTCGTGGTTGGAAATTCGTGAGTGCCCCGATGTCCCTCCTAAAAATCGGCATAGACCGGAAATTTCCGACGAACAAAAACCAATCAACACGACGTGACAGGTCCCACCGTAGAGGCAGACCAGCTCTGGTCGATGCAGTAGGGCGCCCGCGGCAGGGTGCAGCACTTGCGGCCCTGCAGCATCACAGTGCCCCACCTGCAAAGGGACACGCCACTCACGCCCCAGCCCCCTTCCCCGAACTGGATGATCCTTGCCAAGTTAGTGGCTACCTACCTTGGCTTTTCCCCCTCGAACGACCAAAGACCTAGAAGTGGGTTATCACCTGAGATCAACTGGAGATCAAGCCAGGGGCAATGTGCCAACGGAATTGCACCGTCCACATTCACCTTGGGGCACAGGTAGACTTAAACTCAGGGGTGGTTCATTCCCCGAAGGCACCACTCCAAAAACGCAGCAAAGCCCCGCAGACAGGACACATCCAAAACCCATCTTTCTTTCTTTTTTTGCAAGGGGCTCCTGTGAAGTAGTTTGTGGCTGGCCTCACATGTCTCCTGTAAGAGAACCTGGGGTAAATGTTTTAACTGGAGAGCCTTTGATTGGGATATGTTTTGGCCACCACTGATTTGTGAGGCAGCTCCCGGCAAACTTCATAGCGTGTTTGGCGTGCAAGTGACCTTCTAACCTCATCAAAATATCACAAAAGGTGGTGGGAACCCACAGCTAGGTGTCTGGGTCAAATTCGCCTCGGCCGCCAAGGGCGTTCCCAATGCGAATCTTCGCTTTTCTCTGCTGGCCTAAGATCCTGCCGGCGGGCCTTGAAATTTTCCGGGATCGTTGGCGTCCAGCTCCATGGGCCCATTTTTGTCGCAAGTACGCTGAGAATGTTGCTGGCCAGCACAGAACCAGCAATCAAGGCCCAGCCCAGCCCAGGTCCCAAACAGGCCCGCCAACCAGGAGACTTGCCCAACCAGCAACCCACCCCAGCCCAACCAACAAGCCAAGCAAAAAGCAGGTCAGACAAACCAGTGGTCCTGTGCATTGCCTTGCCCTTGCCTCGGGGATTCCTGCGGGCCCATGACATCAAGTGGTCCAACGACGCCAGAACCTGTCCATGCCTGAATCGCCACTGACCAGCTCTGCTGCTTGCCGAACCACAGACGCCGCGCGCTCGGCTGGGCCGAGCGGGCAACGCGCAGCGTTTACAATTACTCTCAGGTCTCAATATCTTTATTTCTTTCTTTCTTTGATTATTTCTTCTTTTCTTTCTTTTTTCATTCCTTCTTTCCTTCTTTCTTTCTTTCTTTCTTTCTCTCTCTCTCTCTCTCTCGCTCTTTTTCTTCAAGAAAGAAGAAGTGGCACCGCTGCGTGCCTGGGTCAAATTACTCTGACGTCCTCTCTGAGGTCCCCGCGCGTTCACCGCCAGCAAGCTGGCGTTGCGCATCTTCTCCAGGGTCTCATTCTCCGGGGAGCTCCAGGCTTCCGCCTCTGCCCTTGCCAGGAGCCTCAACACGACACGCGCCAGCGCGACAAGCGAGCGAAGCCACCCACCCGGGTGCCCAAAAGAAGACCCTGGCAACGGCATTAGGGTTGTAGATGGTACGACTCTGGGGGTCATGCGTGTCAGGCTATAGCAATAGTGGGGAGAGTTAAGTCTAACCAAACCACTACCGGGTTATATCAACAGGCCCTCGAGAATGCCTTGTTTCCAGTCCGAGGCGAGAATCCAACCAAAAATGCATCAGGCTCAAGAGCCCTGTTACTGTTTCTGGCTCAGGGAGTGCCTGAAACAAAATACTGGGGGTGAAGAATGCACAGTAAGTTCAGAACACGGAGCCAGATGCAACCGGTTTGCTTTGATCCGAATAATGATTTCCTCACTCACTTGCATGATGGACAGTCTAAAATGGAAACCAGCATATGCTTTTGTGAGGAATGGCCTGATGCCTCCCAAGGTCCCACAGGCCTATTTTTGGCTGCCTTCGGGCAAATGGGGTGTTCCTAAAGTTGGGGACCTGGCTTGACGTTTTGTGAAGCAAGCCCATCTAAGAGGGGCCCCTGATTTTACAGTGGCCTCAGGCCTGAAATGAAGGCGCAATTTCCTGGAACAAGTGGATCAACCTCAAAGAAACCTGGCCCAAAGAAAAACCAATGACAGCCACTTGTCAGGAAACTCCCTTTAGGAGAGCCCCCCACTTTCCAGCTCGATGTTGATTTTCAGAAGGCAGAGTGGACTGATGGACGGAAATGTAGAGAGGCACGGCCCAACTACCTATTACAGTGCTCTACGTTGCATTAAAAGGCGCAAGCGGCCAACCCTGCCACAAGTGCGAGTTCCAAACGGGCGATCCCCGAATCCCCTGCCTCTTTGCGTCCTCGCAGTAGTCCATGGCTTTGGTGCCCTTCTCTTGCCACTGCCTTGCGAAAGGGATCGCGGATGGAGGCCGTCCGTGGCCCATCCCATGTCAACGGGATGTTTTTGTCCAACGAGTGCCGGAAGCAGGTCCCATCCTTGCTTGGCACTTCAACTTCAAGCTAAGCCAAGTCTCAGCGTGGATCCATTCAGGTCTGAAAAAGGGCCACACATGGCACATGTGCGATTTGGACTGGGCGCGGTCACACAAAGACTTAAGGAATGCACTCAAAGAAGGGGGCGCCACTGAACCGACTGGACACGGACATGGTGACCTTGGAGACCTCTGGTCAGCACGGTCCCTCGGATTAAGAGCTCCACACACAAGTGCAAAGGCAGCCCTTCATCCAGTCCAGTGCTCTGAGTGATCTGCTCGTATGACTTCACTTCTCATGCAGCCGCACAGGCCAAATGGCAGTGCCAAACATTGCCGCAGGCATCAAACAAAAAAAACAAACACGCGCGCTTCAGTAACACGCTTTTGGTAGGCCCACCGAACTCTTCGCCCGAGCCGCACATTCTCAAGGCTGTAATCATCGCCCAGCAGCATCACCAAACCTTGCTGCGAAATGCCAACTTGGCCCCTGAGGCCCTGAAATATCGCCCCTGGGCTCAAACGGGTTCTGCTTACTCGAATCTTTCTGGCCATAAGGAAGGCTGGCCGCACCAAAGGTGTTTCGTTGAGTTGGGGGTAAGGTATAGAGTTAGAACCCTATCCGCTTGAAATGACCTCTTGTGGCTGTCACTGCAGCAGGAACGAGAGAAAAAGTGCGGACTCTTTGAACATCGACTGATCACGCGTTTTATCTGGGGCGGTGGGATGGGGGCAAACTGGAGAAAAGGCTGTCACTGAACGGAAGTAGCCCTTTTCTCTGCTCACCCGGCCGACGATTTTTTGAGGCAACTTCTATCCTCACCAATGGCACGATGAACCCCGTCTGTTCTCAAGAAACATGATGCATGTGCCTTCTATTCGTCACTGCCAAACATGTTTTTGACTGCCTGGCCGCCAACCTGCTGGATCTTTGAACGGGGTTCCCTTCAAGGAAAAGCCATGCAAGAGGTGGAGATGGGCGGGAGTTAGGTGTGTCCAGGTTTCCAGTCCTCACAAGAGAACAAGAAAATGGATCCAGAGCCAAATCTACCAGGTTCCATTTCTAGTCCCCAAGAACGACCAAGGGCACGACACGGCCTTAGGAGCATAGGGCATCAATGAATCGAGGGCCTGGCCTCTATCAAGATCGGATTGATCCGATTCGAGAGCAGTGAAGTCATTCACAGTCGTGCTGACCTGGGCAGACAAGGTCATGCAAATACCTGGACCCCGTCCAACTTCTGCTGGAAGATCTGCTTTTCTACGAGTCACCCGCAGAAGATTTCGGAAAGCACGCTGCCAACTAGGCATGACTCAGGGTTCAAGTCGTGGGTCAGTCGGAGTTTTGGGAATGAACCCCCCCACAAAAAGAGAAAAAGAAAAAGAAGAAGCAAAACAGGAGAAAAAGAAAAAGAAGAAGCAAAACAGGAGAAAAAGAAAAATAAGAAGCAAAAAGGGAGGAAAACAAAAACAGAAGAAGACAAACAGCTCCAACCTGAAGGATCCCGCAATAAATGAATCGGCCCAAGTAGTTCCGAGTTCCAATGGCAAGATGCCTTGTCGCAGTTCAGGCTGATCAGCTTCTTCAGGCTCGCCTGGGAATAAGATGCCGGGAGAGTGCACCTCAGCTACGTAAACACGCGCCGGCTATCGCGCGCATTCAGCCTGGGTTGCCGCTGACCCCTGGGTCACCTGGGTCCAGAATGGAAAATCTCCAATGCAGTTTTTCCAAAACAGATTAGCCCCAAGTCCACAGATTCAACCGAATAGCCAAGAAACAAAGTCACAGGATGATGCAGCACGACATGTGGCATTTGAGTGTCAGCAGCAGGCGGAAGAGAAGCGACAATGTGTTTACAGCACCTGGCGCCCCTAGGGCATATACCTCGAACTAGACCTCGCGTTGAATGGCGCAAGTGTCAAGCCACCTCACGCGGGCCCAAGTGGTCAATCTTGTTGGTGAGCCCGCCCAATTTACGAAAAATGCAAACATCCCCTTTTCGTTGCTTTTTGCCACAAAAATGTTAGCCAAGCTGAGGCGCGCAAATTCCTCCGTCTGCGCCAGCGCAGTGGCAAGCAGTGTGAAAGTCCAGAGGGCCTCGAGTGGGAAGAAAATACCGGTATTCCAGGAAAAATCTGTGCAAAGGGCTATAAGGCAATAATGAGGTTCGATTTGAGGCATTCGTCAAAATCCATCCTTCACCTTTCGCCATTTAGCGAAACCCTCGCCTAATATGAACCCGAATTAATCGACCTGCTGGAGCCACATGTGGGGTGCTTTTCCCCCAAAGTGTGTGCGAACTCTGACATTAGTGGGACACCCCTATAGGGCAACCAGGCTCCCCTCTCATGAAAGCAGATCGGAGGGTTGCAAGACGACTTGCCTTTTCAGGGCAGCCCCCCATCCACTTCCATGATGGACATATAGTGGCCTCAAGGTGGCTGGCTGGATACCCCAAGAGTTGCGGAGGCGCCTTCCCTTCCACTGTTGAATAATGTTTGCTGTTAACGAAGTGCCTCTATGACATCACACGGGAGGAGTGTGCACATAGCCAAGGAGAGCCATACATCTGCGGCTGGCCAATCTCACCCGAACCCTGGGTTGCACTCAAAATGGAGTGGGGTTGCCCTATCAATCTATCTATATCCCATATCATGAAATCCTTGCCAGGCGTAAGCCGTGCTTCATTTCGACCAAGGCGCCATCGGAGCCGCGAAAAGGCCTGCGCACTTGTTGTCGCAGCGACCTTTTCACTTGGCTCGGTATTCCAAGCTGGAGCCCAAAACCCGCGAAATCGAGTGCCACTGGAGTGCAGCTGCGAAGCCAACCCCAAGAGATAACCAAAAAGGCAAAGTGCAAACCCCCCCCCCCGTCCCGGGGGGGGGGTTTCAGCTAGATGTCCTTTCAAAAACCACAGGACAGCTGAGACCTACGCCTTTGAACACCTTGGAGCAATTCAGTGGAGCCCTTAACGACATGTCAGCCTAGCCGCTGGGCCCCTCGGCAAACAGTCCCCAATATGCTTCAACCAAATCCCGGGTCCACTCAAAACCCTAATGATGGCGGCTCAAAGGCAAGCCAGCCCCAACTCAATGTACTTCTGAGAACACCTCAAATTGCAAGGAGCCCATCGGCATGTCATTCTTCCTTCCCGCAGCACGCAGCACCTTTCCACTCACTTTGCGTATCCTGCGCCGGGTGCCGCATCTTGAGCCTCAGGGTGCTGCATCTTGCTCTGTTGATGGCACGGGCGGAAAGGGGCGGGGGGAATCTCGAAAATCCCGCGAAAATCCCCTCCCACCCCCGCCCCCGAGAAAAAAAACGAAAAAAAAAGAGGTTTCCTTTAAACTAGGGTTTTCTTTCAAAGGGGTTTATGCGGGTTGCGATGACACTGAAGAAAAAATGGATTGCGCAGAGCATGTGATGGCCATCTATGCTATCGGCCTCCGCGAGGGTCCGACGGTTCTCGATGAAGGTCTCACCTCTGCGTCAGGGGCCGTGGGGGATTTGCGGGGCGTCGATTTCCTTTGGGGGGGACCCCCCCGCCCAAAAAAAACAGCCGGGTTTTTATGTTGGCTTCCCTTTAAAACCAACCAAAAAGGGTAGCCAAGAAAAAGGGGGACCCATTTCAGCCTGTTTTGCAGGCAACCCTAAAATCAATGCAGGCCCAAACCCTAAGCCGACACGCGAAGAAGACGGTCCGACTAAAGCTCCCTGATCACATTCGCAAAAGCCGCATGCAGCTGAGTGGTTGTGATGTGACAGGGCATACCACAGATCACGGGTCTTGGCTTTGTCCGAAATGAATCGGCCTTTTGACATTGCGGTGAAGCGCGGTTTCTGCAGTCACGGCCCTGAAAGGTTAACCTATTTCCCGGTCTTGCGCGCTGAGCTGAGAAGTTTGGGCAAGATCTATGGCTTTTGCTTAAGGACCTCTGGAAGATCTGATCATGGATGCGCCTTCTGGTGGATGCCATGTTGGCCAGGGCGTGCTTCGAAGCGCCGCTTGTTTGAAGCCAGGGAGCACATCCCAAACAAAGCAGGCTGTAACCAGGCACTTCAACCAGGGCTCAGCCGCTTCTGGTGAAATTGCTCACTCTCATTGTGAGAAAAATGAGGCAAACTAGAGACCAACCACACCGAGCGGCGTAGCTTTCGGACAGTCTTCACGGCGATCTCATTTATGACCTGAGGCACCGAGCCGCAGCCCCTGCCGCTCTCCCAATCCAATGCCCTCGAACATCTGCACAACTTGGGGCGACAAGCCACAGCTCAGGTCGCAACCACACCATGGAACCTCTGATGTATCCGCCGGCGCGGCTCAAGCTAAGCCCCCGGCTGCGTCAGGCTGGTTCATGAGTTTGGGCTGTTTCCGCAGCACCTAGGGCTACAGCCTTCCTTTGCAAAATGAAGCCCCAAAACGGGTCCACCACATGGAGGTCCTCTCATAGCCACTGGCGAGCTTCGGAAAACCATGCCAATCGGAAGGGAAGTAGCGAAGGCATTGCCAGGCTCTGCACGGAAGCTTTCCTGGAGGACCCTTTGGAGAAAACAAGGTACTTCTAGGCAGCTCAAATTGCGGGAATGCCTCAAGTGCCTAGAAGGAGGGGTTTCCCTGCTATCACTCAAAACGGGGCCGATACGAAAATGGTGGCATCCTGCTACGTGCGGAAATTCTAGAACTCACCATCTGAGTAGCAGACATGAGTAGCGATCGCGCCCGCGAGGCCCCCATCTTTCCGCTGGATCCTCAGGAAGCAGTTTGATTTTTCAGCGGGGGATGCTCCCCTTCATGGCTGACTAACTTGTACCAGCCACCCACTTTCCAATAGAACTAGTTCACCAAGCGAGGCCAGTACAATAGAAATATTCTTCATCCTTTTTCTATTTCATTAAAAAATGCAGAAAAAAGAAGAAGAAAACAACAACAAACACGGCACCTTCCTTGCCCCCGTGCCCCACCGGCCATCTGAGCGCCGCCGGGCGGCAGGTCCCACTGGTTGCTGGTACTGTAGAAGTTGCGCATGATGGTGACCTTCCACAAAGCCATGGCTTGTGCACTTGGACAAGCCCGACTTTCAAGTGTTCCAACTTCACGTGCGCAAACACCTAGTTGTGAAGTGGATTTTGGACTTTCTCCCTTTTGGTTCAACAGGTTTTCCGCTACACCTGGTAAAATTATTCCCTTCTTCTACCAGGGCCACTGGACAACTGGATGAAGCAGCGCGAGCCACAATAACGCGAATAAGCCCTTTGTGCTGAAGACAACCGTGTTGTGTGGAGGTCCATTGCTTGAGGTGTATAGAGTGCTCAAGATAGGAGGTCGCAAGGAAACTGCACGCCCACTGTCTCGCTGCTGGTGCAACTAAGTGCCCGGCTGAGCTGTCCAATGAGACTGCATAGTGCCACCACCCCTGAGCGAAACTCCAGGTCGGATTTTTCTGGGGTCAGGTTGGGGGGGGGGGCGCTTGTTTTGTCATGCATGGGGACAAAACAGAAGGAGACCTACGACCCTTCTCAAATGAACCTCAGCCAAAACAAATCTCCAAAAAGGGCTCAGACACTCTTAAAGTCTAACATGCAAGCTGAGAAACTCTCGAATTAGGGGCATCTGGGGCGCTTTTCTGCGGGGTTCCAGGTTGACCCCTCCAAGTTTGTAATATGCGTAGCTTTCTCGTGCTTTCTGGGATGTTTATTTGTGGGGGGAGAACTAAATGCAAAACAAAACATTGCCTCCTGCTCAAAGCGTCAAGCTTCAGGATGCTCCAGGCCGCAAGCCCCCCCCAACACTACTCGTTTGCCCATCCCTGGCAGAAAATTACTCAAGAACCCTGCTCCGTGCACGGGGCAGAGGCCCAACCGTTGCCCCACCCGCAGACCACTCTAAATGGCCACACATGCCACACAGCAGTGTATTAACCCCGTTTTGTGGCAGCACCAGGACCCTAAACGGGACCTGTGACCCTTTGGTTTGCTGATCTCGTCACGCCTTGGGCGCGACGATGGTTTCCCCAGGCTCCACCACTGCGACGTAGGGCGTGGCCTTTCTAACGTCCTGTCCCAACGGTCCCTTGCAGATGCCCGTGCTGATCCAGCATTTTCGAGGCTGGCAAGGAGAAAGCTCCCCTTGAAGCACACAGTTGGGCGGAACCTCAGAACCTGGTTTTAGCCTGACATACCTCAAAACTAAATCGATAATTTGGTTGTGCACTAGTATTGTTCATACTGGGCCGGGCCATGCAAGTAGTGACTTGCGCAGTCCTAAAACAATGTGCCGAGCGGCGTCCTTCCTATTCGCCCTTCTCAGAAAACGGGAGCCAGCAGACAAGTCACAGCCAATGCAATAAAACAGCCTGCATGCTACCAACATAGGACTTGTGGTGAGGAATCCACAACGACGGAGTCGCAGGAAGCTTAACGCTCTTCCCTTGGGACCCACAGCCCCAGGCATTGCTAGGGAGCAAAAAGGATCTCAATCGACCCCTTCGGTCCGGCCACTTCTGCAGCGCTTCGGGATCCAAGGGGTCCAGCCTCGGCAAGGGGACCCGTGCTCAAGTCGCGCGTCTTGAGTGACTGAGGCTTTTTGTTCGCCAAACACCTGGAATCCAACACGGCGACTTTGCCCCGTTCGGAGTCAACAGCCGGAGGGCTCGGGATGTCGCCCGCTGCGGTTTTTTGGGAATGTCTTGGGTGTGTAGCAGGCAACAACAAAAAACACAGCAATATCTTGCTGTGCTTGGGGACACCTGTTTTTTTGGCCGAAGCAGGAGGAGACCGCACAACCAAAGGTTGGCCTTGTGGAAAACAATGCCGCACATGTTGATGGGAATCGACTGCCTACAGAAGGGACCGTCTTTGCACGGCTACTTCGGTCACGCGGCACCTGGAAGCTGAAAGTGCTGACCAGGCGCCATGTTCCGTTCATAAGGCCCTCGTCCCCCTCAAATGGGTGGAGATGCTCGCCGTCCTGGGCCGGCAAGGAAGCACTGGCAACCTGGAATTCCACCGGGCTCCAAGCAAGCCCCGCCCAAACAGATCAGATCTGCGCAGCCTTTCGTTGAGCCTAAAAGGAAATGTCAAATGTCAAAACCGCCAAAAGGCACGTGTATAGGCAAGCCTGCTTCGGCCCTCCCCTTTTTTCTCATCTCAGGGCAGGTAATGGCCGCAGCAGCGCCGCATATGCCACCAGGCGCGCGGGCCAGGAGTCGATGGCGCCCCACACATCCTCCCCGAGCTTGTTGCAACTCAGCAGCGCCGCCTGGCCGAGTTTCCGGTCATGGATCTCCGAGGAACCTGCGGGGAGGGGGGGCTACGACTAGGACAGGCGGAACCCTACAGGCGTGATAAGCGGCTTCAGGATAGCTCCCCCCCATCGACCCCAGAGGACTACCATTTTGAGGTCAAAGCCAGTGCTGGGATGAAGCAACAGAACCCTGAGCCAACTAGTCGGAACACATCAGCATTCAAAATAGCCGGAGCAACTCATGACACTCCACTTGAAAAAGTCGCTTGGAGTAAATATATATATATATATATATTTCCATTTGTGATGGATTCCCTGTTAAAGCCACAAGCAAATAGGAGATAAATACTCCGATGCCTGGCACCGGAGACGACCCCAATGTGGGCGAGTGTGTGTGTGTGTGTGAATTTTAAGGGACCCCAAGAAAAAGAAGAAGGTGAGTTTCCTTTGGTTTCCCTTTAAAACCAAAAACAAACGTGCGTACCGCGCACCCTCGAAAAAAGAACAAAATGTCTGGCACAGGCGGAAAGGCATTCCCCGCCTGAGGGCTGGGGGTGTGGCCCAGCAATAGCCAGAGGCCCCAGGCATCTCCGGTGCGGGCGCACCAGTGCAAAGGAGTGTCCCCTGGGACGGTTTTTTCGGGCCAGATCAGCTGGAAAGGAAGAATTTCTGCTCACGTGTTTGGTGCCAAGTTACCAAGTTGTTGGCTTTAACCTAGGTGGTAACCCATTTGTAAGTGCCCCTAAGTGGAGATAACCCTTGTTATCAGCGGGTTGTAACCCAGGTGGCTAACCCATTGCTAACTTGGCCGAGCATCCAAATGTTCAAAATGCAGGCAGATCCAACATGCAGAGGGGGCACCGCTGGAAGGATAAAACCACTATCTGGCAGAAGGATGAAACCGATGTTGAACGACCCGGCATCAAAGGTTGACCCCTGACTCAACCAAACCCTCCTCAGCTCGCATTGAGAGGGGTTCCCCATCGGGTGAGGTTTCCTTTCTTCCGGAGAAACCTCATGATGAGTAAAATGGGGGTGGGTATTAGTCATATTGCAAGATTGCCTGATAGGCCAGGACCTGCCAGATTCGCTTCACACATTGCAAACTGCCGAAAGGAAAGCAAGGAATCTGAATCAATGCCCCAGGAATCAAACAGAACGCCGTGTGGATCGGCCGTACCCGAAGAGGCACTGCGAGCCCGAAACACGCCGCCGGAGGCAAGCAAGCGGCCGTTCAGGTCTTTGGCCATCGGGTCGGCGCCAAAGGAGACCAAGATCCTCACTTCGTGCGTGTCTCCTTTTCAGGGTCTCATTGTTCTCAGGGAAACCAAAGGAAGCCATGCTTTTCAAGGGTCCCTTTTTTTGACACGCCAATGTATTGAGCTTGTCGTGGTTATCTTTGTGCATCTCTTTTGCACGGTGCCATTGATGGAGTGGTTTTGCCGGAAACCAAACAGAACCCATTGATACAAATTGCATAGGTTGCCTTCCCCTTTCCCGACCCCGAAAAAAGAAAGCTGGAAGGAAAACGAAACTGCAACGTCCTACAAGCAAGCAGCAAACGGAAAGTGAATTGGACAATCCTGGCAAATCCGACTTAATCCCTGAAAGTCGTGCTTGGGGCCCGCAACCAACAACATTGGCTCATTCCCCTCTCAGCCCTAAGGTGCTTTGGCGGAACCCAACTCTTCGCAAGGCGTCCAACGACCAACGGCCGAGCTGCAGCAAACCAATAGGCATCCATGCCAAAAAACACCGCTTAAGTAAAACAGGTAGAAACCAAGAGAGCACTCCAGCAAACCAAGTCAACCAACCACACAAATGGGACAACAAAACGGTTGAACAAAAAAATCGCCCGACAAGAGTTAACAAGCATGTGAAAGAGGAAGTGCCTGTGTTTTTGTTCATATATCCTCGGCTCCCTCTTTGCCACCCACAATGCCTTCACACCCGTCTTGGGGAGAGGGGTACGCACACTCCCAGAGACACCATCCGAAAACAAGGCTTGGCCGTCCCAGGGGCTTCATGATCTCCCGCTGCTGCAGCTGTTGCCTTTCGGACGACCCAGCGCCTTGCGGGCTGTTGATGGCCCTCGTCAGCAGCCGCGCCGCAATATGCAAGGCCGTCTCATACCTCGCGGGCGGACTGCGGGCGGTCTCCACCTCTATGCCTAGCTTGTCACTGTAAAGAGGTTGCATTTCCCGCAGAAAGCGAGAGGACTCATTTCCCACAACCATTCGGGTAGGCAACAACAAACCACAATCGCCAGTCAAGGGATCATGCAAAAAGGCCCCCCACCTGTCAGCTGAGCATTCCTAAGTTTCACACCTGTGGTGAATCTCTTGTCAAGCACCTTGCGTGATGGCTTCGCATCGCGTGGTTGCATTCCAAAATGTGTGTAGCTTAATTATTCCTAGTCAGTCTCCGGCTCGCGTTTCTAATATTGGCCTAACATGTGCTTTTGAGCACGCCTAGGGTGTTGCAATAATTTCCCCATGTGCGGATCACACATGCTTGGTATGTAAAACAGCTTGCAGGATGCAACTTTTAAGTATGGGATTTGAGCAGTTCGAGTTGGGGCGTGCAACCTGTGGGTCTCAAAGAAATTGGGGGCTTCCGGGACCTCTAATACGGCTGGAGTTGGGGAGGGCAGGGGAGATCCCCGTTTAGTCGTCGAGATTGAATTTAGTATTCCCTGCATATGTTGGGAAGTCTAAAACCAATGTTTTATGCTGAGGGGCAACTCAGATGCCCAGTGGCCATGGGCAAAAATGAAAAAAGGGCATCCTTTCTTGGTTGGTTCACTTTAGAGGGGAACCAAAAACCTCAAAAGAAGGGACAAAACCACTGGGCAACAGGGTGCCTTGGCACATCATCTCGACTTCCGTACTCAAATTCCGCGCCTGGACGGGGCGGCGCCGTAGTCGGGGGGGAGGGTGACCTCCCCGGTGAGGAGGTTGGGGTCCAGCCCGTGCTCCAGAAGGCGCCTAACCAAAGCTGCAATGGGCTGCTGCACCATCGGCTGAAATCTACTGACAGGTATGAAGTCCACTTGGAAAACTCAGAAGCTATGGGAACCCCAGTTGATGATTGGAAGTGATGCTCAGGGAACAACCTCCCAATGGACTGCACTCTGTTCAGTTCGTGCGTTTGCAAACCGGGGTGGCTGAGCACTCGGCAAGGCCTGAGCTTCAGTGGCAACGCTAAGCCAATATTTCTTTTCGGGCGGTTGCGTTTTGTGGCGATGGCCCATTTGAAAGGAGAACCCGACTTTTCTGGGGGCCAGTCGAGTCTGGCTGGTTTCCTTTTGGTTTCATTTTGGTGATGGCAAAGCCGCCCGTGTCGGGGCTTGGCTGCCGAAACTTCCGGCAAGCAACATGCATGGAATCACACCAGGAGGGGTGAAAGTTGTTCTTTGATTGAAAGGTCGCGTCAGTGTGTTCAAGCGTCCTGTTCCCGCATCAAGTGGCGAAACTGAACATGCTTGGTTTCTCTTTGAAGGCTTGCCCTAAGCATACGGGCAACGTGCAACCCGAAGTGCTGTATGGAAGCCCTATATGTCCCACTCGTTGAAGGCCAGGGCTCCCACTCCCCCAACCCCCCCCCCCCCCCCGCGCATCTCCCAAATTACTCTCACGGACAAGCCCTCCCAAATCAGGGAAAAACGGACATGCCAAACTGCCATGAATTTTAACAGGGAACCCCCTCCCAATTTGACATGGATCCCCACCTATGTCCACCAAAGGGTCCCCAAGTAAAACTCAGGCCTAACTGGAGACCTGGAGAATTCCAACACCTAAGAAGTCCCCAATGAAATTCAGACCCAACTAGAGACCACCGGCCTCCCCTCCCCTCCCATTTCTCCTTTCGGCCTGAGGCAGTCCGGCTGTCCAAAGCCCACCGCCTTGTGCAGCGGCGTCAAGCCCGCCACGTCGTAGGTGGCCACCCGGACCGGGACCTCCAGAAGCCTCCGATTGAAGCGGCGAGGGAACTGGGCTCCAGTCCCAGCTGAAGCTTTCCCGCTTTGTAGCTGGGGTCAACTTTTTCGACTTTTTCTACGGCTAAACTGGGGGTTTTCCCTGCAACCCACCACTTAAGGGGTGACTTTGATAGTAAAATAATGGGGCTAGCTGTGGATGGCCCCGTTCTGAAGTTGAGCCAAACACGATCCCAAAAAAGTGGGGCTTGAGGCAAGGCTTGGGCCAAGCAAATGAAACATATTGAAACCGCGAAACAACTTGCTGGTGAACCACTTCCAAGGGCTCCACCGGTCATCATACCCCCCATCTATACAATGCACCATGAAACTGAGAAAGCCCTGCAAGTTAAACATGGGTCACCACAAAGTTGATCCCAAAAAGCAAAGCAAAAAGAGGACCCTGCCCGGGTGCTTTCAAACCAAGGCCAAGGCCCCCAGTGTTGGCCAACAAAGTGGGGTTCCAGACCAGGAACCAAACGTACATGCCATGCATGAAGCACCTTCTGTGGCTGGTGTTGGTGCATCACTGAAACCAAGTTCCTGCCACGAAAACAACCACATCTCACATACCAGGGGTGGATTCTTATTGTACATTCAGTATTCTCTAAATGTCCCCCTTTCAGCATCACCCAACGACAACTCATGGTACGCCTTGCTCGAAAAAGTGGTGTTGAAACCGCCAAGGGAAATATAAGGACCTCTGATGCTCCCTGCCAGAAAGGTCCCGCAGTTCCGTTGACCATCCCACTAAATAGAACCATTCATGAAATCAACCTAACGACATGTGGGTATATGTCTGGAAAACAAATGGGGGGCAGTTGAGTTTCAAATTTAAATAACAATGAATGCTAATGTTGTTCACCCGGTGAATTCATAAGAATGCCGGTTGAAACATACCAGGGAGTTGGCAAAATGCTGTACCATAAATTTACGTGCCTAATCCAGGTATCCGAAGGGTTTCATCCATACTACCCGGACAGGATTTTGTCATCCCTCTTCATCCCGGAATCCCGAAGAATGAAAACACCGAAATAAACCTGACAAAACGTGGAGCCGCCGCGAGACTTCTGCAGCACGTGGGCGTGCCCCGCGGCGCAACAAAGGGCTACGCAGGAGGCACCCGTGCGGTCGCGCAGGTTGGGGTCGGCGCCGGCCTCGGGTTGTGTGGGACGGCGGTGAATTTGACTGGGGATCGCAACGGTGAACCTGATTTTGGTGGGGATGCGGGTGCAACACTTTTGTTGAGGGCTTCCCTTGAAACCACCTAAGGGATGTTTGAGGATGTCACTTGAACCGACTCAAAGTTCACACACACAAAGGTGATATGGGTGTTGTGTTTGCTGAGGATACCCTTTTTCACCTTCTTGACAGGGAAGCCAAAAGGAGAAACAATTTTTCCTTTCGGGGGCGTATGCCCAAATCCCCAGTTCGGGCTTCGTGGACAGCTACTTGGAATCCACCCTTTGAACGATGGTGGGTGGTCGCACCTCATTTTCCCCTGGTCAGAATTGGGCCCACCTGTTTGAACACCTTTGAACCACGATGCAATTAAACCAGCTCCGGTTTGGCTTCCCTTGAAAGGGGGAACACATTGTCCCAACCCGGGATTTGTTTTACTTCGGGGTAGCTGAATCAGGGTCGTGAAGCCCTCATAGGCCGGCGACCGCAAATTACGTGGAAGGGGTTCTAACTTGGGCAATTTTCTCAAAAAAGGGGATCCTCTGGCGGACTGCGCCTCCAAAGCATGCTCTTTGGAAGTGGTCCGCCTTTAGGGCAGTGGCCAAGCCTTCTTGGATGGGCAGCTTTCCGCGGTTTGTATGAAACTCGATGAAACATGTTTAAACGCGGGGTTGGCAATGGTTGGCCCATTGCGACATTTCACTCGTCCCTGGTTGGCCATGGTTGGCCCTGAGGATAGGAAAGCACAAGCTCACACTTGGAAGCAATAACCGCCCATGATGAAGATCCCTTGGGTTAGGGTGCTGAAATGCAGCAATGGATATGTTGCTTCATCTGGATTTTGACACATTCCCGTTTCAGTTTAACGTGGCAACCAACAAATTTGGGCAATCAATAAGGAATCATCCGCAACCCCTTGCCCAAAAGAATGCATGTTCATGATTGTTACCCGGGGGGTAAGAACCCCGCTCGAAACATGCTGATGGACACAATCAACGGCAGGCACCACTTGAATTCCTCCTTCATCTTCCAAGGCAAGGGTCTCTAAACACAGACACACACCAACGGCCCCAAACCCCACATCTATCTCCTCCATCCTCCCGGCCAACCACCTTCAGCAGCGCTTGCACCAGCGGCAGCGCCCCACTTCCGCAGGCGATGTGCAGCGCTGTTTGGCCCAGCGAGGTCAGCGGCGCGTCCACGGCAGACCCCTCGCCGCCGTCGGCCGCCAAACCGCGGAGCACCGCGGGAACATCGCCGGTTTGGATTTGGTACACCAAGTCCGCGCGCTGGCGCGCCTCGGTCACTCCCTTCCCTAGAAAACTTGCTGGGATTTGTGGGAGCTGATGGATGGCTTCCAGACTTAGGGGGGATAAACTACGTGGATGTTGCCAGACTTTGAATATCTCTGGTTCGTAGGGTGAGACCTGGCAAACTGATTCAAAGGACTCCAACATGGATGATTTATGACATATGTATGATACCATCAACCATAATACACCCCCCGTCCCAGGGCGAAAGGCATGCGTGCACATGGGCCGAGCTGCTTCCGCATCCTCGCACCGAAGGCTTGCCCTGTGCACAAATCTCCTGGCCAAGCGTGGAATGCAGAAGGGATTAGTAGCCTGAGGGTAGTGAAAGCACATCAAATCAAACAATCACTTGGGAAAGGCCCCCCAAGGCCCCCCGCAAATTCCTAGGCTCTGGGCCCCCTCGGAAGCAAACAGGGACCAATCACAACATTTGGCCAACTGCCCTCATTGGGCTGCATATTCTTTTGAGGGTACCCCCTTTTGGCGGGTGTTAACGGAGAACTCAATAAAAACCCACTGCTCACTGTTTCGGAGGCACCCCCCGTTTTGAGTCAGTGATGCAATGGTTCCTGGGTCGTTCTCCCTCCTGCGCTGGGCAGCCGCGATGCCGGCCACCAGGGCGGCCTGCAGTCCCAGAGATCTGCTCTCCCCTTGAAACATCACACCGGTCCACAAACGCCGTGGCCGGCTTCAGCCTTCACCTACAGCGCTGAACATCAAACCTAACAGCAAAAAGTGGCCGGTCATGCCGTCGTCTGAAACCTCGTCGATTGGCAGGGGCCCCCCAGAAAAAGGAGCGGAAATCGTAGTCCCCGCCTTCGCCCCTTGAGGCTTTTTGCTCCTAGAGACCCTTAGCCACTGGTCTGAATGGGGGAAGCGGCGTCACCGAAATTGAGTGTTGCCCTCACGAGCTGGTTGCGCAGGGTCGAGCGTTGCAAGCTTTGCAAAATATTTGTCTGTGTGTTTCAATCTGGTCTCCAAATAGTTGTGTGTTTCATTTGGCTTCGCGATAGCTAATCACTGAAAGGGGTTGAAAGAAACTGTTTGCAACTGTGTCACGTCTTGCCACTTGCAAGCCCTTGAGTGCGTCAACCGCAGCAACCCAGCACGCGTGGCCTGTTGGATTCCAGGTCCGCCTTACCTCATACCGACAAAAACAGCTCGTGAGAATGGGACACGATCGAAGGGTCTGATGTGTGCATTAAACACGCTGCGAAACCAGCTTCTAGGATATATGCCAAGGAGCAGGTTTCTCTAGACGCCTCTATTCCCACCCAGGGTGCGCCAACACCACAAGTTCCGGATGCTCCTGATGAATCAACCCGGCGGACAAGGGGCATGTTCCCCCGAAAAGTGAAGGACATGGAACACTCCTGTACAAATGAATCACGGTTTCATCAAGTTTTCCTGGGCTCCCCTTGGCCACAGGGCCAGGTTTGCTACAGCGAAGGACCCTTCTCGAAACTGGGCTGCCCTCGGATCAAAAAAAGTTTCACTTTTAGTGGGTCAAATGGAAACTCCCACTAAACACTAAAAGGCTAAGAAGCCAAGAAGCTAAGGGGATGGCTGGGAGCCACAAAGGAAAGGGACACCAATTCGTAGTTTGCATAGCACAGATTAGCAACTCCTCCGCGATGCCTGGGTGAGGTGGCAGAACCGGCTCCGCATGGCTCGCATGCGATCACGGAATTCTGACGCTCTAAGTCGGGTACAACCCCCACACGTCAAGGGACAAAGGGTTAATAAAAACCCCGGAATAATAACCCCCCGGTTAACCCGTTGATGAACTGGGGGGTTGTCCCCTGTTAGTGGGGATTCATCACTGTTGGAGGGGGACGCCCCCCTATAATATATCCGGTGTCAGCATTTTACAGCTTTCCAGCTTTGCCCCTCATCTTCCCACGCGAGTGGTCGTCTCAGGGCACTGAAAGGCCTGATAGAGACGCCCGCGGACTTGTTGGCAAGCGCTATGTTCACCACACTGCATCTGTAATGCAAGGTCTGTTCTTGCGAATGAGCATTGCATACAACAAACGTGGACAAATATCAATCCAAAGGGCTGAGTCGGACTAAGACTTGATGAAATGCATTTCTGCTTGCCCCAACCTCCAGACGCCAAAAAAAAACTATGCCTACGCATGTCTTAGGACATGTGGGAGTGTGAAAGTTGTGTTTTTTCAGCCCTCAAATGTCACAAGCCATGCATCATGCAGGGATTAGCCACGTCCCATCCGCTTTCGCCAGTGCCAAACAGCTGCGGTGCGCGTCTCATCCCCGCCTCTCGAGACAAGATCCTCCCCAGCGGTGGGTATGTTAGCAAACCTGTGTTGGCAGCTCAAATTAAACAGAACATCTGACAAACCTTGCCTTCTGCAACTACAATGCAGGGAATTCTCCGGACCTGAGGTATGGTGGTTGAAGCCGTGGAGCCTCTATACCACGTATTTTTTGTGTTTTTTTTGCCGCATTGCAAGCTTGTGGCGGTAGATCTGCGCATCGCGCGCTCCACAGGCTGGCTTTGGGAGCCCGGCGGAAGGCGCGAAGCAAACGAACATCTTCCGGCCTGGCGCGGAAGATGGCACAGAATCCTAGTCTAGATATGTATATGTATATATACATGTGTGCATGGAGATACATAGAGACGTGCACACACACACACACATATATATATATATATATGCTCACCCCCCCCCCCCCCAGGGCCTACCTTTTCACTTGCACAGTCTAGAAAAACTGATAATTTCAACAGTAGGGGGTGAGCATATATATATATATAAATATGTACATTTTTCTTTGATGTTAGACACAGTTTCCTTTATCAAAGGAAGTTTAACAAGAAACTTCCGTAGTACTGGAACTAAATGAGCTAGCTGCTTTGACATATAGCTATGACAGGTAGCTAGCATGACAAATAGATAGCTTTGACATATAGCTAGCTTGACAGATAGATAGCTTTCCAATAGGCTTGCATGACAGATAGATAGCTTTGACATATAGCTAGCTTGACAGATAGATAGCTTTCCAATAGGCTTGCATGACAGATAGCTTTGAGCTAGACTTTCCAATAGGCTTGCATGACAGATAGATAGCTTTGACATATAGCTAGCTTGACAGATAGATAGCTTTCCAATAGGCTTGCATGACAAATAGACAGCTTTGACATATAGCTAGCTTGACAGATAGATAGCTTTCCAATAGGCTTGCATGACAAATAGATAGCTTTGACATATAGCTAGCTTGACAGATAGATAGCTTTCCAATAGGCTTGCATGACAGATAGATAGCTTTGACATATAGCCAGCTTAACACGTAGATAGCTTTCTCAAGTATAGATTTCGTGGCAGGCGCAGCACTTTCGCAAGCACTCTCTGCGAGCTGGGGGATGGCAAGATGCAGAAAACGTTGGCGCTGTGCGTGAATTGGGCTTCCGGACTGTGCGCAAACCACCTCGGCTGCGACGCCTGTACGGAGGCGGTCTCGGAACGGTCTCGGAACGGTCTCGGAACGGGTTCGGAACGGGTTCGGAGACGGGCCCATTGGCACGGCCGCGCGAAGGTTTCGCAAGGTTTGAGTTGCGTGGCAGGCGCAGCACTTTCGCAAGGTCAAGTATAGATTTCGTGGCAGGCGCAGCACTTTCGCAAGGTCAAGTATAGATTTCGTGGCAGGCGCAGCACTTTCGCAAGCACTCTCTGCGAGCCGGGGGATGGCAAGATGCAGAAAACGTTGGCGCTGTGCGTGAATTGGGCTTCCGGACTGTGCGCAAACCACCTCGGCTGCGACGCCTGTACGGAGGCGGTCTCGGAACGGTCTCGGAACGGTTCGGAACGGGTTCGGAACGGGTTCGGAGACGGGCCCATTGGCACGGCCGCGCGAAGGTTTCGCAAGGTTTGAATTGCGTGGCAGGCGCAGCACTTTCGCAAGGTCAAGTATAGATTTCGTGGCAGGCGCAGCACTTTCGCAAGGTCAAGTATAGATTTCGTGGCAGGCGCAGCACTTTCGCAAGGTGAAGTGTAGATTTCGTGGCAGGCGCAGCACTTTCCCAAGGTCAAGTGTAGATTTCGTGGCAGGCGCAGCACTTTCGCAAGGTCAAGTATAGATTTCGTGGCAGGCGCAGCACTTTCGCAAGGTCAAGTATAGATTTCGTGGCAGGCGCAGCACTTTCGCAAGGTCAAGTATAGATTTCGTGGCAGGCGCAGCACTTTCGCAAGGTCAAGTACAAAATTCGTGGCAGGCGCATCACTTTCGCAAGGTCAAGTGCAGAATTTGTGGCAGGTGCAGCACTTTCGCAAGGTCAAGTGCAAAATTCGTGGCACGCGCAGCACTTTCGCAAGGTCAAGTACAGATTTTGTGGCAGGCGCAGCACTTTAGCAAGGTCAAGCACAGATTTGGTGGCAGGCGCAGCATTTTTGCAAGGTCAACTTTCGCAGCCGGGGCTCGAAAATCGCAACTTTTAAGTACGAAAGTAGTACGCGAAGTCAACTTTCGCAGCTGGGGCTTGAAAATCGCAACTTTTAAGTACGAAAGTAGTGCGCAAAGTCCACTTTCGCAGCCGGGGCTTGAAAATCGCAACTTTTAAGTACGAAAGTAGTACGCAAAGTCCACTTTCGCAGCTGGGGCTCGAAAATCGCGACTTTTTAGTACGAAAGTAGTACGCGAATCGAAAATCCACTTTCCAGTAGCTGGGGCTCGAAAATCGCAACTTTTAAGTACGAAAGTAGTACGCGAAGTCAACTTTCGCAGCTGGGGCTTGAAAATCGCAACTTTTAAGTACGAAAGTAGTGCGCAAAGTCCACTTTCGCAGCCGGGGCTTGAAAATCGCAACTTTTAAGTACGAAAGTAGTACGCAAAGTCCACTTTCGCAGCTGGGGCTCGAAAATCGCGACTTTTTAGTACGAAAGTAGTACGCGAAGTCCACTTTCGTAGCTGGGGCTCGAAAATCGCAACTTTTAACTACGAAAGTAGTACGTGAAGTCCAGTTTCGCAGCTGGGGCTCGAAAATCGCAACTTTTAAGTACGAAAGTAGTACGCGAAGTCAACTTTCGGGGATTGAACATCGCAACTTTTAAGTGCAGAGAAAGATGGGTAGATAGATAGATCAATAAACAGATATAGAGATAGCTAGAGAAATAGATAGAAAGAGATAGAGAAACAGAGATAGACAGAGATAGATAGATTTGTAGATAGATAGACAAATAACTAGCTAGATAGATAAAGAGATAGAGAGATAAATAAATAGAGAGGTAGATAGATAGATAGGAGATAGAGAGGTAGATAGATAGGTAGATCTATAGATAAATCGCAACTTTTAAGTACGAAAGTAGTACGCGAAGTCAACTTTCGCAGCTGGGGCTTGAAAATCGCAACTTTTAAGTACGAAAGTAGTGCGCAAAGTCCACTTTCGCAGCCGGGGCTTGAAAATCGCAACTTTTAAGTACGAAAGTAGTACGCAAAGTCCACTTTCGTAGCTGGGGCTCGAAAATCGCAACTTTTAACTACGAAAGTAGTACGTGAAGTCCAGTTTCGCAGCTGGGGCTCGAAAATCGCAACTTTTAAGTACGAAAGTAGTACGCGAAGTCAACTTTCGGGGATTGAACATCGCAACTTTTAAGTGCAGAGAAAGATGGGTAGATAGATAGATCAATAAACAGATATAGAGATAGCTAGAGAGATAGATAGAAAGAGAGAGAAAGAGACAGAGAAACAGAAAGAGAAAGAGAAAGAGAGAAAGAGAGAAAGAGAGAAAAAGAGAGAGAGAGAGAGAGAAGCAAGGGGCCAAGGACAGTTCTCCAAACTATAGTTGTTCACTGCTTTGAAACTTCCGCCCCCCGGCTCTGCCGGACCTTACTTGTATATTACTCTGCTGCTAGAAGCTCAAACCAGGTCATTCAAAGTATCTCTTTTTTTCTTGTAGCAATGATGTCAGAAGCCAGTGAAATCTCTCTGGAAACGGCCCTGAATGCCACCAACGCGCTCTTCCTCAAGAACTTGTCCAAGCCCAATGTCGTGGACTTGCCTCGTGGTCCTGTCTCGCCTACTGACCTTCCTCTTGATCATCCCAAGGACAAGAGCAAGGCAAAGCACTTCTTCGACTTTGTTGGCCCTACAGCCTTCGATGCTACTTTGCAATCTCAAGTCAGCAGCGCGGCTAAGGATGGCCGCTTTGCGGACCTGCCAGCGCCCTTTCGCTTGAAGACTTCTCCTGGTATGTCATATGGTCTTCAACTTGTTGTTCTTCCTCTTCCTAATGCGCAGCACTTCCTCCTGAAGCACATCATCTTCCCGGATCAAGTTAAGGCTGAGTTCGTCTCCACCCTTTGTCATGGAGAAGTTCATACCGTTTCCTGGCAAGCCAATGCCAAGAATACCAAGAAGGCCATCCAGTACATGCTGGAGAAGATGGGTGGCTTCCAGGTCCAGTCCTTTGCTCTTCAGGCAAGTGGCAACGGTGGCATGCAGTCCGACAACAAAAACAACAACTTCTTCCAGGGCCTCACAGAAGAGAACATCGACCAAGGCTTCGACTTCATCGAGGCACATGGGCCTAGAACCCACCACAGCAACACGCAGCTGAGATGGATCTCGAAGCAGTTCATCTCAGACGAGAGTCCCATTCAGACTTGGCCGGAGCGGCTCATCAAAGAAGCTCTGCGGAACCTCATGAACGACGGCGTCTTGGCGCTCCCTGTCTATGACTTCCCCCTCACGCTCGTGGATGTGGAGCCCTCGGTTTGGACTGTGTTGGAGGAAATCTTTCCTTGCTTCACGGACAAAGCCTGCGGCATGCATGGAGTCCCCAACGTAGGCAAGACGCCTCTTGGGCGCACCATTGCGATGGCCATGTCACGCTACTGGGTTCAAAAACTGAACTCAAAGAACGAGCCCGGCTTCCGCGAGGCCTGCGAGTTCGACTTCTTCAGAGGTGAAGCTGGTCGCCAAGATCGTCCGGATATCTTTGACGATGGCTCACTGGCTGAACAGCCCATGAGGAAGTTGAAGGGCTTCTGCGACGTGGGCAACACGGTCCTCACAAAAGAAAGGTGGGGCGCCGCAAAGTTCCCGCAGGGCCAGCTGCGTCTTTATATGTCCAACGACATCGATCTCGCCGCAGAGCCCTCCTTCGAGAACGCAGGGTATTCCATTTCTCACCAGCAGTTCATGCAGATGGTTGAGCCGGCGTGGATGAAGGGTTCGTCAATCTCTGACGTCATGGCGGTCATGAAGCGCACGTGTGTCTTGCTCATCACGAACGACTTCCTCTACTGGCGTCTTCCTAGTGAGAAAGAGGTGAGGGTCGAACGCAAGCGCCTCGATGAAAGTAAGTCTTTGTTGTGCAGCTCAGGAGGCTTGAAGTACATGCAGTACCGCAAGGGTGATCGCAGCGCGCCGGCCGACTTGGACCTTCATCTTCGCTGGGAACGAGCCTGGATGACGTCGATCATGGAGAACAAGGGTCGTGACCTGCCGCCAAGGCCAGTGGAAATCGATTACTCGGCATCGCGGAGGCTGTTTGGATCCAGCGGACCAAATACCATCCTCCAGGTGCGAGTTCCTGATCAGCAGCCACAGCCCCTTGCTGCAGAGCCTGCTCCATCCTCTACTTCAGCACTTTCCGCTCCTCCAGCGCCTGCACTCATCAAAAAGGAGCCGAACGTCTTCGCCCGTAAGTTGTCGGCCATGCACCTCACCGTCATCGACTTGGAGAGTCCGCCCAAGAAGAAACTCAAGGCTTCGGCTTCGGCTTTCCCCGCTGAGACCGAGATCGAGGAGATGGACGTGGCGTCTGAGGAAGATGTCTTTGACCACGGTGGTGACCTTCAGCGTAACAGTGGTGATGAGGCTGAGTAGACGCGGTGCCAGATAGGAAAGCAGTTTTGCAAGCGCGCAAGTTCGAAAAGGCCGATGCATTTGTCACTTGTCTGCTTTTGCCTCCAGGTATTGCATCACTGCGCACGCTCATTCTGACAGCATCTTGGCCCTGAGTCAGTGTAGCCACTCTTTGTTTTTGTAGCGTCATGCCTAAAAAAGTCATGAAGCGTGCGGTCAAGCGTCAAGCGCCTTGGCCTGAGCCAAAGAGAGGCAAAGCGCGCGCCAACAAGCGCCCAGCAAGTACGAAGGCTCACGCGGTCAAGACTCCGTACGTACGCCACGGCACCCTGACCATGAAGTCCAGGCCTCACAGGGAAAGGTGGGGAAGATCGGTCATGAACTTCTTGTCCTTGAAGGGCATCAGGCTGATCCACCTCTTGAAGAAAGACCGCATCCTTCCTGAGTGGAAGGGGAAGCTCTGCCCCAAATGCGGGAAAGGTGTCTTGGGGAAGCTCGAGTACAGAAAGGACCGAAGCCAGTGGGTGCACCGCTGTGGGGCAAAGAAGTGCCAGGCTCGCATTCGCATCGAAGACTTCCACCCCATCTTCTACGCTGGCGCCGGGAACTCAACTACTTCTTTGTCCACACAAGCCGCCATCTTGTTCTGTGCAGTCGCTGGTGTACCTCGGAACGCTACCCACCTGGTCTTGGATGTCGACCACAAGGCAGTGGAGAGGATCTACGCCAACAACGATATCGCCAGGGCCCGCTACGTCCAGAAGAAAGAGAAGTCCATCACCTATGGTGGCACCCAGAAATGGAAGGATGTGGAGGCTGACGAGGTGGACTTGGGTAAGGGTGAAGATCCTGATGCAGTTCGGGCTGATCGGGTGGTGAAATGGGAGCAGTGGGGAGGGCTTGTGGAGAGGGGACGCCCGAGCTCTTTGCGGCTGTTTAAGCTCAAGCCGCGCCTCACGAAGAAGCGAGCGCCTGGACCAGGGCCGATCAGGAAGCGGGAGTGGCTGCCGATCGGGCGGAAATTCCTGTCGAACAAGCATGTGGTGCTCCACACGGATGGTGCCAAGGCGTACAAGGTGAAGCTGCCGAATGTGGCCCATTGCAATGTCGTGCACCAGAAGAAAAAAGTCATCGTGCAAGGCAAGGTCAAGTGGGTCAAACCCCACTATACGAAGATCTATGACGTGAAGACCCCGGACGGTGACAAGATCCGCGTCAAATCGGGCACGCAAATCGTGGATCGGTTTTGGGGCTTCTTGCGCAACCACTTGAAGAATGTCAACCGCACCCCCGGGAGCGCCGTCCTGAGCCGGCGAATTCGATCGGCCCAATGGGCTTACTGGCACAAGGGTGTCAACCTGTGGGAGGCCACAGGCAATATGCTGCAGACTTTGCAGCAGTAGGCCCGAGACGCTTATAGAAACTTCTGGAAAGTTTTGCAGCACGATGCTTCTGTGAAAAAGCTCAGCAATCCAATCTGTCTTCCATTCTTCAGAAACAAGTAAAGGATTTGTTTTTTTTTTGTGATTTTTTGGAGCCTGTGCAGGTTTTAAGCGCCCAAGGCTCCAAAACCTGCACAGGCTCAAAAAATGCAAAAAATCCAAACCTGGAAGCCCCAAAACCTGCACAGGCTCAAAAAAATGCAAAAAATGCAAAAAGCCAGACCAATCAAGCCCTGACCTCTGACATTGCATCTGGGTTTTGCATTTGTTGCATTTCTTGAGCCTGTGCAGGTTTTGGAGCTTTCAGGTTTGGATTTTTTGCATTTTTTTGAGCCTGTGCAGGTTTTAAGCACCCAAGGCTCCAAAACCTGCACAGGCTCAAAAAAATGCAAAAAATCCAAACCTGGACGCCTCAAAACCTGCACAGGCTCCAAAAAATGCAAAAAATGCAAAAGTCCAGACCACTCAAGCCCTGACCTCTGACATTGCATCTGGGTTTTGCATTTTTTGCATTTTTTTGAGCCTGTGCAGGTTTTGGAGCTTCCAGGTTTGGATTTTTTGCATTTTTTTGAGCCTGTGCAGGTTTTAAACATCCAAGGCTGCATAGGCTCAAAAAATGCAAAAAATGCAAAAGTCCAGACCAATCAAGCCCTGACCTCTGACATTGCATCTGGGATTTGCATTTTTTGCATTTTTTTGAGCCTGTGCAGGTTTTAAACATCCAAGGCTCCAAAACCTGCACAGGCTCAAACAAAATGCAACAAATGCAATAGTCCAGGCCAATCAAGCCCTGACCTCTGACATTGTATCTGGGTTTTGCATTTTTTGCATTTTTTTGAGTCTGTGCAGGTTTTGGAGCTTCCAGGTTTGGATTTCTTGCAATTTTTTGAGCCTGTGCAGGTTTTGAGGCTGAAACCATCAAAAAACGTAAGAAACAGGTGCTTTTTTGCAGTTTCCTTCAAAATCACTGCAAATAACAGTGTTTTTAACACTGACAAAGTTGCATCTGAAAACGCTTTCCGTTTTCGTGTTTGTTGCTTTCTCGAATCCTGTTTTGCATCAAGTATAGAAAGCACATCTGAGACAATATCAAACAATGCACAAAAACACCGTAAATTACAGTGCTTTCTGCAAGGCATCTGCAAACCAAGTGGACACTGAACATCTGCAAATAAATCTGTTTCATGCAAAAAGTAGAAAGGTAGGCCCTGGGGGGGGGGGTGACCATATATATATATATATATATATTTGTATATGATATATATATATATATCTATATATATATGGATATACTTGTTCATTTATATAAATGTGGGTTAAGAGCTCGCCCTTGTTTCAACCATCATGGAAGCTGACAGGAGGGTCTTGGAAGACGATTTTCCCCGAACCTGCACATCGATCCCACCTTCCACTTGAGACAGCCAGGCATGGGCGCCCCCGTTGTCGTAGTGGAGCCGGGTGATGGCGCCCCGGGGGGACAGGAAGACCTCGGCCGGCCGTGACGAAGGCCCCATGGGCAAAAAGAGGGGGAAGACGGGTGAGGTGGTCTTTGTGCCAGTGGGGAAAGACGGGTTTCCGCCAATCCAGCGAAGAAAGCGCATGTTGTCCATGTTGTGCATCCGCAAAATGGATGCAACTGTAAGCACAAGGATGTGCTTATTTAAGAGCTGAGATACCTGCTGAAAAATGGATGCGAACTTGGGGAAATTGGAAATTCTTGAAGAATGCCCAAGCCCTAAGAAAGGGTTGCTTGACTCAAACTTGAACCGGCGGATCTTTCTGGCTTGTCACCCTGCCTTGGTGAGCTCCCAATCCTGCAGGTGAAAGGCGCAAGGCAAGTGAAGCCGGAAGCGGTCTGCCATTGTCAGCAGCGCAAAATGCCAAAAGCAAACGTGTCGCTCAAAACTGGGTGTTTGGTTGGCCAAGCCAGGAAAGTGAAAACATACTTCCAGTGGTGATACCCCCAAGCAAACAAGGGAAAACAAACATGTTTTCAAGCAAATGGAAACATTCCACAAGTCACCCTGCTAGGAAAGGGGTCGGGGTCAGCTTGTCTAGTGAGAAATGCACCAAACGAAAGAAAACAAGCTAGACTACGGCTCCTCCTTCTCAAGTTTCTCCGTCTGCTCCGCCTTGTCGGGCCTTGGCTGCAGGAACCTGAGCCTTCCTGGAATAATGCGCCTGCTTGGCTCAGGGAAAATGCCGCTTTTCCAAAAACATGTGAGACTCCGAACTTACTTAGCATTCTCTGAGAACCAGGTAGGCTTGAGGCCAGGTGCCCGTTATTCTAGCAAGCCCTGCAGATTGAAGCAGGGCTGTGCAAACTGCTCACTTCTTTGATGCAACTGGAAGGCCTCCCAAATTTCAGCATTCACTTTTGTTTGGGGGTGAACGGGCAAACGGCTCCTGACCGAAGTTAGACACATTGGAAAGTCTAGCCTCATTTCCCCCAAACCGGGGATACTTTGAACAAACCTTCCCCTTTGGACGAGCGCACGCGCGCGCGGGGTTTCGCGATTCAAAGCGAGGCCCCTGCGGCTGGTAGCTGCCTCTGGCGGTCAGCCCTTCGAGGAGAGACTGCGCAAGGCCGGGCGACTTCCCAGATTCCAAACGTGCGGAACCTACGACGAAACATGACGAACCTCTGCAAATAAGTAGCCCCCCACCCCCCAAATGCACCGCAGTTTGCATGGGTCGAAACTGCGATGGGTCTCTCTCTCCCTAAACCTCACCAGCCCCTTGTTTGGCTTTGCATATTCAATGATTTGACCACCAAACAGGAGCCAACCCCCACAGAGATCCCCGGAAAATCTACCCCGACCCACGTCGGAAGCGATTAGATTCCTTCGGCCTCGCGCAGCGCCTCGGACTCCCGGATGAGCAGGGAGTTGAGGTCCTAGCCAGCCCTCCGCCCTCCGGCAACCAGCCCTCACCTCCCATCGTGCACGAGCCCCCAGGAAGCTGCCGAACGGACCCTAAGGCCCTTGGGACTTGGGAAGGCTTGGTTCCATTGGCAGAGGCCAATTGATAGCCTGAGGGAGCGCCAGTTCGCCCAAAGTCGGAGACTTGTTTTTGCCCGAGAACCGTTCAAACCCAAGTGGAAACTCCATGTTCTCATTGGCAAATGGCTTTGTACTTCCTAAAGTAGAAGAACGCGAAAGTTGAGCGACCCCGGCCGAATTGCATTTTTCTTTAGTTGGACCCCCGAAAGCCTCCCCCCCAACAAAAACACAACGGTTTTACTTTTGATGTTCTCCTTCAACACCACGAAAGATGCGGCACCCTCCAAAATGGACGCACCTGGACACAGGGCGTCAAAGGGGCCCCTCCCTTCGCTCCTCCAAAACGCCTGCGGAGTCGGCGGGTTGTGTGGTGCCCTCCGGTAGCACGCAGCGCCGCAGCTTCGGCAGCTGGCAGAAGGCCGGCCAGCCGTTCAGGTAGAGCCGGGGGCAACACGCCGCATTCTCCTGGGGAGGTGGGGGGGGTGTCATCATGGGGAGGGAGGGGGTAGGGTTGGATGGGGGCTATGGAGGGTAGGGATGTCTAGTTTTCATGGATTTATAGGCCAACCGAGGTCAAGCTTGATGTGTTCCAGGCTCAGGCCTAAGATGAAGCAAATGACTCCCCTCGAAAGCCGACCAATTCCCTGAACTTGGCAATTGAGCAAGCTATACGAGTTGCCAAGGTCGGGGGTGGGAGGGCTTGCTAGTTCCCACGTGCCCTTGAGAAGTCCCAGTCTCCTCCAAGCAGTCAGGATCCATCCGCTCGAGGTCTTGGATGTACTCCACGTACTCCGCCAGGGAGGTCTCGTAGACAGGGGCCTCCCAAAGACTCTCCTGCAGCATTTGTGACGGGTCACCCACTCGCTGGGACTGGCCACACGTCCATGTCTCACAAACAAACCCTCAGAAGGGGTGCTTTTCGGTTGGTTTCCCCCTGTAAACCAACCTGAAAAGGGGGCACTAGCACGCATGGGGTCATGGCCCAGATCCGCAGACATGGCTCAGAGCTGGTACTCGAAAACATATGTTTCACTCTTCGGCCCTTGGCTCAAAGAGTGTCAAGTTCATCAACTTGGACAAAGCAGTTGCCAGCCTGCAGGACTCTGTGCTAACCGCGGAAATTAAAAGGACTCTGGTCGCACTAAAGACGTCGCCGGGTTTCAACGTCTTCGATCTGACGACTTGAAGGCAGTGTGAACCTCCTCCTGCTCAAAAAACCCGTCCAATCTTAAAATTGGGATCATGGGTCATACCGGGCTTCTGCCCCCATCTTCGCATGCAAGCAAACTAATCTTTGTGAAGTTCGCGTCGCCTGTGCCTTTGCAAAACCAAATCGCTCTGGAAGCGTCTCCCGTTCTTCGTCCCCCTCCCGCGTTTGGTCGGCTCCTGGCGGGTAAAGACAGGGCCCAGCCACTTCACCAGCTGGCGCTCCTGGCCCAAGTGCTCCTTGAACCAGGCGAGGTCCATGCGCCCCTGCCACTCCTGGCGCAGCTGGTTCTCGACCTCTCCACTGGATGCCAACATCCCCCCTCTACCATAAGGGGGTGGTGGGGTGGGTCGAGTGTGCCCAATTCCATGTGTCTAGTCTTCGCCATACATGGGAGATAGAACCATAAATGGAGATCTCCAGAATTCACTCCCCCAATTCCATGCTTAAGGGGGTGGGGCTACCCCAATCTCTCCCCTTGAAATATTGTCAGGAAAGTCATCTCGGCCAAAACCATCGGAACACAGGTGCTTCGACAACCACACAGAGGCCTGAACCTGGAAGACTTCAGCTCAACTGGGTGCCGAATAGCTGGCAAAGATGAACGGAATTGCATCCCTTTTGACAGGCTTCTCGGCACCATCGGCACCCAGGAAACGCGCGACACAAACAGACCTTCCCCTTCGAATAGGACGAATTACAGTCTTCCAACAGCCTGTGCACCAAACCGTGGTGGCAAAGTAATACCAAGGCGAAGTATCAAAGACAATCAAACAGGAAAGAATGTGCGATGGGCCGTTTCCAGGGCTGACCTTAACCATCTCGATTCCGATTTTGAGGGCTGGGGATCCTCAACCCCTGCCCCAAAGATATTTAATCAACCTTCGCACAGATTTTGGGGAACGCTCCGCCCCTCCCGGGGTTCACAGCAACTTGAACGAGACAACACATGGTTAAAGACTGGGGTTTGCTTTTTGTTGCCATCCCACCTCCCCAAAAAAGCCCAAAATCAGGTGGCCCAGGTCGGATTCCGATCACGTCCCACATGTCCCTTCCTTCCGGCCGCCAAAAAACCCCAGCAAGCGGCCAAAAAACAAATCCGCCTGCATGCCAGTGAGGATGAAGGGCCCCCCCTTGCCCACGTCCAGGTTCTCCAGGTCCTCGCACCGTTTCCGCGGCACCTCCTTGGCGTCCTGCAGCAAGGCCGGCCGCCCTCCTGGGCGCCAAGGGGCTTCGCAGGTTTGGCGGCCAGCGCCACTTCGAAGCCAGAGGAAGCCATGATGTTGGTTGGTATTGCAAGGATCATCAGAAACCGTTGGGTTTCTTAGGTGCGAAATGGATCTCGTCCACTGCAGTGCCCAAAAAGCCAACTGGGTCCCCACCCTTAACAAAAACTCAGGATGCATTCTGGCAAGCATACCTGGCGAAGCTGAGACGGTAAAAACAAGTCAAAAGAGATTCCCTGGTTCAGTGAGTGCCTCCGTACACGAAGATGGCACCTGAAAGAGAAATGTCACTTCAGCCAATTGATCTTCCAGTAAGCTTCTGCATGCGCCATGTATACCTGACTTGAATCGCCAGCAAATGAGAGTGGAAGCATGGGTTTCGGGCAAATCTGTCCGTTCACCTAGCCAGTGTTCATTGTCACAGCTCTCTTTAAAGGCTATCCGATCAGCCTGAAGTGATTGACCACAGCACGTGGCCAAGCGGTTGGACCACCCTAGATGATTGCTTCCATCAAAAGCGCCCAGGTTGCACAAACAAACACGCAGCCCCCCCCCAAAAAAATGGAGAAAAGGGGGGGCCTGGGGGAAAGAGGGAGGAGTGTAGGGGGTATTGGGTCAAATGTTGTTATCCAACGTTTTAACACCCTTGTTTGATTTCATCCTATATTTTGTTGTAGGGTGTTAGGGGTGGATTTTCTAGGGGCCGACATTTTTTTCATTTGAAAGAGTTAGCCCTTTTAGTAGTTATTATGTTCTGGGGTGTTGGTGGTTCATTTGTTTATTCCTATTCTTGTTCAAAGTCACTTGTTGTTTCCATGTAATCTCTCACAGTATCGTTATTGTTTTCTTGACCTTTCACTCTTAGTTGGTGCTTACTTGTTTGTTGGTGTTTTTTCATTTTGTATTTTCCTACCATACATTTACATAAGGGACATTCTACTTTCAATTGGTTATAGTCTTTCTGTTTTTCATTTATGTCTTCTTTGTTCTTTTCTCTATATTCTTTTGATTTTTCCCCACATCCTTGTGTGGGGTTCTTACTTTTTCCGCTCGTCGTCCGCGCGCCGCGTCTCCTCCTCCTCCTCCTCCCGCTCGTCTCCGTCTCACTCACTCACTCACTCTCACTCACTCAACTCACACTCACTCAACTCACACTCACTCACTCACACTCGCTCACTCACTCACTCACTCAGTCACTCACACTCACTCACACTCACTCACTCACACTCACTCACACTCACTCACTCACACTCACACTCACACTCACTCACTCACACTCACTCACACTCACTCACACTCACTCACTCACGCTCACTCACACTCACTCACTCACACTCACTCACTCACTTCACTCACTCACACTCACTCACTCACACTCACTCTCATTCACTCACTCTCATTCACTCACTCACTCACTCACTCGCTCACTCACTCACTCACACTCACTCACTCACGGCACTCACTAGAGGGACAGGATGTTGTCGCGCGCGCGGCGGGGGGCGTGCGAAATCGTGGCAGGCGCAGCACTTTGGCGATGCCGTTGCGAAATCGTGGCAGGCGCAGCACTTTGGCGATGCCGTTGCCGAAGTCGTGGCAGGCGCAGCATTCTGTGCATCTGGGTGTGTGTTTGTGTGGCAGGGGTCGCATTCGGCAGCTGTCTAGAGGGACAGGATGTTGTCGCGCGCGCGGCGGGGGGCGTGCGAAATCGTGGCAGGCGCAGCACTTTGGCGATGCCGTTGCGAAATCGTGGCAGGCGCAGCACTTTGGCGATGCCGTTGCCGAAGTCGTGGCAGGCGCAGCATTCTGTGCATCTGGGTGTGTGTTTGTGTGGCAGGGGTCGCATTCGGCAGCTGTCTAGAGGGACAGGATGTTGTCGCGCGCGCGGCGGGGGGCGTGCGAAATCGTGGCAGGCGCAGCACTTTGGCGATGCCGTTGCGAAATCGTGGCAGGCGCAGCACTTTGGCGATGCCGTTGCCGAAGTCGTGGCAGGCGCAGCATTCTGTGCATCTGGGTGTGTGTTTGTGTGGCAGGGGTCGCATTCGGCAGCTGTCTAGAGGGACAGGATGTTGTCGCGCGCGCGGCGGGGGGCGTGCGAAATCGTGGCAGGCGCAGCACTTTGGCGATGCCGTTGCGAAATCGTGGCAGGCGCAGCACTTTGGCGATGCCGTTGCCGAAGTCGTGGCAGGCGCAGCATTCTGTGCATCTGGGTGTGTGTTTGTGTGGCAGGGGTCGCATTCGGCAGCTGTCTAGAGGGACAGGATGTTGTGGCGCGCGCGCGGCGGGGCGATGCCGTGCGAAATCGTGGCAGGCGCAGCACTTTGGCGATGCCGTTGCCGAAGTCGTGGCAGGCGCAGCATTCTGTGCATCTGGGTGTGTGTTTGTGTGGCAGGGGTCGCATTCGGCAGCTGTCTAGAGGGACAGGATGTTGTCGCGCGCGCGGCGGGGGGCGTGCGAAATCGTGGCAGGCGCAGCACTTTGGCGATGCCGTTGCGAAATCGTGGCAGGCGCAGCACTTTGGCGATGCCGTTGCCGAAGTCGTGGCAGGCGCAGCATTCTGTGCATCTGGGTGTGTGTTTGTGTGCCAGGGGACAGGATGTTGGCGCGAGCGCGGCGGGGGGGGCGTGCGAAATCGTGGCAGGCGCAGCACTTTGGCGATGCCGTTGCCGAAGTCGTGGCAGGCGCAGCATTCTGTGCATCTGGGTGTGTGTTTGTGTGGCAGGGGTCGCATTCGGCAGCTGTCTAGAGGGACAGGATGTTGTCGCGCGCGCGGCGGGGGGGCGTGCGAAACGCGTGAAAGACCGACAGCAGATCTGTGTGGCCGCGCAAGTGGACGACAACCCGGGCGCGATCGAGAGGGACACCGTCCAAGGCCGCGTTCTGGTCTGCAATGCCATCGTGCAGCAGAATGGCGTTCGAGTGCGGTGCGCTTTCTGGAGGGAGCACGCTGAAAAGCTCGCGACCTGCCAGGCTGGAACCTGCATCCTGCTCTACCAAGTGTTGGTGGAGAAGAAAAAGGAAGGATCATGGGAGATTGGCAGCTGGCGAGGCACTCAAATTCTGGAGTGCCCTGAAGAGCTTGCCAAGAACATTGGAGAGCGCATCATGGAGCCTGGCGACTGCCGCATGCTCACTCTCATTCCGACCAGGAATTGGAAGGAATGCGAGGCAGTGCAGAGCACATTGAGCGCGCTCGTGGGCACGATTGTCCCCGGGCAGTTGCGGAAGGTGGACACTGTGTTCCTCGTCTCCGGACTGCAGATCATGGGCTTGAGCTCGGTCAAGTCCGAAACGGACGAGTGGATCTTGTCCAGCTGCAGCACGTGCAAGAGAGCTTTCCCTTGCCAGGCACGCAGAAATGTCAATCAGGATGTTCTGATTAATGTCATTCAGCATGAAAAATTAAATCTGTCAAGCTTTTGTGCAGGCACATCCAGATGCTGCTGAAGAGAAGCGCGTGGCCCTGCGCGCTGTGTTCGCGGATAGCGACTGCCAGTGCAGCATGGTGCTCTACCACGACCACGTCGAGTTGGCCTTGCAGGAGCAGGGTTACTCGCTGCCGAATCCTTGCAAAGACACTGCAGAGCTGCGGTCCGAAGTGCGAAACGCATTCCGGAGCGCACTGTGGACTTGCAAAGTCACCTTTCGGGAGAACGACTACCAGCAGATACTGGAGTTGGAGTGTCGCCATCTGACGCCTTTCCTGCCCTTCAACCAGGACTGCCCGGACCTGACGCCCCACATGCTGGAGCTTCCACGCTGCTCTCTGGGCGGCGGCTGCCCGGTTGCTGCTTTGCGCGACTTACGCGTGGACACAGACTTGGGCTCTTTGACGATTCAAGAGATCGACGCTCCGTCTGTGCGAGCGCTCGTCATGTTCAACGAAGTCCAGCTGCCAGATGATGAGTCTCTGCAGCAAGACCCGCAATCTGCATCGGCCATGCGAGTCAAGCGCTCGGTGGACTGCTGCTTGTCAGTGCCCGACGCTGAAACCCTCTTGCCTTTCCGGAGCAAAATCCGAGCAGCAGGCCCTGCGTCTGCAGTGAATTGGATCCTCCGAGCACGGCCAGGTGAAGTCCACCAAGTGGTCATCATGCAAGCCGACGCGGAGAATGAGTGGTCTGTCCTCTGGCACGTGGAGGTTCACGAGAAGGCGGTGCTGGCTGTCAACGCGTACTACTCTCACATCATCTCCAAGCAGACGGCGGCTGCTGCTCTGAGCTATGCCAGTGAGTGGACTCCCGGTAAGCGAGTGCGCACGCTGCGAGACAGCATGCCAACCCCTTTTAAGACGAGCTCTGCTTGGCAAGACCAGTGCTAGAGCAGGCATGAAACAATGTTCGACACTAGCTGCTGTGATTGCATTTTTGGGCGCCGCGCGACTCGGAATGAGAAGCATGACGCAGCTATCACAGCGAAATGTTGTCCGAATCCTTTGAAGCGTGGCTCTGCTTGGCAAAACCAGTAGCTAACCTTGAAGCAATATGTTGGCCGTTAGCTGCTGCAAATAGCATGTCGAGCCACGCATCGAGATTCTTCAGTTTGAGCCACGCAACTCGGATTGAGAAGTTTACCGAGCTTGTTCAGTGTCGTCATTACGCAGCTGGCGAAAAACAGACGCGACGCGTCCGCACGAAGCATTGCTGCCGGGACTGACAGTCAGTGTGGCATGAGCTGCGCCCGAGCCAAGGTCAGCGCAGCAAGAAAGGCAAAAAAAGGTTCGCGCAGTTGTTTGCGGGATGAGGTGACAGAACGCATGCTAGTTGTCTCCGCGATGTTCATGAGCCCTGCCACAAGCTTGCAGCACAACCACTTGCGCACGGTACATGTGTGTGGACATTTGAACTCACATCCTTGGGAAAAACATAGCATGTGGGGTTATCCGGTCCTTTAATTGCTTTATTTCGTCTTTATGCTTTTCACGATAAATCTTGTTCTTTTCCAGTATAGTGTCTTTGTTATTCTCTCTATATGTCTTTTTCTTCTCTACAATCTGCTCTTTGTTGTTTTCGTAATACTCCTTTGACTTTTGCTGTATTTGTTCTTTGTGTGCTTCTCTATACCGTTGTTTGCTCTCCAAGCATACATTACATTGTTTTCTTCCCTCGTTGAACTTTTCTAACAATTGAAAGACTTTACATTTGGAACATTGCTTTTTGTCTGTCATTGGTCTCTATATGTTTAAGGGGTTATTTATTTAGATAAGTTTAAGGGGTTTTATAGGTTAAAAGTTCAGTATAATTATAACATATAAGATTTTACATGTTATTATTATATTATGATTATAATTTCAGTTCAGGATAATAATCTAATTGGTTTGTCTTACTTCTTTCATACATCATTTTAAAAATAATATTAACATCTCTCACTGTATTCTGAACATTAAACTTTTTACTTTCAATAAATAATTTGATATTTTCTTTAACATCTTCTCCTTTCTCTTGACTATAACCCAACATCCATAATATATCGTAAATCGTGTCATATTTTTCTTACTGATTTTAAGAAACTGTTTAACACAATCGTAAGGTGGTATTTTATTTACAGTTAGAAATATTAAAATATCATCTTCTACATTTCTATTATGTATTCTTTTTATTCCCAACAGACATTTGATTAAAAATTGATTATCTCTCCAAGTTTTACAATTTTTACATATGTCTTCTTCACCATCCATTGAATAATTAATAATATTATTCACTATTTCATTAGGTAAACTCAATTTATACAATTCCATATTTTCTTTTTTGAAGTGACAACAATCATAGCATTTTTTTATTGATATAATTATTGATTCCATCACCGTTCATTTTTCTCTTAATATATAAGATAATATTTCTTTAAGTAGTTTTGGCTAGGGGTTGCTGGTCGGCTGGTCTGGGTTTCAGGTTTAATTTAAATGTCTTAACCTTCTTGTTAGATTATAAATCAATGTTTAATCATATTATAATTAAATATTATGATAAAGCCATGAAATAATTGTTTCTGTTATGTATAAATTTCAAATGTACTATCTTCTATAGTAATGATTTCGTTTCGTTTCATAGTCTGTTTTATTTCTTCAACTATTTTTTCAATATAAAATTGTAATGACGCTCTACTTGTTATCTTGTTCTGTTTGCTTGATGCATAATAACTACAGTTGCAAATATTATTCTTATACATAATTTTCGAACTAACTTCTATTCCAACCTTTATTTCTTCATCATACTTCATCATTCTTAATAATTCTTTTGGTGGTTTCAACGCATATGAAAGTGCTTTATCACCTTTCAAACATATATTGCTAATCAACACATAATATCTACTTTCTCCTTCTCCTTCTCGTTCAAAAATAGACGGTTTCCATTTCCTTTGTCTCCAAACGGTAATGACACCGTTGCCACCTTGGGATTTGTGAGAACTGTTCCAACCATTGAAAGCAACGAATGGGACGAGGATTACTGTTTGCTGTTCAATTTACATAGGATTGCACCAGTCAAACGTTCAAGTGGGAAAGCGGTTGCGTCTTTCAACGGTTGAGACTGTCAATTGGAAAACAATAATTGAACCATTGGATGAGGCAATTAGAAAACATCAGTTCAAACATTAAGCAGTGCAATTTGAAACCATGATTGCATTGATTGAGCAGGTGGGTCTTGTGGCAATGGACGTCATAAGCGTTGATGAGCAATATTCTGCTAATCAAGGGAAATGACACTAAACCCCAAATCCCGAGCAACCCGACCAACCGAGCCTGTCCCTGAAAATAATTCTAATAATTTCATATTATTAGAACTATTTAGATAATTATTTTATGGAGTAATGTCGCGAAGCTCATTAGGCTATTACTTTGTAATAGCGTAATGTCCATAAGGCAATGAAAGTGAAAGCATCAATATAAAACCTTTTGTTTTCATAATTACTGAGAGATTGTTTGACTTGAGACATTGAATATATTTGATGTGACTTACTTCTGATGAAGTTATATGTGATTTCATGCTTTTTGTTTTGAAATAATGCTTCGTGGTAGTTCTGATACGACAGTTCTTTTTTCACTTTGTGTTTCACTACACCTTTTGATTTCTTATGTTCATCAACCTCACCGTGAATTGTGAAGGCATAAGATTTAGGTTTTAATCCGATGAATTTAGTAATGATTTTTCCATTCACTTCGTCCTTAAACATTCCTAAGACCTTTTTATTAGTTTTGTCATGACATGGATGCTCAACAGGATAGTCGCTAAAATCCATGTGTTGCTTTATATCATTGAAATCCTTATAGACATCATCAGTCATTGTTTGAATTACATAACTGTCAGTATCAGTATATATCAATTTGATGTTTTCATTATACTTCTTTTTCAATACATCATAATAAAACTGATACATATGTAATTTGCTTAAATCTAAAATGCTCATTCCTAAGAAAATCGGTTTATCCAGTTTCAGTTTTGCTTTAGTTTTTTCAACTCCTACGAGATTTTCATTAATAATAAATATGTTTTTGAATGTTGGGTTATTAACGCATTTTTCATATCTAACTTCATTATCCACCAGTTCAAAGTCCATATGGTTTCGCTTGTCTTCCATAGTTTTACCATATACAGAATTATTCATCAACTTGTAGAGTTATTTCTCAAAATCGCTTTTGGCTTCTTTCCTTTTACCAGTGTTGAAATCAATCCACGGTTTCAACCAAGCCCTCTGTTGAAACTTTATTATCCTATGGACTTTACCCATTTTCATTCCCATTTTCAAATAATACTGTAAAGTCTTAATATGAACCACATATTTTTCTTTATCCTTTAGATTTAATATTAACTTACTTGTTTTCTCGTCCTTGGGACTTTTACCATCATAATATATTTTGAAGACTTGCTTTTGATAATCGGAAAGCATATTCACATTTACATTCATTATTTCAGGCGCTAGTGGATAGTCAGAGTGGAAGTCGTGCAATGTTTCGGGATATTCCAAATCAACTTCCATAATATAACCGAACTCATCGTTTTCATTCCATTTTTCAACAATGGGAGTTTTCTTTGCCCACTTGATATTTTTTAGCGGTAACTTCTGGGACATTGCCAAACCATACAAGTTATTAGCATCCAAGTAACTAATATAATTTGATGGCTTGTTCTCATCATATGCTTCCCCCATATACTTATTATTTGCCACTGCTAATTTATGACTTACCTGACACATACCACCTCTCATTCCCTTTTCAACCATCTCAAACATTTCTTGGTCATGCAATTGTTCTATTTCAACACCAGTTTTTAGAAGCATCGCGTCCCATGCGAAATTTGGCAATGTGTAATAATGAGCGGGGTCTAAACCGTAGTATTCCATACACAAGTCTCTAAAGTTTTCAAATACATCGGTCAGTAGTAAAACATCAGTTCTTAAATACAAGTCGTGATACTGCCCGAGTGTTCTAATCCCGAAGTGCTTCCATACTTTCAGTGCCCTTTCATAATCTTTATCACTTACATGTTCTTCACTCAATTTACTGTAAAACGCTTCTTTCGGTGGTAAAGCCCTTTCCTTAAATCTTTCAAAATCATCAAAGTAGTCATAGGGATAAATACCCTTATCAGTCAATAAATCCAAATCTTCATCGGTTTTAACATACGGGTTTCTAACGCTGTATCTGAAATTGTTCTTCCAATTCTCACGCTTTTTATCATCCTCATATTTACTCAACTTCACCAACTTATCCAACGAAGACGATAAGAAACTGAAACTGTCCTTGAAACAAAGATTTTTAAAACCAAAGGTTATAAACTTTTCGCTGTTCTGAGCGATACATTCTATTTTAGAATTCTTGTTCAGTTCGTGAGCCTTGTTGATGATTAAGTGGGCATCGTAGTTTTTAAGGTTATGAAGAAACACTGGGATTTTATAATATCTCATACTAAAACCAAGATTACAATCATCGTGGGCGCATCCTCTGTAAGCTCCAGTAAAGTGACAATGGTCTCGAACCTTCTTGTCCTCAGGTTTAAAATCATTTCCACAGATAAAGCAAGTAGTAGCATTTTCAAAATCTTCCTTGTCCTTTTCAGTCATGATTATCTCTTTTACTTCCTTCATCCTACTAATAATATCTTCTCTGACTTCATTGATTTTTTCAACAAATTTATCCATACAATCTTCACCTCTGTATAAGTAAGGCTCACTACTTCCGGTTATAGCATTGACTACATTAATCATAAAACCACACGGACGATGATTTTGATATGATGTAGTTTTAGCTTTTGCCGATTTGCTTTTAACATCAATTGGCACAGTTAAACATTCAAAGTCGGCATAGATTACGAATGGAGCTTTAAGTTT